CAGTAGATAGATCGATCGAAACAGGGAAGAAGTAGAAGCGACGACGGATGACACCAGTCTCGGGGTTTTCGGCACGGACCAAATTTTTTATTATTGAAACAATTGTTTTTCATATTTATTTTTTTTATTGTGACAGTCCAACTACTTCATTCAATCTTATCTGTGAGATTTGCAAACATAAAAAACAAAACGGACGATGAAGCGAATATTTATTTTTCCATTTCTCTTGGTAGGAGCTTGTGTTCCGTTTTCAAGAATCGTTCGCTGATTACAATATCAAATATGCAATGAAGATCCTGATATTTTTGGATATATGCATAGAGATTTGCATTCTGAAATATTCCTCACTTAAAAAAATATATATAACATATAATATATAACAAATATTACTAAATCAGTGGAAACTAACTTTTAGTTTTTTTTTCGAATAATCAGTGGTCCTTCAAAGTGTGAGATAACCAATAATTGTGGCAATCTCCAATTGCGACTGACGCAAAAACTGAAAAGTTCAGTTAAATGTAGATACTAATTCAAGGAATTACCTTTAATCTGTAAAAAAACAGTTTTAGATTTAGGCATGAGAGCCTAACTAAAAATATAGAACAATTCTATTCCTACACTATAGTGGGAACAATGTTTCCAATGTTGTTTGAAAACTTGAGACAAAGACCATGGTTTGTGATTACCAAAGACAGTTGTCTTACAATTTTCTCATAATAAAAATACGATGAGCTGGAATTTTCATTTTTTTTCAGAAATTCTTTAAATCATTACCTTCAACATTTAAATTCGACTATTTCAGAACAAGCTTAATAGTCTATCCAACGGAATAATACAATTCCAAACCAATACTGGGAGCAATGTATCCTATGTGATAACAATCGTTCCGACATTCGATTAGTTATTCGAAATTGTTAAACTCCTCTTTTGTAAATCCACATGCATGTAAGAATATTGTAATTATATTGCATGAATACTGAGCATCTATCATTTAACAGTAAAATGAAATAGAATTGTGTGTATCCAATAGTAGTAAATTTTCTAAAAACAGTCAATTGAAAATTAAATCTTAGACAATTTCTATAAAAATAAATCTGATATAAACTAACTTCAGAATTGATCAAATAACAATCTTTTGTTGAAATATTCATCTCATTGTTTTGTAGATTGTCACGTTTGGTGACACAGTCTTCTTTTTGATCTCGTGACTTAAAATAGATGAAAATCAAAGAAAGCACTATTTGCATAAAGATTTTCCGTCCGCAATTGCATATAGAATTTCGAAAACCAATTAATGCAATTGCGGTTGGAAAATTGAAAATGCTGACTTACATGTCCAACCAACCCTTTGTTGTCCTTGTTTCAAACAGTAAAAAATTATTACAATCGAAATTTGAATGAATGCTTCAAACTAACCTGAGGTGATTCGGGGTGGCCAAACGCCACCCCAAATAACGGGGACGGGTTGACACTGAAGGTTGAACTGTTGGAGAAATGGAACGAGCTGATTTATTTATACGAAAAACCGAGGAAACTCAGACGAGCATGGCAAAATATTGTCTTGTAGAGAGAACGTGCTAGAGAAATCGTAAAAGTGAGACATTTGCAATAAAAAATGTACAAGACGACATGTGTTCGCGCTTTTTTGCCGTAAAGAAAAAGAGAGAAAAAATACAAAAAGTTTAAACTTTAAGAAGAAAAATGTTCAAGCTTTCCGTGAGTTTAAAAATAACTGAACGGAAAACAATTTTTAATTTTGCCTTCTGGAATGAAACTAGAAATATGTATATGCACATCAAAAATTATATTTCTACAAGTCATTTCAACCATTTTATGCAGCGAAAACAAAACCTGCAACGTTCTTTGCTTGAAGTTTAAGGCGATTCCGCGGCATTGCAGTTTTTGTTTCGTTGATTTAATATTTTGTTTTGATGGGCATAAAAACCGTTTTGTGAAAGAGCAAGATAATATTCTTCTATATAAGAAAAAAATATTCTTCTACATAAGAATAAAAATATCTGTAAAATCTATATACATTAATAATTTCATTTGCTGTGTTTTTGATTATTTAAGCACACAACATAGTTATGAAACAGCTTCGAGTACTTCATCAGATTTTAAATTCCAAATTCTTTAAAAACCATTTTTTCATATAATTCAAACATGCGTACATAAAAGGCAAAACAGACGACGCAGTGAAAATTATCTTTTTTTTTCTTGTGTGATCCTCTATTATTTTGGCCCCATCCGTTTATAACAATATTCTAAATTTGCAACAAATTCCTGATATCTCTGGATAGTTTAATTGAGAATTTTCTGAAAAATTCTCATTCTGAAATATTCGCAGTTCGTAATTTGTTAAATGAGACAAAACTAATCTTTATTTTTTCTAGAAATCCAGTCGTTTTTCAAAGTGTGAGATCACGTGACACTCGATAAATACTACGAAGTATCAGTTAACCTCACTTAATGAGTCACTTAATATTATCTTCGAGATCTTTATAAATAATCTTTGAAAATTATTGTCACTTAATTTTATTTTGTATAACTCAAAACATGCGAACATTAAAAAAAAGCGGACGATGCAGCAAAAAATTATCTTTTCATTTCTCTTAGTAGACGCCTGTGGTCCTTTTTCAGTTTTGCATCGTCCACTGATTACAATATCCCAAATATGCAACGAAGATATTTTTGGATTGATGCATAGAGAATTGCATTCTGAAATATTCCCACTTTGTAATTTGTTAAATAAGACAAAACTAACCTTTATTTTTTTCTAGAAATCCAGTCGTTTTTCAAAGTGTGAGATCACATGACTTTCCATAAATACTACAAAGTATCAGTTAACGTCACAATTTCTCACAGAAGAATATGTCTATTAAAATATGTCTAACCATCCGCTACGATAAAAACAAGACTTATTTTTTAAAGATTGTTGATCAGAAATTTTATTTAAACTAGCAGTTGTCCCTAAATACTTCTTGCGACTTGCTAAGTCGTTGAGAAGCCCCACAGAAGAGAATAAAAATTTTCAACCTGTGTGAGATGGTGTACCGATTAGCCTGGCTCGGCCTAAAAAAAAGACCGAGCCAGTTGATCTCCTTCGCCACGTAGAGGCTCGGTACTCGAAGGAGAGGCTCACCAGCATCAGGCCGAAACCTGATGTGGGTCATCGCCGATGTCCCAAACGGTAGGACCGAGAGAGAGAGAGAGATAGAGAATCCCAAGTGGTGGGATAGAGAAGGGGAAGCCGCAAGTGGTACGGCAGGAAGAAGGGGGAATCAGTCGACTGATAGAGAGAAGGGACAGTCGCAAGTGGTACGACTGGGGAAGAAAAGGATAGGGAAGCCGGCATTCCCCAAAAAAGAAGAAGAGATGGTCCCAAACGGTAGGACCAGAAGGAAGTACAGACGTAAGTGGTACGAATGTACGGAGAAGAGAGAGGTAATCCCAAGTGGTGGGATATAGAAGGGGAAGCCGTAAGTGGTACGACTGGTAAAAGTGAAAAATAATTTAAAAAAAAAGGTAAAAAAAACAGAAATAATAAATAAAAAATAACCAAAAAATACCAAATACCCTACGTTTTTGCACATCCTCATCGCTCCTTTGAGTCATCGTTTCCGATTAGATACCTTCGATTCGAAATTCCTGCAATTATTCTAGTTTTTCTGATAGATGATGGCACCTATCTTACCATTAGATTCCGCTTCCTCGCTCTACTCGATGCCCCGGGCAACATCGACCTTTCGCCTTTCCTCTTTCTTGCTCATCTTCACGTGACATGTCTACTCATGAATATGGGTTTAACGTCAGCCTGGACGCGGCACTGCAGTAGGGTTAGTACTGGCTAACGGAGCCGCACCAGTCGAGAATCCCCGACACTTTCAACACATCACATCCAAAGAGCTCGAATGAGGAACGACTTGTGGCTCATCGGATCTGTAATTCAAAGAGTTAAGAAAAAGGATTGCGAAGAATTTTGACATACCGAGTGAATCCTTGGCCACGGCGAGCCCGCAGGAAATGCGGGTAACGGCCAGCCCACAGAATATGCGAACCACGACGAGGAGCCCGCAGGTTATGCGGGGCACGGCGGGTCCGCATGATATGCGGGGCAAGACGCGGAGCCCGCAGGTTATGCGGAGCACGACGAGCCCGCATGATATGTGGGCTGCTCGCAACTCGGAGAGCTGCGAGAATGACCAAATTGCAATTCCGCCGGCTATTTATACTGCCACAGGAGTCGGTGCAAAACTTGCAATGGAGCGCATTTGTCGAAGCGAACTGTAAATCTACGCCAAGTCATCTCAGATTCTCTTAAGTTAGCACACTCTCTGATCAGAGACAGTGACGCCCTTTCCCGATTGGCTCTGTTTTTTGGTATAACGCTTGTTATTAGAGCGGACTTGCATTGTGAATTCATAGCAAATTAAACATCATGCTCATTAAAACATAAAATCATTTTTTACATATCGAATATTGAAGTCTGACGAATATTTGAAATTTTCGGAGCTGTTTCTTATGATTCAAATCTGTTTATAAATCTTCAGGAACTTTTTTTTTAACGAAACCAAGTACTTTTTTAACAAAACCAAGTATTAGTTGATCTGAATATTCATTCTTGGATTTCAATTTCAGCAATTTTTATTGTGTATATTGAAGCTTAAGCTAAAAACAAAAAAGAAAATGTTTGTTTTTTATAACAATGCATATTTTAATAGTTATTTTAATAACAACGCTAAAATATTAAAAAAAATTTACAAAGAGAAATATTAGATTAAATTTTCAGAGGCAGAAATACATATTCATAAAATGGCAAGTTATGTATATCAATGGGGAAAAAATGAAGCAGACTAAAATATCTATTCAGACACAGAAAATTATTTGCTGCAACGTGATTTACTTAAAAAATATGAATGTCTAATTTTAAAAAAGCTTGAAAATATTTAGCAGACAAATGACAATAGAAAATATTTTTCGAGAAGAGCATTTGCTTCATCCTATTGATCGTTTCTTTTCATGCGTTTACTGATGGCCAAATTGTCTTCGGGTTCTGAAAAATAATATTTTAAATGTTGAGTAATCACTTAAGAAGTTTGTAAAAAATTAATTAAAGAAATTTTTAATAAAAAAAATTTGTGTGTATTATCAATAATCTTGTTATTTTGAAAAAAGAACATTTTTTTGCTTATTTAAAAATTTTTTATTGAAAAAAAAATGATTAAATATAAAATTATGTGTATTATTGTTCCATGCAGATATTGGAAAAAAAAGTCGATGGGTTTAAACTTTTTTTTCTTCTAAAATTTGCTTTGAATTTTAGAGTCTATTTCATGTTTTTTTATTTGAACTTATGAAAATTTGCATAGCACCATTAGCATTATTTTCATTAAAAAAAAACTAATACTAGAAATCACATTCACTTACTTTCAAATGTTTCCGTTTTTCTCTTGACCGAACTCGGCAACACATGCTCATTCGTTGCCTCTTTTTTTGCAGCAGTAGAAGATGTAGGAACATCCTTGTCGCTTTCAACTTCATCGTCCGTATCGGAATCATCGATAATAATTTTGATCGGTTCCACTTCGACTATTGAATTCATAATATATCGAGATTCTGTTTGATATGCAAGAAAACTTACTTTCCCCTCTTGCTCTCATTTCAGCTATAAGCTCTTGTTCAATTTCTAAAAATTAATATTAATTTATTGAATCTTAAAATTATGATAATCACCAAACTCAGACTTCATATAATAGCGTGGGTCGTCTTCAACAATTTCAAACGCTGGAAGATAATTGTATGATAAAAAATAAACATAAGAAATTCCTAACTCCGAAAAACAAGTTGATCGATTGGACATAAAATACGTTTATATCCTCCATCAAGACTGTGATGAGGACGAAGGATATCAGACTCTAGAATGTTTTCAAAATTAAATTCAAAACGGTTGGCTTACTGACTTCTACCCATGGCCGCAAAATAGCTCTCCTTTTTATCACCGGGATCATTCAGAGCTTTGCTGAAGACATCTGAGACTAAAATTAACTTTTTTTCAAAAATTTGGAGTGAGCACGAATATTTCTTACATTCGAGAAGAAACTCGTAAAACGTGATATGTTCCCCTTTATGATATCTGGCAAGGACGTTAAGGCAAACTGCAAAAATTTTCTAATTTATATGCATATTATAACAAGATGAATTTAGAAAATTGATGTGATATTCTGCTGATAAAAATTTTGCTAGAAATATGAATTTTTTTTGGGTGTTATATTCAAGAATAAAATTATTACTTCCAGACCTTTATAACAATTTTAACAAATCCATTTTTTTTAATCCAAAGATTGAAAGATGATTCATGTAAATCCAAAAGAAAATTAATAGAACTTTGGAATTATGTTGGTAAATCGATTTGGCCAGTTTTGATAGTTACCTTGGATTCCAATCATTTCCACGGGCGTTTTATCTTGGAGCTGTGAGTGTCTCACCAAATCTTTCTCATAAGCTGAAATCAGTTACCCGCAAATCTCGAAATGTCTTTTTGATGAACTCACTGAGAACCCATCCCATAATATATTCTAGTATACAATTATTATTGTCGATTTCTATATCGGTCGAATGAGCAACATCTTCGTCCAACAATTTTGGGGTACTTAGAATCAAGTTCGAATATTCTGGCAAGCTCAAGAATATCTCCCAATATTCTTTGGTATCTATATCGCTCTCCTCATCTTCTTTTACTTCGATTTGATTTAGTTGTTGCTCTTGATCCTGTTTTTCTCCTTCTACCTGTTCATTATCATCAGCTTTTTGTTCATCTTCTTGATCTTTTTCTTCTGCTTCTTGTGCTTCTACCACTTTTTCTACTTTCACAACGGATTCTTCTATTTCCTCATCTGATAGTATTAATAATAATTATATACATATGTCAAATAAAATTCTTTGCAGAAAACTTACTTCGCTCCATTTTCCGATGCTATGCTAATTATTCTACCTGAAAAATTCGACAAATAATTTTTTTTAAACGAAACGGCAATAAAAAAAGAATAAAGGAAAAAATTGTATTAATTCAGTAAACATGAATTGAATATCGAGAAAATTTAATATTTTAGGCTATTTCCAGGCAACAAAAAAATTTCTTTCGTTTAATTTCGTTTTTAAAAATTGAATATTTCAACCTATGCGTTTTTACATATGACCAAAAAATATTTTTTTGAAGCCAGCGTGTTCGGCCGCGGCCGCGGCAGTCGAGCGTGTTTTCGCAATAGAGTGCATTTGCAGTAGCTTCAAAATTGTGCGTTGAAATAGCATTATCATTTAACCACTGCTGTTGAGATTTTGAGAGTTTTCGAGAAACGAGGGCATTGATTGAATGATGGGCTTTATAAATTCAGCAATTTCTTCTTGATATGATAATACTCGCCAAAATTGTTCAAAATTGGCACGGGATAGAATTTTTATTGATAACGTTTGTGTTTTTTGTAGTAGCATAGAGAAATGGATTCTGAAATGAAAAAAAAATAATATGAGTCAATTTTCAGCAACGAGGAATGCCGAGTTTGTTCGAAAAAGTCACTACGAATGTGCACATGAGGATATCAAAACTGGGATATTGGAGATATAAAGAGCATCGTTCGATAGCAGCTGTCGTTAACTGGGGGTGAGTCGGATTGTGAGAAATACTGAATAATGTTTTTTTACGAGTTTTTTACTTGGTAGATGCCATGTTTAGTTTTTTTCGGTATAGTCAGCAATTAAGAAGTTTACTAAAAAAAAATAAATTTTAATTAAAATTAAATTATTTCATATAACTTTTTAATTATTAAAAACTACAGCTTACAAGGGAGGTGTTTTTACTTAGTGGTTTGGAATTTTTTCTATTTTTGCAGACAAACAGATCGCGAAATTCCCTATTAAGTGTGCTATGCCATTAGTTAGAAACGGAAAAATAATGTCATCCTTGCCAATTTTTGTGACAAAACTATCAAAATGTGATTTTTTTTAACTAAAACCGCAAATCTTTCATTATAACTGGGGGGGGGACAAAAAAATTCATTCAAAAAAAATTTTAAATACATTATTTCAAATGTTTGCTTTCATATTTTCAGTTTAAATATTCCTGACAATACCGATATATTTTTTTTCAGTTACTTATAAAAGAAATAAAAAGGACAAGTTAAGTATAGGGTCTTAGAAAATATATTGCATCAAATATGTACTAATCAATCCGATGCACGCTACTAAATATGTTAAACACCTTGATAAAATTTCTGACATAATTTTAAATTAGATATTAAATGTAAGGACAATAAACTCCTAAATAATTAGATTCCGGTACAAAATGAAAGATATTTTCAAAGACAAGTCGACTTTATATGTATACACATGCTAATCCGTTTCAATAAGTCTTGATTATAAAATAACCTTGGTATGCGTGTGTGTGCAATATCGGATCAAAGCAACAATGATTACATTAAATACCCAAGCACATTAATTTTTCTACATTTAATCATTTCGTATAAATCATTTTGAGTGAAGTTTATTGAAAAATGGTTAATGAAGGAAGTGTTAATTGAAGGTTTTAATTCATACAAAACGTGTAGAAGTGGCACAAATTTGAAAGCTTTTTAAAAATATCCATAGAGTGTTGTTGGAGAGAAACTGAATTCCTATTGAAAATTTATAAAGTGTTGTAAGGGGGAAACATCATCAACGAGAATGACACTCATTGCAAGTTTCGACGAAAAACAGTTCATTATAATCAATAATTTTTACTTTTGTTTCAAACACGAAGTCCACTAATTTCGAAAACTATTTCAAATTCTTTCGGGCTCACCATATAAGTGCTCATTTAACCCCGATGTTCACAACTTCGGAGTCGGCAACGCGAGATCTAATAAAACAGAAATGTTTACAAAAAACTATTATTGTTAAAATTCAAAAAACAAGACCCTTGGCGTCCCGAAACTGAGCGGTCTTGAGCAAGGATCTTTAGATTTTAGGGTCGTGACAGTCTTGCGCATTGGAGCTGTGGTCAATATTGCTTTTTTATTATGCTATCTAGATTGCCTGGTGCTCGCACCAATCGCCCAGGGCGACCAATCGTTTCTACTACCGAATACTAATTATCATGGTAGCCTGTCTGGAAAATTGGAGCTCTTCCGACATTGATTTATTTTTTTTGTAAGCCTATGTGGATCATCGTCTTGTGCTTGAACCTATCACGCAAGGCGGCAAACCAATACCACTGTTTAATTGTTCCGACGGAATAATATCTTCAAACAGTGTGGTGTGATCGTTCAATTTCACACATGCGTGAATTCGCCTTGAGAAAGACTTGCACGCAGTTCAATGATGCGCAGAGTGAATTGAGTTTTGTCAAATCTATTATGAGACCGCCTGGTAAGTTTATCCAATCATCAAACCGAACATAAAGTAGTTTATTTATGATTCATTGATTCGAAAGGATATTGTCATGTTTTTCGAAACCGAACTATTCGAGTTGTTTGAGTTAACTATCCAAATATCTTTGGATTTTTTCTTGTTGATAAATATTTTCCTTGTTGATAAATATATTTTTACTGAAATGGTTTTCTTGGATATTCAACATGTCCATTTCTCAATTCCCTAATTTGTAAATAAATATTTTCAAATATAGGTATCGCAACAGTTCAAAATTACCACCGGTGTGTTCACCTTTAATGTCTTTACAACCTTCCGTCGGGAAAAGAAATATATGACATCTCATCCCACCAGAAGTGACTTTATGAGCTCACCATAATGTTAATGATTTTACGATGCTTTCAATAGTTGCGCAACAGTTGCCGGACTATAGGTTGCCAGACGCCTCAATAATTTTTTTTGCGCCGGACGCCCAAGATTGTTCACACCATTCGTATTAATATAGGATTAATGTCGACTGAACTAATTACATAACAATTAGACAAAGTTCACGATGAGACGAGAAGAGACGAAAACGTCAATCATGGAGTAGACTGGTAGCTAAGATGTTGCTATCGGCGAGGCAGATGTCGCATTATCCGCACTTTGCTGACTCACTGGTTTCGTTTGCTCCTCAGTGTCGCGTATTGTTATTTTGAGTTCACAGTTTACTGTTTGAGTTGGCACATTAGTTCACCTTGTTTTCAGGTTGTTCGCACATTTCTACCAGCCTTTTTAGGTATTGTTTGAAGTGAATCCTCGCTTGCAGGTGTGAACAAATGTACATTAGGTGTCATGTTTCTTTCTGCAATGTTTTGGTGTCACAACACAATTTTATCATAATTTTTCCTGTGTGGTCGCAAATAATTTTTTGCAAGGTTTAATTTTCAAAATTCTAAATACATGTTTCAATTAATTTCTTTACCATAAAAAATAATTAGAAAATTAGAAACATTAACATTATTTTGAAATTTCTCTAAAAAAACACTAAAATTGTTCTCAGATTTTCAATTATGATACAATTTCATTTAATCATTGGTTTTTGATTATTTGAAATTACGTGTAATCATAATAATATCCTGTAAACCATGAATTAGTTGTGAAATTTTATTTCAAGAAGTTGAGTGATGATTTCATTATTTTTTTTAATTCGTTTCAAAATAATTCATTTCTAATATTATCCTTGCTTTTCGATTTCCAGACTAAAACTTGAACTCGACTTTAAATTTCTATTTTCAAATTTTCTCTGGAGACTGCTCTAATTGGTACGTGTAATCGTTCGTTTCGAGAACGGCCGTCCCTTGAGGCTTCACCCCCAGCTTTTAAATTTCTGCAATTTGACATATCCTATTTTTGTTTCATAAATGAGTAGAATTTTTTGATTGACTAATTCAATTCGCCTACGAGTATTAAAACTAGGCATTCTCAAATTTAACCTTGATGATTTAAAAAAAGAGAAAAAAATGCCGAACGATTAAATATGCATGATGATAGGCAAGTATGTGTTAATTGTTTTTACCTCCCTCTCTATGCCGTTTTCTTAACCATTCTCTCCTCCCACCCCATTGCCCTCTTTGAAGTCGGACCGCTACCGTGATCGCGGCCCGAAGCCACGCCCACCTATGACGGCGATTGGCCGACTCCTCCTCGAATGCTCACCACAACCATCGTCATCATCATCATCATCATCATCTCATAATAACAAATAGATTGCTTCTTCGGCTATTATTAATATTTTGGTTGAGATCATTGTTGTTTGATTCGGTCAACAACATGGCCCGCTTCTCGATATTGTACCTGTGTCCGGATCTCGCCGAGAAGCAGAATTCAAGAAGCGAGGATGATAATCCAGTGGACATGACTTATGCACCAGCAGGTAATCTTTCCAATTCGCAAAACTCTCACTTTTTGTTTGCCTACTTTATCAGTTTAATTCCAATTAATGTTTTGTTTCGTGAGAATTTCTTTTTCAATATCCCGCAATTGTTTGCCACAAATCCGCGCTTAGCATTTGAATGAAAGTAGAAAAGCGTAGAAAAAATCTACTCGAAAATTTTTACTTCTGGCTCATTTCGATTTGCATTCAGCTCATTATCCATAATCAACGCAAAATTTGAAGTGGTCTTTATTTACATGTAACTCACTGCTTTCATTCAATAAAAGGGTTACGGTAGACTATTTGCTTGCGGCGTTGCACTGCGGCTCATCTTGTCGCTGTTGATTGATGTTTGCCATCGTTCTCGTTTTTCGCATCAACCGCGACATGAATCGTTTACACACTAGTCGAAACCACCCTCTGTAAATGACAATCATATCATAGAGCCAATTGGCGCGATTCATGTTTTTTTTAGCGAGAGTAGCGAATGATGTCCCAACCAGCTACCGTATGACATCGTATGACAGGGTAAATCCAATGTTTTGTCTTTCAGCCGCCGCTGATCAAAGCACTCTCAGTGATCCCTCGTGCTCATCGATGGAAATGATGTCGAATCCGGCGCTGAGCCCAGCGCCAACCAAAAACGAAGAAGACTTTATGTCGGATGAGGGAATTGATGAAGAGCGTTCCGAGAGCGGGTCCAGTAAAGTAAGAAAAATAAGTCAATTAGCGTCAGAGATTACCTTAAACTTCAGGATGACGGCACCAAATCGCCTTGTAGTCCGTCCGGTGAGAAGAAGGAACGCTCTCCGAATGACAAACCACCATTCTCGTACAATGCGTTGATCATGATGGCGATCAAGAATAGCCCGGAAAAGCGGTAAGACATATTAATGTCGATCTCAATGAAATTTAAATTGTTTCAGCTTGACACTTGCTGGAATTTACGATTACATTATCACCAATTACCCATTCTATCGCGATAACAAGCAGGGTTGGCAGAACTCGATCCGCCACAATCTTTCCCTTAACAAGTGTTTTGTCAAAGTTCCCAGAAGCTTTGATGATCCTGGAAAAGGTTGGTTTCTAGTATCTTTAAAATTTCCATTAAATAATTTTTTGCAGGAAATTACTGGATGCTTGACGCTAGTTGCGAGGATGAGGTCTTCATTGGAGGCTCGACTGGAAAACTTCGCCGCCGCCCGTCGACAATGTCCAGGGCTCGTATGGATGCGTTTAAGCAGTATGGAACTGCAGCCGTCACTCTGTTCCCTGGATATTTTCCACCAGCAATTCCGTCGATGCCAACAAGACCGCATACGTTTATGCCGAATGCGGCGTCGGCTCCATTTCTTGGACGCCCAATGGTACCGATGCCAGCAGTGCCGGCAGTCTTCTCTCAGCAGGATATCTTGCAAATGTACTTGGCCCAGCAGCCATATTTATTCGGAAAAATGCAATAGATTTCATGTCCTAAGAATTGTTTTGTTGTAGACGCCACTGTCTGTTAAAATCCCCCCTCGGTGTACTGTGTCTTCCGCCCCCCCCTCTTCATTTCCTCTTTTCTAATAGATTCAAATTACTGTAGTAGACGGGTGGTGCGTTGTGACGAACCATCTCCCTTTAATGTTATGAGCTCCGAAATTTTGTCAGTATTGGTTATGAAATTCTTGTAATTTATTTAGAAATTACTGTTTAAATTATGTCAATTAAAATATTATTCGTCTATTCCATTGAAAATCATTCCATATTAAATTGTTCATGTAACCAATTTTTCACATATTTCCTTATTACTATGAATTTTCATAAAGAGTCTGATTTCTTTTTCCAATTGCAAGTTTGAATAACTAACAGATCGTAAATAAGTCAAACATGTATGCGAACGTCTGCCGATTTATTGCATAATAATGTCATACCTGCGCATAGTTAGTAATATACTTGAATAGATGTCAGCTGTTACCTGGTGTTTTTTTTTGTATGACCGACACACTAACAATCTAATCTGATCGTCGGCACATGTTTCCGCTTCTTTTTTGATAAATGAGCTGCGGACAATTGAAAACGATTAGCACCGTCTCGCATTTCGACAACAGATGTCTGTATATGTGTGTTTTTTTTTATAATTACGCCCAATATTTTCATGAACTCTTGAATTATCGGAAAGTATAACAAACATTATATGAAAAAAACCTGATTCCAATAAACTCTCGATTATAAGCACGAACAGTGTACGTTCAATTAGTGACTCAACAATGATATGTCGTTCGAATAAGCGAAGGGCGTCAGAGAAAAAAATTTGGCATTGCAATTTGCTATTAGAAATTTCCCGAACACTGCCTGAACTATGAATGTTTTCATTAAATAACGAAGGGGACAGATATTCTCATTGAACTCCCAAAAATTGATTCGGCAATCAGCAGACATTGTTCATTTCAAACCTTCCGCCGCGTATCAAATTTCGAGGCGAGCCGCCGCCACAAAAAAACGGATCGAAAAGCGGCAAAACGATTTGATAAACTTTTTGCGCATCTCATATTACCGTTCACCGGAAGACCAGCACTCAACAGGTGAATATCAACAATGGCATCAAATTGTGCGCCGGCCTCGCTTTTGTTGGATAGTGTAACAAGCTGGGCCAATCTTGCGGAGCGGTAGTGATTGGCATATGAGGGCCGGTGGTGCGGTTTGGAAGCGGCAGGTGCCATACGCAAAGTTCGCCAATAAACACCGCTCGACTTTACCAACTCGATGCGCATTTACAATGATCGATGAGGGACAGATTTATGATCTCACACATGAATGATTAATGCGAAACGGAACTAAGAGCCTCCAATTGTTACCGTAGAAAACATTGCTTGTGTTTATTTGTGGGCCACCCACCATCCCATTTATGTACATATGTTTATTTGGAAGAATGCAAGCATTCCAATGACATTTGTTATAAAATTGATGTGGCTAAGTTGGATTAATAAGACCACATTTTTGTGTATGTATTCATTTCACACATTTCTCAAATTATAAATATTGAGAAATGGGTTTGAGGGAAGTGCCATATTTGGGATTTACTGTAGTGTTTCTCTTATTGAAAACAATATTCTTCGATTAGGGCATCTGGCGAAATATGAAAACCTGTCATTCCCTTTATAGTTGCGCTCAAGTGCTCTCGATGCACAGTATGTTGTGAATCAGCGGGCAGATGTAGCGTTATGTAACGAAACAACACGTTTGGAAACCGTAATCGTCCGCAGATTATTGTTTGGTTGCTGATGATTGGCATGTTGAATAAGCAAGTGGAAAGAAAAATAATCGGGATTAGGCTGAAGAGAGCCTAATATGTAAGGGTCAATGAAACCTCATCTCCTATTTTTTTTGGCCGAAAGTATGAATAAGATGATTTCATTGTTCAATTTGAAATCCATTGTATTCTAATCTATGACTCCTCTGGGAAGGTGAAGATTCCCGGAAAAGTGCGCTAATCCGCCATAGTACCAATTGTCTAAACCTTCCAACTTGTCAACTTTTGAATACGAGGCAGGTGTTTTCGAATCCTTATGTCATCTTCAACAAATTCTTCATTGCAAAAAAAAACCACAACAGATGCGTGCACCAATAGTAGCAGATATATCGGCTTAACTCTGATGAACTTGTCGGTAATTATGGAATTATGCATATATACATGTATCGGTCTGACGGGGCTTGGGCAAACACGAGCCAACTAACTATATATGGTGGTAAGCAAATATAGATTATCGGTAACTACATAGAAGGTAATTAAAGTATCGTTAACCGACTTGAACAAACAACTGAGTTAGGTGTGAATTGCTCCCAAAAAACCTAGGGAGCCATGTGTTCCTTGACATGAAAGTGACCGATTTTTGCTTGCGCATGGTTTCGCACATACTTGAGAGGTTTGTTCAAACGATTATATTTTATTATATGCAACATTATTGAAAAGGCGGCTACTATGTCTGAAAATTGTTAAAATGCGGATGAAATTGTCTGAAAACTACTCAAAAATAATTTACAGTGCTCCCAAACAAATCGCTGAGTCATGATTGTAATATCAAGAATTTATATAATATTATTTAATATTTAATATTGAAGTCCACAGCTTTAGCAATTTGTATTTCACATTTTTGACATACATATATTCTTCTCGAAAGATTGAATCGGATAACATCAAACGACTGCGAACACCAACCGTGTCGCGCAAAACCGCAAAATATTAACATAATAGGTATCGATAATTATATGTTGTTTTTTTTTTTAAGTCACCGGGACTGAACATATGTCTCATGCTACGCAACTCGATTGAATGAACATGAGTTTGAACATATCTTTATGTATTATTTGGTTATAATGAAGGGATGTTTTGATGTTTTAGTAACTCTGCACAACATAAATAATAATTGGCTTTACAATTTGAGTTATTGACTAAAAACAGCAGTTAGTTTACTACAGCACGTCTTAATTTCTTATTATGTTTCTTTTTTAATATTAGTGTTTTGGAAACAATTATTTAATCAGTATCTTTTTATCAGTTCAGTGGAATTGCTTCAAATTTTCAGCGTGATTGAGTTTTTATTAAGTTTTTTCTAGGGTGTGAAAAGTGTTTTTGCGTGTTTCAGCTGAAGGAGCCGTTATCACCCCCTGGTCCACCCAAGCCAAGGACCGAAAAGCTTGGAAAGCTGTGGTTCGCGCCTCAACATTCGAAGGACGAACCGACTAAGTGACTAAGTGAAGTGAAGTGAAAAGTGTTAGAATAAAGTGTCATTAACAGAATAGTGTTACCGCAAAGACGGGACCTTCATTGAGTATTGCAAGTAGTATATATACCTGAGTAGTTAAAAAATGTACCATTTTTTATTTTTATGAGGTTTTTGAATATTTCTTATTCTTTTGAATTTCATATATGTTTTTTTTTTACTTTTTTTTCTGACACTGTCAAATGAGTTTACAAACAGAAAAAGGCCTCTTATTACCCCTAAAATTGCGAGCGATTAATATTTTGAAAATTTTGAAATTGTTAACTTTCTAATATTTGCAACTGCTTCCTGCTCATTGACATCAAATTATGAACGATTCTATTTGTTGAGATTATACGTTGCAGCAAAAGACAAACATGTCGGTGTTCTTTGTCGGTTATTATTTGATAATCTATTGTGAGCTTTATGATCCAGCACGAATAATTTTTTCAAATATCAGTTTCGGATGTAAGAAGCACAACACAGCAATTCGTCCGAAATGTGCCAGCTGTTTTAGCAAGCAAAGCTCAGCGGGGAAGCGTGGGCGCCCAATGTGTATGAGAGAGTGTGTTTTCGAGTCCCCCCCCCTCCGAAAAAGACCCCCTTCGCTGGCTGACAATTTCAACGGCACTTGGATCCGCATTGAGCCATGCCGTCCGACGTGGCCTTCCGAGCAAGACATCCCGTTTGCCTACCGAGATCAAGATCATTGGAACGCGTTGGAAATGTCGCGACATTGACCAAGTATGTCTAGCTTTAACCGTAAAAACTATAAGGAAATTCAAGTTGGCATTGTGTAGAATAATTTATATACAAATATTCTTATAGAAATAACTCCGGAGAAAATTAGATATTTGACAAAATAAATAGAAAACTGTTATTGAATTTCAGAGATTGTTAAGCGTTTTTTTTATTATTTTTCTTTTAAGATGGTCGAAACTTTGCTAACGTTGTGATATTTGAAAAAACGAACCCATATTATTTCATATTTCAAAAGTCTTAAAATTCACAAATTCGTTGTTTTCTTGAGAAACTCTCCCACTAAGATTTTCATCTATATCCTCAGCCCATCCAATAAAACGCCTTGATCAATTTCCTACTTTACACATTTCTTGAGCCTTCTCGGTTGCAAAAAAATATCTGGCGTCTTGAGAAAAAGGAGGAAATGATTTCAATGCGTTTCTCATTTAGAGTCACATCTGTTCCGAATCTCGCTACTCTCCGCGTTGGCAATGATTACAGATCATCGACACTTCATAAATATCGTAGAGACGTCGATTCGGTAAGCAAGATCATTAAAAATCAACTATTTTAAAAGAGATGAATTGTACATAACGAGAATTGAGAGATAAATTCCCCAGTGTAATGTCTTCAAAATTCGTTGCTCTTGCTTTTTTATGTAGGTATAATGATCGGTTGCAGCTTGACGACTGGGCTATTGATAGATACACCTTCCATGCTCCGTTCTATTGGCAAACGTATAGATACGCTGCTCGGCGGCAATTGTACGTCGACCCAATCCCGAACACTTTGGGTCATGAGTACTCGACATTCTGGTCCAAATACAAGTGGTACACTGATTGGTTGAATCCAACCTACTGGAGACGATACCGCGATCCCAACTACGACAGACCAATGTGGAACAACTGGCGTCCATGGCATTATGACAAGTGAAAAATATTAGAAATTTAAGTCAAAATGCTGAATATGATTTTTTTTCTAGCAAAAACGTGAAGGTTGCCATCGACTTGTACAGAAATGGAGTAATTGATTTCAAGACCCTTGACAAGAACTGGATTGAGCCTTCAGCTTATAGCAGACGCGGAAAAGACTGGGCTGATGTTTACCTTCCAGCAGGTAGAATGTTAAAAATAATATTTAACAAAACGGAATAATTTTTTCAGCACGCTATGGAGCTCATCGCTATTTCTACTCGTTTAATTAAATCAATCAATATACGCGAAATTCTGACGAACGTCTTTTTAAATATTGTATTACAGAATTTTTATTGCCTGTGGTGTTCTTTCTCAAAGAATGTCTTGATGCGGTTGAATATGCGTTACAACGAAATTATATAAAAGTGTCCTACATATAGAAAGTAAGGAGTTATAATTATAAGTGGTTCAACATTTTCTAGTTACCTCCGAGCATCTTTATTATTTTCGACCCGTTGCAAATAACCAGTTTTTCAATTTAAGCACCACATGGAAATGTTCCGCTTATCAAAAAAATTGTGTGCGTGTATGACTTGTGCATTGTTTCACTCGAGCAATTTTTTGACTTTATCGTTGACACCCTCTACCACGAAATCGTTGGTTTCCGTCTGAAAATAATCCGGTTTGGAATGCGACGCATTTCATTTTGCACTCACCAGCTCCTCGATTCTATCAAGCTTTGGCTCCTGGATTTTGAGCTGAACATGAAGATCCACTGCTAGATTCTTGATGGATTCAAGATGCTCATCAACTTGCATCATATTTTTCTCAAGCTCGTCTTCAATTGCATCACATGTCAATCTGACCAAGAATGGAATTCGTAAATATAAAAGAACGGTGTACCTTTTGATGAATTCACCGCCCGACTCTCTTCTTTTGCTGGAGTTTCGAAAAATGACGGGTGACCCCTCTTTAGGCGGACTTGATGTTTTCAAGTTTCTGTTAATTCAAAAATTATAATTATACATTTGTTTGAAAAAATGATTACTCCATGATTTCATCCTTGATAATATCACGCTCTCTCTTTCGAAATCGGTTAAATGGAAAACTGAATAACAACAAACTATTATAATCATTTTGTGGTGTTTGCACAAACCATAAAATTCTCATTATTTTACAACCGCAACATTTGTTCATATTTCGAACACTCTCCGAGACAATGTTCAAATCTTCATTCACTCGGCTCAAATTCTCCTCGATTTTATCAAGTTGTTCTAGAATATCGGATTATGAGTTTATTTTTTGTTTTTTTTTGACGACAACTGATAAGAGTTCAATTGTTATTCAAAATTGGCACGTACCATCCTGATCTTCTAATGCTGCAAGTGTGTGCACACCATCGGCATTCATCTCGTCGAGGTCTTTCAGTATTCGACGACTACTTTCGAGACTCTGGAATAAAAAACAATAAAAAACAGTATCAAAAATATTTTTATGATGAAATTAGTTTGTCTAGAAGGTCTTGTTTTTTTTATGAAAAATTTCAAGCTTCCATTTCATGAAAAGTCAATAATCGACTTTTTAGTTATTTATTATAATAATAAATAAATAGTTGGAAATTTTGTTTGAAAATTAATTCCTTGTTCAATTGTTCAATTTTGATTTTCGACATTTACACGTTGATAAGTTTATTTACAATAATTGAAAATAATAGTGAATCAGATGAAAGAAAAAAATTGAATCGAGATTTTCACAAGATATTCTTACCTGTAAATTTAGTTTGGCAATTTCCGCATCAAAATCAATCAATCTCAATTTTATTTTCTTCTGTGCCATTTCTTCAGTAGGAAGCATAACAGGCTCCTGAATTCTAAAAAAAAATATGTTCGTTCTTCATAATCCACGAAAAATAGGAAAATTACTTTTCCAATGCTCGTCTGACCATTATTGTAATCGAATCGAGAGAAAAACAGTCGGCAGAATCAATAAAGAGTATACTGACTATTTTTATCAGTTAATGGACTATTTATCGCACATTCCACACGCGAATTCCAACGCGGCCCCGCCAACACGATGATTATTCTTTCAAAGAATTTTTCAATGGTGTCACAACTCTATTTGATTTTAACATTTTTTATTAACATGTGGCATCATTGCCGGGTGATTAAATACGAGTTATTCAGCTTCAGGGTTGATAAATATGGGAAGATGAAGGAAATCACGCGACTGTTCGTGACTTCTCAATTACAATGTACCATATATATGTGTTCCGTTGATCTCGTGGTACAGTAAAAAACAATAAAACAAATACAATAAAACAATAACATAATCCAATAAATGATTGTGATGTTTAAAGTAAAAAAAAAAAGAAAAAAAAAAGAAAAAAATTTTTGATATATATAGAAATTTGTTTAACATATTACTTGCGGCCGAGGCCCACAAAGTAATTGCGCGCGTCCAAATTGTAGCCAGAGGTCTGAAAAATGAATAATTTGTGAAATTTGCGGTGTTTAGCAGTCTTACACTACGCTTGTCGATGCCAAAATCAGCGCTGCGTTTTTTCCCAAAGGACATTCGGAACGCGTTTGGATCCATACGTTTTTCGAATCCGAAGGGGTCCAAGTTAAAAGGACTGGCGTCACGCTTGCCGAAGCCAATGCGGAAGACGTTCGGGTCCACACGCTTCCACGTTGACTGGGCGGATGAATCCTCTTCGCTCTGAAACTTATTAGTTTTGCAGAAAACAAATATATATATTTATTTATTTTTGACAATCCTTACCATCCGTTTTCCGAACGAAACCGGATATGCGTTGGGATCCATGCGTTTTCCCAGCTCGTTGTCGTCCAAGTCACATAATGTGACCCCAATCAACGTTGTGAATAGTATCACAAACGTTTTCATGGTGACTCAACAAGTTTACCTGCAATACTGCCGCGTTTCGGATGGAGAATGAAATGAGTGATTCGCAAAAATTAATTATATGGGCGTGCGATTACTGAATCACTCGAATCCCATGGGGCGGTGGGCAGCAGATAATTTAATAAACTTGCAGGTGAGTAATAGTCGTCAAGGGGCCAAACCATGAATTTAAGCAAAAAAAATCTTTTGTTCCTATATTTTTTGGGACCACCCGTAAACAATTTTTTGCTATTGAAAAAAAATGTCTCGAAATTTTTCGTTGTTTTTTGTTAAATCTTTAGAATTCATAAAGGATTCCTGAAAATTTCCGAGAAAATCTAGTCTTCTGATTTTATAAAGCTTACTTATGTTTCACACAAATCAAATATTCATATGTACTCCTCAGTCGGCTAACGCGAAACTTTGAATTTTCCCAAACCATTCTATTTTTATAATCTACAATTTCGATAAGCAAATTTTCGGAGTTTCAAAGATTTTTTAAATAAATTATTAATCCATAAAAATTCAGCCCTAAGACACTGCTATTTATTTTTGCATAGTGACAGCTTCTCTTAAATAGTAACTAAAAAAAATGAATTTTTCTGGATATTTTTTTGCTAAACTCACTTTTAGGGCAGCTAGATAGATTTGAGTGAAAAATACTGAAATATTAATCCAATTGTTATTCGGTTTTTTTCTGTTGCCAATTAAGAATTCGAAAGAATTTATAACACAAAAGATTACCTGCGGAAATTTCTACGAATTGAATATTTGTCACTAATATTTATTCTGACTCACTTTGATTATAAGAATATAATTATTTGAATAAATAAAACTGACTATAGTACGTGAAAACTCACATATGTGAAATTTGACGATTCTCTATTTCGGATGCCCCCAGTATGGATTCAGATTTCAAATTATCGAGAAGTTGCGAGAAGTAGGTCAAATCTCGTGTTTTTTTATCGTTCTAATCTTGTCAGTTACAATAGTTTTTGAAGAATTTTGATTCCTTATTATTGGGAATTATATCGAGTCAATGAAATTCACAATTTCAAATTCGACCAGATTTTTGATCAGCTAATAGCACAGAAAGTGTGGTTTTCAGAAAAAAGAGAAAAAAACTTGCCTTTGAATATGCAATGCTTATTCTGCGAGGCTATGAATATGTTACGGGGGAACTTACAACTAAGCAATTAGGATATCCCTTAATTGGGTCATAAAATGGCCAAAAACTTTGTTTTTAATTTTGAGCTGACCCCAAGTCGTACACAAACTAGTGCTAAACTATGTCCTTATCAATCAAAGGGAGAATTGAATACAATGATTCCAATCAAAACATGGAATTCTTACCACATCAACTATTACTGGTGTAGCCAGAAAGTGTAAATTCGCGCAATAATAGGAAATCGTTTTTCCTCTTTTCGCCCATTCTTCTTTTTTTGAATTTTTAGTAGGGCGGGCGAATCTCATTATTCACTTTCTTGTTTTGCCTTTTTATCCTTTGTATTTATTTATTCTTACGATTCTATAAAGTGGCTATGAAGGAAATAATCAGAATTTCAGTTTTATAGCTGCCATTTCGATATTTGAGATATTGCCATGAAGGAGATGAAAGAATGAGTTTCTCGAAAAACTTTTATTGCGTTGGTCTTCGAATGGAAACGTCATTAGAGTTTGTCTATTGGTAGCGCAGAAAAAAGTAAATGAAGAATTGGTTAGTATATTATAAATGGCGACGGGAAGTTGGAATCCGTCTTCCCACAAGCTTCCTACAGCTCGATGTATGCTTAAGAGTGATTTTCCTATTATGGTAAGGAAATGGGGGAAAAGGATAAAACGGAAACAACTGATTCGACCGAATGGCTAGTCGGAGCATGACCACGCCCAAAAGCGCCCCTGTTTTATTATGGATTGGCTAGAGAAAATTATAGCTTATATTGCGCCACGCCCATGTTTCTGAGGCCCAACCCCCATTTGAACATGTTGATTCTCGAAATCAGAATTGTGATTACTAGTTACATAAGCAATTAAGAATGAACGTGAGTAATTGAGAAAAAGCTGAAATTCTGGAAAGTTGATCATTTTCAATGGTATATGAATGAAGAGAAGCACAGCGTCTGAAACTCGCTTCTAGATTAAGTTTCTGTTGAATAAATGGTAATAATATAATTTACTTGATCTTCATGAATTTTGACATTTCAATTTTATTGTCAAAAAATTGTCCAATTATTTCAAAGATTGAAATATGAGAAAAATAGGAACATTTTTTGGACCCAGGGTTCAATAAATTACCTTATCGGTATAGTTCCGAAACTTCTCGACAATAAATGATGCAAATGAAATTGTGAGCTTATGTTTTTTTTTCTGTTAAGTATTTTTCTGAGTGTTTCGTAAAGGACTTATAAGATTAAATACCAAACGATATTTGATCTGCATTTTCCTTAATCCCCCTAAACTGAAAAATTCAAAGAATGGAATTTTCGCAAAGCCTTAGCATTTAGAATTTTGATAATATCTACGTCGCAATGAGGTGTCTAATACACCCCAAGAAGCCTTAGACAAGACATGTTACCATTAGTTTCTGGATATTTATGGACCGGCATAAATCAAGAAAACAAATGACGTCAAGGGGTACTGTAGTGAATGGCAAGGTTAAATTATAGTCGGCACGTTTTTCGCGCCATAAATATATGTTTTAATCGGCTGGCAAACTGCGAATTTGCACGAATCTGACAACATGATAAATAAAGTTTCTTTGTAGGACGATGTATGCGAAATCGAGTTCACCAAAATTGAATTCTGATCGCCACATGTTTTCCTTTTCGAGAATTCAATTTTGAATAGTTTAAAAAAACGATGATTCACCGTAAAAGAATGGGAACTTTTCTGATTTTGAATGAGTAAGCATTTTTGCAAAATTTTCGATTCCCTAGAGTCGACGTGAAACAAAAAATGCTTTTAGTGACTAATGTGGAACGCTAATCAAAATCTAATTTGTTGCAGGATTTGCACCAACGATCTATCGAGTCAATCGAATGCAACTTGTAAAAATTAAAAGAAACATTAAAACATTCTAATTTGTGCTCTGAATCCCATTAAACTGTCGCTCCTAGCATTTTTTAATATGCATAAATAGCCTTTTTAGTGTTAGCCATTGGCTATGAATGGCAAATTACCTTTGATCAATTTTTAAACAGGACGTCGTCTAGAATAGCGTCAGACGTCGAATTATGGGAAACCGCAAAAAATGACAATCCCATAAAAATTTTTGAAAAATGTCTGGTGTTGATCTCCACACTTATTTTTTTCTAAGGCTTCGTTGACAAACAAAATTATTTAAAAACAAATCCAGCTGTCAAAAAATTCAAAAAGTTAGTCATGCTCAGAATGAAAATATCATTTTTCAGAAAAATTATTTTTTTAAATCAAAAACTTGTTTGTTATGTAGTTCTACACATTTTTTTCTGCGGAAACTTTATTTGTAGAATAAACATTGATCCATATCGTCATTGAAAAATTTTTAATCTAAATAAAGAAAAAGACCATTTGAACAATGAAATCAGATTTTGGCAAATTCAATTAAATTGATGATTACAATTCATTAAGAGTATCTTGGAACTACCGTACTATGTTGCTTAATGAGTACGCTGAATCATAAAATGATAAATTCAATTAGTAATGAATTCCAGAAAACGAGCTGCACATATAACGTGTATTTCTGTGCAACTCAATAAAGTACAAATTGTTTTGAATGAAGGGAGACTACAGTGAAGTGGAAGAGCAGAGTTCGGCCGCGGTGTATTCCGGTGAATTGAAGTATTGGGTCTTGAGGCGACGAAGAAGTGCGCCATCGTCTCTGAAAAATGTAAATGTTCAAAGTGAAATCTCTCACTCATAAGTCGGCTGCAAGGTAAATCAATATGAATGAATGACTCATAATTCCATAAAATCAAACTTCTAAACGTGAATTCTGTCACAACATCTTGAAAAAGTCAATATTATTTTGATCCGAGTGGGGACAAATAATTATTAAGCCTAATTCATCCGGAAATTGTTAGTCACTAATTTCATTCGCGCATTTATTTTTCTTTTCGCGTGTGGAAAATATTTTCTTTTGCTGAATCCTTACATCGGCGCAATTGGAGACATTATCCTGCTGGTGGATGGCGCCGTATAATTCATATTCATCGCATCCATGTTTTGATTGTTTCCCAAATTTGGAGCCTAAAATTATTATTGAACTTTTCGTGATGTTTGATAGTTTACATTTGGCGAATCACGTTTTGGACTGATATCAACAATGGGAGCTCGAGTTTGAGGTTGAACAACAAGGTCTAGAAAACGAAATTAAACAATAACCGCGGAAATATCAAAATATGTTAGAACCTCGGTTGTCTAACACCAAAAGGCAATGATCCCCTATTTTGACTATACGATGTTTGTGTTCCATGATGTTGTGAATTATATACTCTGGAGATGGGATACTATAGCCTGCTTCGATTTCAGTCTCCCTAATCGATGAGGTGCCAGGTACTGGAAATGATGAAAGTGTTCTAGGAAGGGTTCTCTTGGTATGACGAGCAATTGGAGGATCAGTTTGAACTTCAGTGTTTCTCTTAGTTGGATTCTTCTTTTTAAATTCTTTCTCCTCTTCTTCATCCTTGCATCGGAATTCGATATGATCGGACAATTGAACATAACCTAGGCTAATATGTTCAAGAATTGCAAACATTATAAACTAACCTGTATTATTACTATATATGACACGCATTTTTGTGGTCAGCGCGTCCGCGTAGTTAGCATCTTGAAGTCCTAGGCATTCGCAAAGCTCTCGATTTACCTGAAATGTAAATATATACATAAAAGAAATTTTTTCATAAAATGCACCTCGAATGGAATTTTGCGATACGCTCCAACATATGCGCAAACCTTTGGCTTCATATAATGCAAAACATTGAGAGCTGGAGCAGCGTTTAGCTAAAAAATGTTTAATAAATGTAAATTTTCTAAAAAAAAATAGTGAATCCAACCATCATATTTCTTATCTTTGCTATTAGAATGTACTCGAAATTCAAATTTCCCGAAACTCGCTTGTAAAATGAGAGCCTGTAATTTACCCAATTCTGAAATTTTTATGCAATATCTCTACTTGGAAACATCATTATCTTCGGGCATTTTTGAATACAACATCCTAGCTCCCGACCAGGTCTTCCAAGAAGATGTGAACATCGTGGTATGCATATCTTCCATAGTCTTGTACGCGAAAAATAGATAACCGTGAAGGCACGAAGCATCTTCATCTGGTGATATGAAACTATTATCAATTTCTTCCTCGCCGTCCTTCTTTTTTGTTATTATTTGCACACTACGGTAGAGGCCTAAAAAACAATAAGAATATTTCATACATCAAAATTATAAACCGCTCTCATTGTTGTTGTTTGGATCGACGTGAGGGTTCTTTGTGAGGTCAACACCCCCTCTAACAAAGACAATGTCAATAAAAGGATAGTAGTCTGAAACGAAATTGGTGGATGGATCGAATCGGTTCATTGTTAGACTAACATCCTTTCTCTATAGATTTCATTTTTTTGACGGCAATCTTCTCAAGAGTGGGGTCTGTCATTCGAAACTTGACTGGAAGATGAATCCGCTCCGTGGGCTTTGTGCTCTGTTGAAGGCTCACATGGATGTACGTCGGGAGATTCTAAAGGTTAAATAAACAACTAAAACTGGAAAACGTTAATACCTCCATTGTTTGGTAGATTTGTGAAAAAAAAATGTTTTGAAATCAAACAAAGGTTATGAATTGCTTATGAGTCATCAGAATTTTTTCAACTCTTGCAGTCTTGTTTGCAAAAAAATAGGAAGTAATGACATTCTCATAAATACTACAGTAATTAATTGACCCGGAATTTGATATGTATTGAACCTTTCTGTATTTTTTCAAGAAACGCTATAATTTCAAAAATTTTTTCTGGTAATGACGAGGCTTATGAAGGTTGTCTATTTTTGTCAATTCAATCACGAGAAAGTTCATCAAATTTGGGGGTTCACGCTTCAGAAATTGTCAGTTTCTGCTAAATTTGCTGTAAGTCATCAACACTGAACAGAATTTGTTTGAGAATAGTCATAATTATAATGTTTTCAGTCTGTGTTTCTGTAAACATGTGGAGGCGGAAAATAATATGTTTCGGATTACTGTACTTGAAGGTCAGATTTTGATTTATTGACATCCAGACTCAGAACGCATTGGAAGATCACAAGTCCAGAATTTTCATAGTGTATTAATGTGGTTTAAAAATTGATAAGAATTTTATTATTGGTGAAAATTTTCAATGACGTCACTGATACGGAATTACGAAATATTCTGTTGAACTGAATTCATAGACACGAATGCTCAAACGATTTTTTGTGAAGCTCAAACTTTTCAGAATTTGAAAACTTTTAGATTTTTGAAGCATGGACTTACATGATTATCGCGAGTTTGAAACATTGCGGCACACGAAGAATAATAATAATCCGGCGGGGACGCGAATATACTCGCGGCTTCTAATCAGGCTGGTCTGCGGGTAATTCGGTTGCGCTGCAGCCTTCTATTGTTCTTCGCCCAATTGTCTCCACCTCTTCTTTTACGACATCGCCGTCCATCTATTTTTTTGAACCAATCATATCCATTTCCAATTTTTCGTCACTCAGCAATCGGTCGCGAAATAAATGCTGTAACAAGCTGATTTATTATTGAACCGAAAAAATTGAGATCCTCACTAGCTTAAATTGGTTTTTAATAATGACGCCAATGTGCACAATAAATGAGCATTTCAATGTTTTTTTGTTTCGTCTTGAGAGCTCGGCAAACGTCATTGAAAGCCGCTCATGATGGACGATTCAACGATGTTCACAGGAAATTTGGTTTTTTTTTCGACGTGCGCGTATTTTGGTCACGTTAATGGGAATTGTGCTCGCAAAATTTATTTTTATTGAAAAAACACATTCACAAGAATACGTGGAATCTTATTGTATAACGCATTTTTTTCACGAAGAAACTATAAAAAACGAGTAATAAGAATTATCTTTTTTTAACTCAAAAAAATTAAATATATATATATTTATATATGTATATATATAACGTTAGTTATTTTGGGATCTTTCCACAAATCTGCATTGTACGATTAAAGTTATAAAGTTGTAAGAAAGCGAACTACATAAACAGTTCTCTGTTTTTGAAATAAATATGAATTTTCTTCAAATGAACAAAAATTAACGAATTGGGTTGGTGTTTCAATTGCTGATTCATTCAATAATGATATATATGGCTGATAAATGTGAATTAAGTATAGTGCTTAGAAGATCTTTAAAAATAATAGCGGAAATGAATAATCGATGTTGCATTACACAGTGTCTAGCGCCCATTTGTCACGGAGATTGATAGCAGCCTAAATGCAATGTATTGGAATTTTGAATTTTCATTTTTTTTTTCAAAATTTTAATGGCATTATGAAGATGCTGGAATAATAGAAAATAGGTTTCAAAAATTTTTGTTTGAAAACCCTATGCAGACTGCGAAAGAAATCATTTTTTATCAGTTAAAAAATATTTTTTGAATCAAAATGTGTAGTATTTCTCAGTGGTATAATTATCGTTCGATACAAAACTCACTTAATTTACATATATATACATGTGTTAAGATTGTTTAATTCTTCTTTTTTTTAGTTTTGCATTTTTTTTCAAAATATTAAACGAAATTTCCCGATATATGAAGCACAAGAATGTCGAAAAATCCTTTAAAAAATGTTTTGCCTTGAATAACTCACTTCTAGAAGTCATGAAGTTTTTAATTTCCTCAAAATTCGAAAAAAAAACTAGTTAGAAGTTTATTATATGATTTACGTTTTTAAATTTCTGTAAATCTGTGACGACAACTCAATCCGCAGCAAAAGAATTTATTTTCAGTTTTACGTACATGGTTCAGGATTTCGCGATGAATAAACAGTAACGATGGTGATAATAGGAGATATGAACGTTTTGTGTAAAAGAAACAAAAAAAAGCAATAACATTATTTGATTATATCGTATTTGAAACAGATCAAATTTTCACAATGTTCAACTTGATTTCATTTTACCGAAGGTAACTCGTAGAAGCGTCTACATATAATTCAACTGGAAGCAAATAATATTTCGAAAAAAAATAGGAGAAATTCGGGGGGATTAAAGTAAACGAGAACAGGAGGAGAAGCTCGTGATAAGCAAAAGCAATTAAGCAATGAAACAGCAAATTAAGCACGATCACAATAATTACGTTTATGGGATTATTTAGAGAACAATAATAATCAAAGGAAGAAATACTGCAATGATTTACTTAATCGTCCCGCGCTGAAACCACCTGCTCACTGATTTCAGCCATGGCGGTAAGTGTTGTGTTGATCCACTGCTGCAAAGTGGACTTGCGTTTGGTGGTGCCACCCTCTTCTGCTGGTGGCTCTGGCTGGACAGCTGGACGAGACTGAAAAAAATAAGCTCTTTTTAATGAGATTCATAGAAAAAAACCATAGTTTCAATCATCACGTAGTAGTCCTCATCGGGTTTCTGAAACATGTTAATTAATAAATGCAACCAAAAAACAATGTTAGGAAATCCACTTCAGATCAGCCAAAACAATCTGGAAAATTATTCAAGCCAAACGCAGTTGAATGAGATAAGTTGCACAATGTTAGAAAACTCATTAGAATATTTAGAAAAAGCTGACAAACTTTAATTTGGTTATAATTGATGCAAGAAAAACGACAAATCTGCTCAAACGTCGTTTACCTTACATTAACATTTACATTTTCCGTGAGCTGGATGCTATTCTGCCTGATATTTCAAGAATATGTCTGAGAAAAAAAAACAACAACAACAAAAAGAAGAAGGAACTGAGATGATTTAGTGATTTTGTGTTTTTATTTGATAGAATCACAACGTGAGCTTAATATGAGATGTGGTGCTACTCTAGCAAACCAAATTAAAGTGATTGTCGGACGGTTTTGTTTCATTTCGTGACTTGTATAGAAAATAAGAAACAAAATGGAAAAAAATAAGAAGGTGGGAGGTGGGGAGGAGCTCAACATAAATGTGTAATGTACAATAGTGGCCACAAAATTTAGTAATACACTACCTTTACTGATTTTAAGAACTTCTCCTTGACAATGCATTTGCGTAAATCCTTTGCGGACCAGCGGTCTTTTACACGAGGGGTAAGAGTCCTTAATAATCGGTTTGATTTATTGTGAACCTTATTCTTCGAATTCTCTACTTTTTGAAAAGCTTTAAAGCTTTCTCGCTGAAGGGTAAAAATTTCTTGGGAAGCGTCGGGTTCTTCCTCTTCAACCATTGTTCCCATTCCCAATATGGTTTGCACATAATGGAAGCCTTCTGCCATGGGAATCGTCCCTTCATACAATAGAAGAAGATAATACCTGAAAAAACGTCAAACATCAATTTAATCCAAGGAAAGATATCTATCCGGATGGATCTCTTCAATATTTATGTTGTTTTGTTTAGGACCCTGCTGCCACCCCCCCCCCTTCTCCATCCCATTCTCCATTCTCATTTCTGGTCACCCATTATCTACCGCAAAACACAGGAAGCATCTCTTCCGAGATTCTATTATTAGTTGCAGCTGTAACTATTTTACGTGCCTGCCATCAATATAGCAAAAAGCGGGCCTATCGGTGACGTCAATGGATATTGGCCAAGCCGGTGTCGATATAGTACACAGATCACAATCAATTTCGTGTTGAACACATGTCTGCAGCACGTTTACATCAATTGTTCTTCTTTTCATTGATCATCGCATCCCCGCAAACATGAGTATTTCGTGAAGAACCGCATCGGTGGCGAAACGATCAAACATGAGTTGTAAGGAAATGAAAAATGTTGAAAGAAGGAAAAAATAAAAGAGAACATGTAAAAATGTTTCTGACATGCGATTCATCAAAGAAAAAACGGCGTAATATATTTTCTATTTTTAGAAAACGATTTTGATATATTTGTTATTGAATAATCATTGGGTCTATATGGCCACCACTATCGCTTCGCTTCCCAACTTTCAATTGAATTTCCGAAGTTCAAAAAGAAAAGAGAGCGAACATGAAATTGAACGTTTCGCCCCTAAAAATAGAAGCTTTGACTTTTTGCCTACGTGTTTCCTTTTAGATATTCTCGTTTTCCATTTTTTAGTCATTGAAATTCGAAATGCACACAAAAAACTGGCATACGAAATTTTCCAATTAATTACAAATTCCACCTATATAAGATACAATTAACCAAACTCTTTTTCAATTTCTGATCCATTATTCTTCGCAATCGAGCCATCACTTCATTCTAGTCACGTTTTATCTCATCTTGCGCCGAAAAGTGGATGCCAGAGGATCTCATTTTGACACGTGACCCGAACAATAAAAGAAATATCATTTTTTTGCAACTCGCCAATATCACTAAAACGGACTCTGTCAACAGTTGCTGATAAACAATACAAAAATGTCAACATCGGCGACTGTTTCCGCAAAGATCAAAATTTTTCTAACCTATGGCCCAAATATCGGTGCTTCTGTTGACCGTCAAGACCTCGTTGACGACGGTATCGCAGAGCTCAGCAGCATGATAATTGTTCACATACTCCAAGTACTTGACGGTCGCGTCAACTTTACGCGTCAAACCGAAATCTGTGACTTTCACCTAAAAGACGTCATTATTTTTTCTTTCGGCGTCAAAGTTTTTTTTTTGAAAAGAATTGCCGAGGAACGTGCGCAAGAAAAAAAAGAGGCGCCATCAATAATTGAAAATCGGCTCACCTTCGAGAAATCATTGGCTTCAAAAATGAGAATATTTTCGGCTTTCAGATTGCGATGCACGAGATTCTCATCGTGCATGAACTCGATGGCCGACATCACCGCGGTGAGCACTTTACGAGTGTTCGCTTCTCCGATTCCTGAATGGAAAAAATATGTAAACGCATTGAAATTAGAAAATAGGAAACGTTCATGTTTGCTAAATATTTCGAAAGCTAAATATTTTCATAGTTTCCTGCCAAGCTCACTCGCCCACCAAAGCTTCTTCTGCAACAGTATCCAGACCTCTTCACAAAAAAGTTTTTGAAATGCTTTGGCAAAAATCGGCCATTATTATTCTCACGGTTTTCTCAAAAATATCCATAGTTTTTTTTTTCATTTTTTTTTCATTAGCGTCAAAAACCCATCATGATGCCTTCTGTCTCATTTATCTTGAGTGTAAAATTCGGCATTCAGCAATAAATCTCGCCATCTTGCTCAGTTTTTATGGGTTTTCACATTTTTTTTGTTTTCAACCCCTTTTCATCCCAATGATCTGACCTGTCTGATTGGTGGCCTCAACAGCCTCGCGTAGAGACGCTTTCGGGCAGAATTCCTGAACGAAGAAGAATGCCGAATCATCAGATGATTGGAACATTCCCTCGTATGTGTCAATGATGTGCGGATGCGGAGACAGGAAGAATGAATAATTGTACTCGCGCACGAAATCTGCCTAAAAATTAGGATTCAATTTTGGCGATCTCGTTGAAAATTGACCTGCTTGGTCTGCGGACGTGGGAAGAATTTAATAGCAATTTTCTGATTCGATTTCTTGTGCTCGGCGAGCTTCACGAATCCAAATCTGCCCGTTCCCAACTGAAAATGAGCAACACATATGATATTTCAAAAATGTAATGGGTTACCTGCTTAAAGATGGTATAGGTATTTTCAAGATCAACTTTTTTAATAGGGTCCATTGTGATAGATCCTCGTTTTACGAATAAACTGTTGCGGCGCGGATTTACTTTCTCGTCGTCACTTGAGCTGGTTGTTGCATTCTGGAAATGAGGAAACTCATAGCATGTGACATTTCCAAAAATTGTCTGTTTCTGAACCAGAATACATACGGAAATGAAGTTTGAGAGAGGGGGGAAATTGGGCTCACTTAAAAATTCTTTCCATTGTTGTGCCTATGTGTGTGTGTATTTTTTTGGGACTTCTTGGAGACACGTGACTTGAATTTGCACGTGTGCGATCGTCATTTTTTTGAAATACAAATTAAATGATAGGAGGCTCTAAACCGAATTTTGAGGCGAACAACAACAATTATTTTTAATTGACTCCTAGATTACTCATTTATTTTTTATGTATTATATGTGAATGTTTGAGGGTAGCAAGAAAGAAAAAAAATAACTAAATTGGGAAGAATGAAGGAGCTTACGTCAAGTGAGAAAATTGGTGGACTTGATGAAACGAATGTTAGGACATGTTTAAATTGTTTTTTCCGTACACCCTCATGAAATGTTTTCTTGTTTTGGCGCAATTTTGAAAAGGACAATCCATTTAAATAGGAGAGCACTAGCCTCAATGGGTGTATATATGTATAAGTGGAAAAATTCTGAGTTTGCCGCTGAAGTATTATGTTTTCGGATTACGAAAAAGCTTAAAAGCTTAATACTGAATGCATATGTAGTTTGTTCGAGTTTACTCAAACAGGATGAAAAATAAATTTCATGTGGAGATATTCATGAAATTTTTTTTTTCGAAATGCCCATGTTTGTTCTCCAGAATTCCGATGAGGAGAATTGCTGTTGTGTTTTCCACTCAAGAACACCATTCAACTTTTCACTCAATCATCAAGTCATGTGATATTTTGAACATAAGGTTGAAAAAAAAAACAAGGCACCATTTCATGCGACGAATATGTGAATGGGGAATCACCGGGCGCCTCAATTACTGGAAAAGTTAGACTGGTGAGTTGAGAAAAAAGTCAAAACCCGAAAATAGATGGAACACGGGATGGCCCACTAGAGACTTGTCTTGTGATATATCCCTCCATGAATACATATGCACGTCCTCCAAGGAGTGTTTCGGATTGTTCGCGCCTCACCGTATCAGATTTCGTAAAGCTGGGATGTGTTTATATTTCGTTTCAATTTTTTTAGCCTTCTCGTTTTAAATCATTTTTGCAATATCAAAAAAGACAATGCGGAATACCCAAAGGTAAGTTAATGATTTAAAATGGTAATCAGAGAACAAGCTATGCTAAACAATTTCCAAATAATGGAGAAGCATATAATAAGGAATCGAAAATCGGTCAACGTAAAGACATCATCAGAACTCTATCGGCGACGCCGAAAAATGTACGTCAGAATGCGGGGCCCATAAAAAATTCACGGCGATTTTCTTCATTATTTCGTGGGAATATTGATACATATGCCGGATGCAAAGAAAATATAATGGGTATGGTTCACACATTCGTTGTCGCCACATTTGGAAGGTTTTTTTTTCGAGAAATTTCGTCGTGCAAATGGGCGCAATAAAAAATTGATGAAATTCGCAAAACCGAAAAATTCTATAAACAACTTATGGAAGTACTGTTTACATTAGGTTTAATGAGAAAAAAATAGATGGCAAAATTGAGGAACTTTATGCATTTGGACTACACTTGCCTCTAAAGGACACCTATTTTGACACGTTACCCTTATTCATCAAAAATAAAAATAGAATATTTTGCAAGCGAGGAATCCCGAGATTTAATCTATTCCTGTTGCAAGACGTCGCAAAATTAATTCGAGAAGTTTTTTTTCTTGAATTACAATATAACAGGAGTCTGCACACGCTAATGAGAACATTCGAGCTTGAATAGCGCATTGAGAAGATTTTCTTCATTACCATATATTCATTCGAATTTTAATGAAACATTTTCAAAAAGATAGGAATATGATTTTGTCATAGGAATATGATAAATCTTAACAACGCAGATTAAAGAAACTTACGCAATCTTTACCGGATAATAACTTTCTGTGAAATACGTGAACATCAGTAGAATTCCTTCTGAGCGCGTTTCTCGGAACATCGACCGATGATTCTGAGAGTCGGTGCTCTCGTGGCTGATGTAGTCCCATTTCGAACGGCCGCGGGCCTGGCGGTTTCTGTGTCCGATTTGAGGACACATCGCTCTTCCTCCTGGCCACCGGCTCATTGAAAATTTTGAAGACCTGTTGGGTCTTGTCTGGAGTGAGATCGTCATCATCGTCAAACTCGACTTGCGAATTCTGGGGTCTTCGAATAGAGAATCGGCTCCAGACGCGACCGAGTCGCTCCATCTTGACGTGGTAATTATGTGAAGGTCCGTCGGCGTTTTGCTGCCGCTCCCATGAGCACAAATCGAAATCTCCCGGAGGCTCAATGCGTGCTCATGTTCTATTTCCTCTCCAAACTTTCCACCTTCTTCGTTTTGGTAGAGACTCCCTCCCATCGAAGCCACACACACACTCTCGCTCACATCAAACTCAAATCCTAGTTATTTTGCTGCTGCTGATTTTTTCGTCAGCTTAGCGCGTTTATCCTGTCGCGATCAGTCTCGCTCACACGCCTCAAGCCATACAAACATTAAATCTGTGGCAGTGTGATATCAACAAAACGCACGGACGGACAACGATGGATGGTCGGTGAAAAAATAAACGAACCCCCTCAAACCCAATCCCCCCTACTTTCCGCTCGTGAAATTAATTTATGGTCGTTTACTTGATTTTCTTCAAACCATGGGTGATTGATGAAGCTCGGATAACATTGAACAGCAAAGAAGCAAACAAATAAATAAACGAGATAAGTAATAATGAAAGAGAAACCGCAATTTTTTTGTGAAATAAAAAGATGGGAAAGCTTATATAAAAAAATGTAACGTGTTTTCTAATCCTAGAACACTTGGCTACTTTAAATGACGATTATTTCAAGTTTAGCGAAAAGTGAACATTGTTTGCGCAACCCCAACCCCCTCCCTTAGACTTTTCATTCGCAAGTACCCAAATGCACGTTCATTTTAGAAATCTAAACACTACGAAAATTTGATGTCAAATCCATACTCATGACATGACAAAATGGAAAATATGCTCATAACAAAAGACAGCCTAGTAATAAAAATTTCCTAGACTAAAGAGGCACTTGAGAACTTGGATTGAGCTCGAGTAACCAATTCGAAATTACGCAAGCGATCATAGGGTATTCTCAAGTGAATGTCTGCCTCAACTCTTCGAATCGAAAGACAACACTTTTTTGCCGATATTAATTTCGGATCTTTGATGCATTATTTTTATGTATGTCGACATGACGGGGGCTTTAGGAACGTGTCCCCCAAATTTGAATAAAATTTCAACACCATGGATTCTCCTCGCTGCGATGGCATACACAAAAAGATGCATTGCTTAGGATAATAAGAAATCTTCAAAAAAAATGTGTTTCTGTTTTTTTTTCCAACAAGGAATTCCACTCACCGCATTTTTATAATTGAGCACACGATTTCAAAATACATTTGTGAGAAGACAACCAAGTTTATGGGAGGATGAGGGATGGATTTAAATTAAACGCGTTTTTTTCTCACGCCCAAAAAAGGCAAAAAATTGTTGTGGTGTCGCTTTACGGAAAAGAAAACATTATTTTGGATCTTTGATAGCAATTTTTAGGCATTGGTTCAAACGGAAATTTGCAGCAACGGATTAGTGCTTATTCCAAATATGAGGCACTCATGATTATGGAGTATTTGAAAATTTCCTCAAAGATAATGATGAAAAGAAATTTTTTTTGAGAACCTGTTGCCATAATTTCTTTTTTTTTGCAAAATTGGCAGGCCACAGGAAATTGACGATGTTGCGGCTACGATTAAAATAGAAAATTCAAAATTGAAATTAACTCAATGTACGTAGCTTGCCTTTATGCTCAGCAAGAATCGACGAACATTGGCGGAAGCATGAAATCAGGAATTGAAATCTAAAATTCCTCATCAATTTAGCAGAAACAAGTTTTTTGATCTAACTATTCAAGCGTGACGCCAAATAAATTGAAATAAATGTCAGACGCCATTTCCAAAAGAGCCCGCTACCAAATTATATTTGGGCATGTTTTCTTTTTTCAAATGCAAATGATTGTCCTATCCAGCGGAAATAATAGAGAAGGGCTGGCGATTCCCCCCCCCCCTCCCCCCGGGGCACACTACCGAAATAATTTATTGAAGCTGTAACAAGAGAGCAAATTTCACACGTTTGGAAATTCATGGCTTGTTTTCTTCGAAAATTCCGTGTGCTCGCCGCCGGCTCTTCTTTTTCCTCCCATTTTTCTTGTTTTGGTGGTTGGGCAAAAAAAATGCGAAGAAAATGGAACGAAAGAGGCAAAATGCGAATAATAATAATAATAATAAATTTCAATTCTGTATGTTATATTTACAACCTCATTTCCGGTGGTTATTGAAAATTGGCCAAGAAATTTCGCGGCTTTAAACTCAATGGGCAGTTCGTTTATTCGCCAAAAATAGATCCTGTTGGGATCTTGTTCACACTCCAACAAACTTAATAAAATGTTGACGAGAAGGGAATTGCGATGTTTGGCTTGGTTCGTTGGGAGTTGTTGAAGTATAATGATGCGATCAAAAGAAAATCGGGTAAGTGGTAATTGAATACTCGGGATTCCCAGTCGTCGATTAGGTCTTTTTGATTCAGCCAAACATTTCATCGAGTGTTCAACGCATTTCGGCGCTTCATGCTGCTTTCGCGGCCTTCCTCCTCTATTCCCGTCATTTTTTGGGGCCATCAAAATTTTATTGAGCATGACAATACATATGCTTCGAGAGGGAATAATGTTCAATCTACTCGTATGACGTTCTCGGTTTTAACTTTTTCTTCATCATTTTTCTTTTCTTTTCAGATTGGGAGACAATTAATTTTGGAACGAGAACCGAAGATGCGATTTTTGAAAGAAATAATAATATTTGAAAATGAGTGCACAACGTTGTAAACATGATGAATTAAAAAAAAAACGATAACTTTTTGTATGTATTTTTTTATAATAAAGAATGTTAATAAAGATAAATTGTTGGAAAAAATAGAACATGAAAATTATAAATTAAAAAAAAATAAGTCGTCGCTATCATATCAGAAATTATTTTTTATGGAACTATTCATGAAATTTATTTTCAACAAAAAGCATAAATGCAAATTTAATGTAATATTTTACATTAAAAATTTAATTAATAGATCAAAAAGAATTGTTAAATATGCGACTAAGTAAGTGACTGTTTCTATGTTTTTTTTTTGAAAAAATCTTGTGCCCCCTTGATTTTTAGGAAAACAAAAATATTAGTGTTGTAGCACTAGATATAATCGTTTAGGGCTGTGTAAATTTCACTACATCTCTGCAGATTTAATCCAGCTTAGAATGTGTCGTATTCCATTTTTAGAAACGTCAATATAATATTGAATTAATCCTAGCACAGTATGACACCAGGATGGATTATTTGATGTAATCTCTAGAAAGATGACAATAAAGTCCAACTACCAATATGATTTAATTGGATTAGTAAGCTAGAATTGATTACGGTAGAAGTTGTAGCAAAAAATAGAATTAGAATGGATGACAGATTTCCAGCAGAGGCAAAAAAAAACCATTAACTGTTTTCGAATCGGTTTTGTGTCGATTGAGTTTCGCACTTATGATCGCCACTTTATGTATTTGTTGACAAAGATTTTTGAGGTTTGTGTATCTTAAGCAATGAGGAGCGTATGTATGTATGTCATACAAAGACATTTAGCGCAAGAGCTGATCAATTCGGCTTTTGATCTCTACCCTGCACGATTTTGTAGAAATGGCAATGACACTAAAATTATAATGATGATGAAAATGAACATGAAGAAGAGAAAACATGTGTGGAGGAATTAAACAAAAAAAAACTTTTGATATTACGCATGGACGTATGCATTTGATCATAAAAAATTCCAGGCCTCTCAATTTTCAGCTTCTTCTTCTTCTTTCTTTTTCATCTTCAACGCGTTTTTTTATTCGTCGCGTCGGATAGGGAAACAATTCAATTTCCCATGCATCATGTGCATTTTCACTCGATGTTTCCGATTTATTAGTTATCGTATACCAACGTGAATTATTGATGGCACTTCTTCACACGTACATACCTAATGAGACGCTAGGTCTTCGAACTATAAGGTCATTCTCTTGAAAATATTCGAAACAAAAGAGTTTTCAAAAAAAAAGCATCGAACTATTTTTGAGTTTCCTTGTGATTTTTTTCTTGGACTCGTTATCACGTAAGATCGAATTTTTCTGTGTGAGCGAGGCATACAGAAATGTCTAGACAGGGAACCGAACACTTCACTAGAATGATGGTAACAAATTGTTTGATATGCTCTTGATGTTAAACATTACATTACCATGGACCCTTATTACTGCAGCAAGTGATGTGCGACGCTCTAGGCACGGCAAATCCATAATTAAATTTTTTGGCTTGCCGTTGCGGTGGGCCGGCCACGACCTTAACAGGGCCTTTTTCATGGTTAAGTAAGCAGAAATGATCAATTATTCAATGATTAACATATCCAAACTACTATATGCATTTTATAAGCGAATTATTTATTCCACCTAGGCCCGCCTGGGTTAAAAACAACAAACCAGCAAATTTTTACAAATATTTCTAATTCAAAGAAGAACAGATGTACGGGAAAGTTAACTAAGAGATTTCCGTAGAATTTACGTGAAAAAGTTAAATGTCAATGTTTGCGGAGAAAAAAGTCAAAAATATCTTGTAACAAATTTCGTGCGATTTTTGTTGATTTTCGGACGAACAAAGAGACATATCGCGAGAATAAATGTTCGTTAGTAAACAACAGTATGCTGAATGATTAGAGCCAACTTATATCCATCTGCAATGTTGCTGCAGTAAAGAGTTCGCTGTTCAAACAGTTCTAGTTCAAGTAAATGAAGAAACGAAAGTCAATGTCAAACGAGGGTTCGCCACTTCACGTCCAAGGAGGCTAACTAACAAACCAAACGCACAATTACACAGAGACCACGTGAACACAAAAACGCATCCAGGGATATCAGAACGGTCCAAAACAATTTTTGCTGCTGTAGGAAGTGCGAAAAAAAATTGCATGCGATGCTCACATTTTGCATTTGGACGAGCACAAGTTCGCCGGAAAGACGTCGGACTTGGATGAATTCCATTCATGGAACCAACAAAAGTCATTGAGATTGCGTGAAATTTGCGACCAACGAATGGTGGAATATCGATGGTGGCAATTTTCACAAGCTGCTTAAAAAATGAAATACTGGGTGAAAACACCGAACGGATCAAAAGAAAAACTTTTGTGTAAAGCTTCAGTAGTTCCCCATTGAGTCAAAAAAACATCTTTCGACGGGTTTGAAAAAAAGATAGGTTGATTCGGTGTGATTTCTATCTTCTCAAAAACCATCCGGTGATCGCAGAAAAATGAATGAATGCGTTTCAAAATAAATCTCAATAATTAACCAAAATAAGAATAATGAATAACTCCGCTGTAGAAGACCTGCTCTTGACTGGAAACTTCATATATTGGTATATCAGGTCATTTTTTTAAGACCTTTTAGGAATATGCAGCTAAATATATTGCTGAAAAGATTAGTTCTTACAATTGCTATATCTGCTGTCCCATTGCATTTTTTTTAAGACATTTCAATTTCATATTAAACTTTGCGCTTAAAGTGTCGGAGTGTTACAGTAACCCCTGCGTCAACCTACATCCGGCTTACCACTATGGATGCTAATTTCCTACCTTGCGACGTAACGACTTCCGCAATGTTCTTTTTGTTTCATTGAACGAAATGGACTTTTTTATCTGCAAAACAACATCAATTGACAAGGTTTTGCTTATTTCCGGCTACCGTAGTCGTCGATGAAAGCGACGGCGATGACTCAGATGATCTCGGCATATTGTTGGATCGGCGACTGGCCGACAAACTCGCTGGACTATTGCTGAGCCGCATGTTGGAGAATTTCATCTAGATTTTTTCAAACTTGTGCATTTGTGTTTTATAGAAATTTTTCCCACTCTGAAAGAGTAAGTCCAGCTAATCGAAGAATGTCGAGATGTTTCGCTTTTGATCGGGCTTGTTGAAGCCTTGCGCGAAGAGGAGGCGCCTTCCTCCGGAATATCGATGGCAATTGGCGCCTCAATACCATAAGAGCTGTACTTTCTGAAAATCCTAAATTTCGAATCACATCAGCTCTTTTTTATTGTGAAAGAAAAATCCAGTCTTTAATAAATATGGCCGAATGATCTATTATAAAACGTCATTGAAAGGTTCCACTGCGATCCATCATATTCGTTTGAAAAATTCGCAAAATGAATTTGGAAAATAAAAAATTGAAATGCGATTTTTGGAATTTCAATCGGCGAGTGATGAGAACGGAATTCATCGTCATCTCAAATTTCCGCTTTAAATGTTATATTTGGATATTGGACTCGATATTATGTACTCTCTTCAATCCAAATTATTTAGAAAGGAAATGCGCGAAATTTCCGTCACATGGTTATAAAAGGAAATTGAAAACTGACAGTAGTTTTTAGGCAAAATCAATTTGTATGCTGATAATGATGAAAAAAACATTGTTGTTTCATAGGCATTGGATTACGATAGCATTTTCGAATCAGGATTACTGTAGTCAGTACATACCTCTGCTCCTCAATACGCCTCTCAATAATGCTGCATGATGACTCTCTTCTTTCATCGAGCCCCAAGGTGTCTTGTGGTTTCAAGCCACTCCTTGGGCTTTCTTCTTTTGGGATCGAACGTCTTCTGCAAGATTTTCAACTAGTTGACCGAAAAACGAAAAAAAAAAATGAGAATTACCCTCTTCTTGGCATCGCTAATGGACACCAATTATTTTTTTTTGCACTAATGAATAGTCGGAACCTGCACCTCCAAAATGAAAGGGATTACAGAAATAGGCGAATATCGATAATTACGATAATAAAATTAATTGAACCAGAACTTTTTCTCTGTAGTGAGCTTGGTGGATTTGAATTTGTCGATATATGCATGTATGCTATATGATATTTGAATATTTTATCAGTTGAAGAAAGATAGAGAAATTAAAATATGACCAAAACTAAAACTGTAATCTTCTGTTCAAGCATTTAATTTGTTTGCTTACATTTACAATTTTAACGAAATTGGATATCACCTAAAAAAAGAGGATAAGAGCTTGTAAGCTAGTGTTATGATAAATTTCCAGCGATTTCTTATTTCCGAAATAATTAAATGTGTACTAGAGGATATGAAACGTTTCGAAAATCACGTTGACTGAATGTTGAGCAATTTGGAATTGAAAGATTTACGAAACGGTCTCTCGGAATCACCTAATACCAACAATTTTACATTTTTTTCTTCAAATTACCGTATTTGGACCAAAAACACTACTCGGTTTCAACTAAATTGAAAAATAAGAGAAACCAATTTTGAAAGTTAAAATGAGAAAGTTCAAGAAGCTCACGATAACAAAGAAAAATAAGACTTTCAAAATGGTTTAAGCCTTGAAAATGACTGAATTTCACGAATAGCGTTTATTTTTCAAATGAAGCATAGAGAACGACAAGCTACCGCACGCCCAATTTAAATTTGAGCACAAAGTGATATTTAACTCCTTTTATACTGGTTCCAAATGAGAATGTGTTCTCCCAAATTAGGGCGGTTACCACAATTCGACATAAAAATTGGGCGGAGCATCTCTGAATTGCCTACATTGGAATAGAGGTAATAGAGAATTACAACATTTGGAATCCATTCAGCTATTCAACCGGAAATTAATAATCTCAATTGAATCTATCAGTCTTCAATCAGAGAGAAATGCTATCTCGTGGCAAATACAATTATTATATGGATATATGTTTGTCTGCACTTTTCGTCGTGTTTTCCTTTTTATTGTGTCGAATAAATCGTAGACAAAAAATTGTTGGTCATCAGACGGAGTCATTTGGTAATAAGAATCTTTGTTAAAGCGCATGTGATCCAGAAAAAATATTTTTAAAAGTGAAGACATTCTAAAATAAATTTAGGGGTCCACTAATCTTCTTAAAGTTGAATTTTAAGAAATTGTGAATTCAATTTTCAAATTAATTATTTTGTCTTTTTCACTGAAGAGTTCCATTATAAAATTTTAGGGCTAAAAGATTGGATTAATTTTTTTACAAAAAGAAAGCGTAAAATTTCTAAAACTTCGTGATTTTTTGGTTAACTAAAATAATCCATATAGGTGTTAACTAATTTTCATATCAGCTAGGTATGTTTTATATGATCCTCATGCTTCTAAAAACTTCATAACTAATTCAAACGTGATGGTTCCTTGGTACGCACATATAGTTTGACGAACTCAATTAATTATTTCATGTTCCATCCATTCCAATTTTATAGTAACCCTTATTTCGGCATATCTCGTGACGACTCCCTAAAATTTTTTTGGCTCGAGTCTCAAAGGTCAAGAGAACATGTTTGTCATCGCATAAAACTTGTTGTCAAAATTTCGAAAACTTGTTTTTTTTTTTCTGAATAAGAGGAAAACGCATTCTTCTTTCTTGAACGAAGGCTTTCAACACAATTAGGAGGCGACCTTTGAATCTTTCGATTTGATTGATATCATTCGGAATCCAATTATCAAAATGGATGGTCATGCCGAACTCACCTCAGCGGCTCAATGAGATCATCAACCGTGAGTGTCACCGATGTTTTGGGCACTAGCGGAGCCAATGACATCGCAAACACCACGCGCAAGGAAAAAAATTGCCACTCGTTCCGCTCCGAAACCGCAATTACGAAGGTCGTCAATTCGAAATGACTTCAGATGGAATGCGGTGGCTTCGGTCTGATGAAAAAATACAGAGAATTGTGCACTGGTGTTGACATTTCGAAAGAGCACGCCGAGAAGTGATGATAAGTGAATGCGACACAGAAAACCAAAAAAAAATGAAGAAGAAGAAAAAATGAAGAAGAACCTATGGATTACAACCGACCGCGCAAAAGTTAATTCCGTTAGTTGAAAAAAGCAACGTCACGCCCATTCCGTTTAGGGTGACTCGGTGAGGATGATGATGCTCGGTGAGCCCCATGAGAGAGTTGTACATCAAGTATGATTGAATATTTCAACTAAATCATGACTTTTCAAAGGCGTCCTCTCCTTATTATTCATTTGATAGTTCTTGTGTTGTTTACGTAAATAAACAAAATATGATATCACCTTGTCGACGTCCTTTTGACTCGTCTCGGGTTTTCAGAAGTCGTCAGCTCTAAAGTGGGCTCCGCGTTGTGAGCACGTTCTTCAAGGATTTTTTGCAAGTGAACTGCTCTGAAACATTGTTCACTGTCTAAATGATTCATAGTCAAATAATGATTATAGTTTTGCCAGTAAGTATCGAAGAAGTTGTACTGAATTATTTGACTTTCAAAATGTACTTATGCAGAGCCCGAAACATTATTCTAAATATGATACCGCCTTAAATATTATTTTAAAATTGCTAAAATGCTAGTTAAACGATTATCTGGCTAGTTTTTTGTCATTAGGAAGTTGAAATGAAGGAAATACTCTGAAACTCAAAAAACTGACAAACTTCAAATTATGGAGACAAAAATCACAATTCAAATATCTCTATAAAAATAAATTCCCAATATCGAGGGAACTGTTATTTGCTATTCAATTTTTAAAAATCAATAAGAGCGAAAGAAACTCACTTCAATGATGGCGCAATTCTTCGATCATCGATTGTTGTATGCTTTAATAATGCCAATTTCTGATTAGCATTCCTGATCCGGAACCCTCCAGCTCGCCTCATTTTGGATTCACATGAAACAGAAAAATGGGAAATGCGAAAATAAAGATTTCTGCAATCCCTCTCGTCGCGGTGGCGGCAATGAGCGAAACCGATTTATATCCTTCTGTTGACATATTCGCTGATTTTTGACACATTCCCTTGAAATATCACTGTCTTTTTTTCCATCTGCGCGATGTTTTCTGAACATGGATAAATTACAGTGAAAATTCATGCATTCATTCGTTTATTCCCTTTTATGAGTTTTTTCGTCATATTCACAAGACATAAAACTATAAAATGGAACCATATTAATTTCGAGGCAAGGTTAGTCACATATTAAAATAATACCGCTTCAGTTTAATTTTTAATCAAGGGCGTTGAAATTAAACTTAATATTATTGTTAATGAAACTGCCAAAAGATGACGACGAAGCGAGGAGTTAAATAAACAATAAAGGTATTTGCATATAATGTCGAATGCGAAGTTTATGTTGGCTAAGAATTCACTTAACACTTGTAACGAAATGTTTATATGGGTAGGAATTAAATCAGATTGGTATTCTCCATCGAGAATATTAGGGAAAAGCCCACAGAACTCACCTCCCCCTCCCCCCAAAACAGTGTATCAGCCATGACTTATTAGGACGCGGAAACCTGAGCAACCCTGACGAGCAGCTTCAGAAGAGACATCAACAAGCACTCAACAGCGTCTGCTCAGCTGCGGGGATCCATTACAATACCTTCAGCATATCATTCGTGACCCACCTCAGAAAATTTACTGATTACGTCGCTCGCTTGAACAAAAGAATAACTGAGTGGGGAATCCTTGAGAGAAAAAAACAAGTAAAGGGCGTCGGAAATGGGGTCCATTGCCATCAACCCCCAAATTTCAACCCCTACTCCTGATTTTCCACCCCCAAAATTTAACCCCTATTTTTTTTTTCTACCACCCCCTAATTTCCACCCCCAGATATTGTCAGTGTTATATGGGGGAGGGGGTCTTAAGAGGTCCTAATTCGAAAGTTTTTAAAATTTCGGAAAATGATCCTAAGTGCCCATTGTTTCAGAAAATGATGCTAAAACGTAAATCTTTTTACCAAATTTTGTGTTCTGCTCGAAAGTCAAAATTTACAGTTTCCAACAGTAATTTTTACCTTAAATTTTTGTATACTTGCAATAATTCAAGTTATCAAAAGGAGATTCGTAGAATTGTTGTCTAAATTTGATTTTTCAGAAGCTATACATATAGACTATTTTTATGAAAGAAATTTTTAACAAGTAATAAACTATTCTCGGAAAAGCAGGATCAGATAGACTTCATATTTCGTAAGTGTGAATCTATTCCCACAATTTCCAATATTTCAAGTGTCCAATTGGGCAATTTTTTATCAAGCTTCTTTGCAATCCTTGCGCTAATCAAATACCTAAAAACAATATTGGCAGCCAAATAGGCTTAAATTTTTAATACAATTTAACACATTTGAAAAATATAAATTTATTTTAGAAAAACAATATTAAATTAGAAAAGAAAGGGAACAAAAAAATGGGAAAAATTTACCAAACATTACAAAAAAACCAGCGAATCGAAGAACGGATATCGATGGAATGACGCGGAATTTTATCATTTCCCTTTTCGGAATATTTAAAGTTTTTGGATGGGGTGAGACACAAAAGACAAGTGATAAAGTACGTTTACCTGTTTTTTTTAATTCCGAGAATTTTTTTACCACATTGCTTTCATATGCGGCGATAAAAATATTGAGTTGCTTCTCTGGTAACTCAAAAAAATACGATTTTTGCTTAGGTATATGAATTTAGCCAAAATCAAAAGTTTTAAAAATTTTCTAATTTGTCGAATTCTATTAAATTAAACGGCAAAATCGTAAAATTACTCAAGAAAGTTTTTGTGCAATTTCGTATCATTTAAAATTTTTATAGCATCACAAGACCTCATCCCTCATTGTTGATATTCTGAGCAAACTTTCGAAACTATTGCATTTCACCCCCGAAACCAGTTCATCATATAGTGACGTGTGACGAATGTATCATATGAACTTTACATTAGTGTATATCAGAAGGGCCCTCCAATATCAGCAACTGATCGCGTTTCGGCTACTCATCACCTCGGCGAGCAACCAGCACACAAGAATGATAGTCTTTGTTTAACGGAGAGAGCCGCGCCTTTCCGTACCTAACGGATAGTAGTCGCATATCTATTCGAGAACATGGGCCCCCGTCAGTTGGTTTGTCGCTTTTCTCGTCCTGTGCGACGCATCCTATGATGTCCTGTGCCCGTCAGTTGCTCACCGATGCCCATCGGGCTCTTCATATCCAAGAAGTTTTCCCTTTTATTATAGTCAACAAGCAAATGATATAATTCTTTCTTTTATTTAGACGTAGCTCACTTTATAACAAATATTGATATTTTTGGAATTCTACATTCTCATGATTTCATTGAGAACAAAGCTTCTCTCTTGGTATACTTGTTTTATGTGTTTATTATTATTGTGTGAAAATTCATGACTATAAAAACGGAAACGTTGCTCTTGTTCAATTCGTGTCGAGACCATCATTTTTTATTCGTCAAGACACCTGTTTCGCTTCCAAAAAACAATCATGTCACAACATTTCACCAGCACATGTTCATTCCACAATTTTTTTACAGAAGTTCCACTATTAATACGTGTTGAATTTCTTGGCGCGCTGGCGAACGAAAAACATTCTCAACGGGCATTTGCTGCCCAAATAATCTAATGTCAGAGAAGCTTCGAGAAACGGTAATAAATCAATTGGCATACTCTAGTACTCATGTTTACAGCTCGGGGTCTTGTCAGAAGAATTTGATGGCAGCCTCCGGTCAGCATCACCGAGTGGAAGTCGTTCGCCAAGACGAATGAGTAGATCACCAAGACCACATGGCTCACAGTAAAATTTTCGTCATTTACTTAATTTAAAAATATGATTTGCTCTGGTGATCAACGAGAAAACCTTGCCCTGAGCGTCTATTAACAAGAAGTAGGATAATATTGGTTTTATGGGTCTTGTTATGTTTTTTGTTTACTGCTTTTCGCAATCCGTCAGCAGAAAGAAAATACGTAAACGAGCATCTAAACAACGGAATAGGTCAATTTAATGAGGAACGTTGGTTCAGCGATTAACAACCATTGGAATGTATGCCTAATATTGATATATTTTATTGATTATAAGAGGATTGCACAGTTCAAGGGAAATCCAATTTTGCTAAAAAAAAATATCAACATTTTTATTTAAAAAAATGAACAAAAAACTCAATTTTATTCCTTCAACATTCCAGTGAATCAAATGTTGCCGTGACTCGTCCTTTAGTTCGAGCATCTCATCCCGAAATAGCTGCTTGGCCTGCACCTCCAGCTGTTCATCCATTGTCGTGTTTAAGTGGCAATGTTCGGTTGGTTACTATTATTAGCATTGCAATCTAAAAAATGCGATATTTAAGAACGCCGATTGGAGCTCCATCCTCGCCTTCACCAGTCCCACGTCGTCAATCGATTGCACCAATGTCGCCATCGCCAATTTCTCCGATTAGTCAACATTCCCCGGCCAGCTCAAAACATGAGCTTGACAATTCATCTAGTTTGCTTTCCGTTCTGAGATTCGCATCAACTGCTCGAGACATCAACAATTCACGTAAGCTGAACAGAAATAGATGTATTCTTGGTTAAATTTAAAATTTCAGCGCAACCTGCTGGCAGAGAGACCGAATTGAAACGAAAAATTCAAACTTTGGAGGAAACCGTTGCGGAATACGAACGACAAAAATGTAATGTGATGGGAACTTTTAGTGAATACAGGTAAATCATAAACTATATCAAAAGAAAAATTGATTCTCATTTTCAGAGAACGCGTTGCTGAAAGGGAAAGAAAATTAGAAGCCGAATATTCTAGCAAAATTATAGCGTTATCTGAAGAAGTTTTAGGAGCCAAGAAAGATTTTGAAGCTCGAATGAAGAGCTTCCAAGCGCTTCAGGTATATAATACAGTATTTTTTTTACAATGCTATCACGACAATCGTTTCAGGATAAGTTTGAAAGAGAGAAAGAGCAAGCATTGGAGAAACTTCGCAAAGAGCATCAAAAAGAGATTCAACTATTGGAACAACGTTTTTCTGACACTCAATTGTTGAATTTGGAACAAAAATATATCCTGGAGATTCAGCGGCTTGAAGAAGAGCGCAAATCTTTGAGAGCTGAAAAAGAAAGACTTGGAGAAACGTTTGAAATGAAGCTGCGACGGGCTCAATCTCTTTACGAGACAGAGCTCACAGCGGCTAAAATGCTCTATACACGTGAATTGGAAGCATTACGCGATCATGAAGAAGCCTTGAAAGAAGAGTTACTGGCTCGGTAAATTTTTTTAAAACTTCTTTTTCATTTCGTGAACCGCAAAAATTTAGGCAAGATGAATTTCATGATCGTCTTCAAGAGTTGCAACTTCAATCAAAAAGGAGCCGAGAAGAATTAGCCTCGTGCAAAAATGAGGTGACTGTTCTCGAGAAAAAACTGCAGAACAAGGAAAAGGAAGTTCAAGCAATTACGAAAGAGTTGGACGAGGCGCGCAATGAGACCAATGATAGCATTCGACGACTAACCGAAGCGACTGTGGAATTCTCCGAGTGCAAACAAAAGTATCAGCAGCAAGAAGAAGAATTGCAGAAAAAAGCTAGTAAGGAGTTGTTTTCATAATTTGAAATATGATTTTATTTTAGGGCTCCTGAATGTCGTGGAAGCTGCCAAAGAGAAACTTGAATCTGTCATCTCAGACTTGCAGATTGAAGTTCGAGCTCTGAAAAATAAGGTGGAATTCCTTGAGAAGGAACGCGACAATTTGCAAAGCCAGAGTGAAAGTCAAGCTCAACTTCAGTGCTCTCAGGTCAATGCTCTTGAGGCCGTTCTTGAAAGTGTTACGAAAGAGAAGGAAAACACTAAGGAGCATTATGAGCGGCTTCTGCTCAAGGAGCGCCAACAAGCAGAAGCTCGTGAACACGCCATGAAGAAGGAGTTCAGCAGCAAGTTGAATGAGCTTGAGGAGCAGTACACAAGTTTGAAGGAGGAGCTCGAGGAGTCGGCAAGACTTGATAAGGATGAACTCCGTGAATCAACGCAAATTGAAATACAATCTTTGCGCACTGAAAAATGCATATTGTCTGCTGAAATTCGCGTTTTGACTCAAAAATTAGAAGACGCAGATCAAGACGATATCACAGAGCAGCTTGCAAAAATTGTTGAGGACACTACCAAGTTAACTCACACTTTGGAAGATTATAGGGAACGAATCAATGGAAAAGGTCCGGAGCTCACTTGAGTTTGAGATTGATTGCAGAATTTTTCAGATTCTGAAATTATGAACTTAAGAGTTCAACTTGAAAGGGAGATGAACATCAATGACAATAGAAGCAAGTCGATGAAAGAAGACGCTGAGAGAGAAATGGTCGAAAAACAAGCCGCGTACGAGGAAGAGATCCGATTGCTTAAAGTCGAGGTATTTCGGTTCATTTTGATTCTCATCTGTATTGATTGATTAAGATTGAACAGTTCAAGAATACGATTGATGAAGAGAAGGATCTCAATCATGGAAACATGAAAAAGTTAAGAGAACTGGAAGAGCATAATAGGAATCTTGCTAGGGAATTAGAGGAATCTAAAAAGGTATATTTTTGTGACATTATGTATTTGAGGGGTATAGAAACTAGTGTGAAAGCTTTTAGGCTTGAGTATTATTTGCAGATGCTTGAAAACGATAAAAAAAGGATTACCGAATCATTTTAGTTTAAAATTTGATTTTTTTTAGTTAATTAAAATTCAAGCAGGTTCATCCGAGCAAATGCCTCCTTTTGATGAAATTAAGAACAACATTTTGCTTTCAAAAATTTCATTCAGTTCTATTTATTTTTTATTTAAGAAATTGTTTTTAAACGTAAAAAACATGTATAGTGTAAAGATGCGATATACCATAGTGGACAAAATTATTTTTAGCGTGGTAGTGGCAGAGAAATTTTAAGGAGAAATGCCGTGGCCACGCGATATTTATTTTTTGTCTCATATTTCGTGTAATTTTTTGCTGATTCCATTACTCAAATTGATTCCGAACGTCATGTATAATGTAATGAAATATAACTATTTGTAAAAAAATGGTTGATTTATAATGTATCATTGTTTGAATTTTTGGTTTTATCACTTTTACATTTCTATTTTTTTAAGTTATAATTTTTCTTTCAGAGCACCGAAGAATCTGTTCCGCGAACTGAACTTGCGGAAGCCATCAAAGAGAAGGATGAAACTATTCAGGAGTTGCAAGAAGTCATCAATGACCTTCAAGGTTAAAAGTTTTCGGAATATTGAATTTATTCATTATTTTTGTAGAAAAGCTTGCAAGCAAGTCTAATTCGAATGCGGAGGATAAAACGAAGCATCTTGAGGAAAAAATTACTGAATTGAAGGCAAATGAAGCTTGTAAAACTGATCAAATCGAAAAACTTCACAGCAAGTACGATAATTATCCAATAATGGTGCAATTAAAGTTTTGTCTTTTTTAAGGGTGAATGAAATGCTCGATCAAGTTGGAAGCATTAAAAATGAGCTCGAAAAGAAGAACGAGGAAGTTAAGCAAATTTCGGCAAAGAATATCAATCTTCTCGAGTAAGCATTTAATTGTACGAATTTTGTTGATATAATTGCTTTTAGAAGTTTATCGAACCAAAGCAATGATCATGACGCAAAATTGAAAATGATTCAAGAAAGTCATGGCTTGGAAATCGAGAAATTGAAGCAGAAGATTCAAGAGCAGGAATGTATGCAAGTCGAAAAAGACGAGAAGCTTGAAACTCTTGAGAAAAGCTTAAGACAAAAGGATGAAGAAATCATGGAAATGAATCAGAAGCTTCATGATTTGGTAATTTTGATTGCTTCTTGATTGGGAGTTTAGAAATTATTTGAAGACCCAACAATTGAACGATGAAACAACGGTGGTGTTGGTAGACAATAGCGTTCAGGAAGAAATCGTTGAGCAGAAAAATAATCTTGCGAATGCTACCAAGAAGCTTGAAGAGAAGGAGGCTGAAATAATGCAGCTCAAGGAGAAGCTGGAAGAAGAGCGCCGAATTGCTGAAGCAGATGCTAGAGAAAGCGCTCTGAAAATGGAAAGATTATTGGCTGAGAAGACGGAAATGGAACAGAGGCGGTAGGAATTAAACACTGTAGTAGTTGCTATATTCATTATCTGGTTCAGGAAAGAGCACGAAGAAGAAGAAGAAGCTACCCATTCCACGCATGTGCAACTCCAAATTGTCAACGAGGAGAAGGAACACGAGCTACTTGGCAAAATTTCCGATTTGGAAATGACATTGGAGGTAGCTGAAACAGGTTCTGGCATTAAATTTAATGAAATAAGTTTTAGCAAAAAAATGAGCTCATTCATCAGCTCCAGGAGAAACTTGCTGAAGAGGCTCCACATGAGCATTTAATTATGAAGCGATCGGTATGATTAAATAACTCACCTATTCCAATTTACGATTGATTGTATTTAGAGTCTCACGGGACACGGAGTTTTTCAGAACTTTGTGAGCCAAATGAAGGACAAACGGGAAGAAGCTAGTGAGCGAAACAAGAAGAAGGAAGCTGAAAAGAAGGCTGAAAAGGAGAAGGAAAGAGCTGCCAAGGAAGCTGCCAAGGAAGCCGCCAAAGAGATTGCTCGAGAAAAATCGCCATCGCGTGCAAAATCTCCATCATTGCTGACGAGACTTCGTGATAGAAGTCCAGTGAAGGCGAGAACTCCTAACCTTGAAACAACGCCATCAACATCAAGCAGGTAAAAAAGAATTACTAAAATGCACACTGATTAAGAGGTTTCCAGAAATTTACTCTCCCCTTCCGACGCTGAGAAACGAATGGAACGTAGCTCGCCTTCCCGACCTTTATTTAGCCGAAAGAAGGATTTGCAAACAGCGCCAATATCTAGCCCAGGTTCTGGTTCCGAAAAGCGTCCTGCTTGGAAATTTTAATCATTGATCAATCATTTACCTGTATATGAATTGTCATTCACTTTTTTTCTGTTTCGTTTTCTTTCTTATGACATGAACAAGAAAAAAATCTATGAACATTTATTTCGCAATTATGTAATACAGTGAGCAACGGAATTTCATGAAAGGCAAGGAATGATGACGCTTGAGGTAGCATGCGATGGATTCAATAATCTTCCTTGATGTAAAAGTAGGTACGAATCTTGGATATCAAGCAACAGGAGAGACAAATGCCGATCATCTAAAAACGGAACAGCTAGGTTGAATGATGAACAATTTTATTATTACCATAGTGAGAGCGGAGGCAAAGCCAAATCCAACGAAAATCCATATTTGCTCGTTAAACCAAGATTGAAGCTTATCATGGCAACCCTAAAAACTCATAATGTCTGATTAATCTGACAGATGGAGCAAAAAAAGAAAACACCACCACACTTCTATTTATTATCACTCAAAATCGCAGAAAAATGATAAATCTCACTTCAACGTTCACTGCATTCTGAAAAGCCGTCGACTCATAGCGATACGTGGTGCACATCGGATCAATGGGAATCGGTCCCCAAGCTCTTCCGGATTGCGATTGTTTGCAGCATGACGGCGGAACATATGATCTTGTACCTCTAATCGTGTTAGTGATATACCAAAATGAGTCCTTATAGTCGAGCGGACTCTCTCCGCCGCAACATTGATGCTGAAAATGGTTAAAACACTTCAAGAAAACGCGTTAGCTTAAAACATTTGACACTCTCACGCAACGCTCACCACCGCGTGACGCCATTGTCTACTTGCGCCAATTTGCTGGCATCTTGCAAAACTTTTCGCTAAAGGGTTTAAAGCTGAAGCTCCCACTATTTGAGTACAACACGATACTGGGAACAGCGCGTTCTCAGCGTCTTCAAATGTTTCAACATTTACAAACTCAGACCATCTGCTTCCGATAAAGTCGGTCGGGCCCAACGAGCCACAACATCTTTCCTGATTTTCAGAAATATTTTTGCTAACAGAGAAATTTAAATGCCACATACGTAAAATTGAAGTTTATCAATAAATTCAGTGACCCGTCGATGCTCCTCAACTTCCAATGAAACCCCATACTTTGTTTTGACAATCTCGCGAAGATTTTCGCGAACAGGGTTTATCTGCACAATGATATTGAAAAAAATGTAATTATTTTTACAAAACCGAAGGACATATACCAGACAAGTGATAAGATTTCGGTTAGGAGAATCTCGTTATTAACAAATCGTTTTCAAACATTTCAATGTTGGTGACATATATGTATTTCATTAAAAAACACTACAAACTCACATTAAAACGCAACACTATCACGCGATTTGTATTTAGTATTTTAAAAAACTCACATAGAATTGTACAGTATCCATTAATGGTTGAACCCAGCGATCACGCGAATAACGATTATAGGTTAGATTTTTCAAGTAAGTCTCCATGTAATTGTTAGAAAACTGCAAAATCATATGGACAGTCACAATGCAAATAAATCACATATGACTAACATAGTTAAATAACTGTTTGTCATACCTTGTTTTTGTAAACCAATGAGAGGGTCCCTATAGCAACATCGCAGAGGAATGTTAAAATGACAAAAATGGAAAACTGCAAAAATTATTAATGGGAATGTACATTGAATCAATGCTCACCATGTAGAGCAGAAATTTGTTGCGATTTACAGCACCGCAAAGCCCTAGAAAACCGACGAGGAGCTGTGCACAACCAGTACAAACAGCAACATAGCAAGAAGCTTTCTGAATTGTTTTTTTAAGGAAAAAAAAAACATTTTAAAATGTCTCCTACCAATAAGGGGTCATTCTCTGAGAAGTGGACGAGATCGAGGATATAGTTTCTTTTGGGATCCAGAAACATCCAGAGACCTAGGAAGATGTGAGCAAGCGCCGAGGCCTAAAATTGGACGCTTCGGGCAACAAAAATTGCCAAAATTCTTACCCAGTAATAGATCGAAAAGATGGAAACAGAAACACGAAGACAATTACCACCATCACGTTCAGTTGGCATGATCCTAAAAAAAAAATGGGTGAAGGAAGAAAACGACAAACAGGTGAGAAGAAAAAAAATAATAGTATGTCGGGATGTGCAATAAATTGAAGAAGAGAGTCATGGAGCGAAATTTGTGAATTGAGCGAAGACTGATTTGATAAATTGACATCGCAGCTGACCATTTCACCTTGGCGATCGGATGGCACACCGGTGCATGCTGAGGTCGACGACGGCAAACAATTTCCTTGACCTCTGCGTCTCCACTGAACAAACACGCACTTTTACACGTCTCAGTGAAGCGAACGCTTTGTGGCACATTGCCAAAACAAATAAAATTGAGGTGATTGGCGGTCGTACAACATGGTTGTGCACAATGAACGCATCGACTGATATTAATCGATTGATAAAGATGCGATCATTTTGAAGTGTGGGCGGGGCGAGTCCCGACGGCTTCTCATTGGAAAAAATGGTAAATTGAAATAAACTGGTAATATTGAAGCAATACTATAAATTTTTTAATTTCATCGCATTTTCCCGATTATTTAAAATTTATAAAAAATTATAAGTCAGAAAATGTTTTTAAAAGTTTTTGATTTGTATATGAACTTTACGCAACTGAGGACTCACAAATGTATTCCTTAAGCCAATTAAAATCTTTTAAATTATGATAAATGGATTTAATATTTAAAATAATTATTCTAATTTATAATTTTCTGAGAAAATATGGTACGTTGTCAAAAATATTAAATTTTCTAGCCTGTGAGAAAATTGCAATAATTAAAAAAATGTTTAGCTAATAATATTCACATGAAAAAAAATATGATTACGACGGCGCTTTTTAACGGTATAAAATTAGAAAAGATTGGGTTCCACCACGAAAATGATCGCTAAAATATCTCACGTGCTTTTTTTACTAACAAATAACAATAGAGCGTTTATTCCGACAAATGACTCATTTTTCTAAAAGATTTACTTTATTTTCTATAATCTCTCAATTTTTTGATGCATATTCCAATAGTCTTTGATTGCTCTTCCCAACTCTCCGATAGATACTACTAGCACCTATTATTATTTTTAATTATTAGACATAGAATGGAATGTACTCCGGGAAATATGTTAATTTCCGGTTCTCTGTGAATACGAGGAATTGTGTATTTTTTAATGATGGAAAACCATTATTCTGAGCTTTTTTATATGACCATATCAAGTTATCCATGAAAACAGACACGACACTTGAATATATACAAAAGGTGGAAATAATTTGAAGCACCCTTCTGGCTTTGTCTTCTACCGTATTCCATCCAATACGGAGCATTATGGATTTTGCACGCTCGTTCAATTTTAGTGCCGTGTTTCTTATGCGAGAATCACACATTTGGTTTCATCATTGTTCTCACATTACACGCTTTATTCCTCTCGACAATCTTTGCATTCAAGGTTTTTGTCCGTTTTTGGTAGGCGGCCGACCAACGCTAATATGTTTTTTGTTCTTTCCAAATTGTCTCCGTCTGTTCGATACGCCGCAAACCGCCGAAACCATATGCGTTGTTTTCACGTTTATTTTATACTATTTTAGAAATTATTATTCTATAGAAAATTGAATCTAGAAATGAAGAAAATTTTCATCTAGAAATGTAATTTCTATATAAACCCTTTCATTTCGAGTCAATCAAAAAATGACTCATCATTTTATTTTTCTTACTTATTACAAACTATCAGAATCCATAATCGAATATCATTCTAATATACTCAAAACAATTTTTTCCTTCATTATACTTAAGCTAGCTAGCTAGCTTATTTGGTGCTGATGCCTCAAACTTTTATGCATTTATCAAAAATTATGATTTTTTGCAATTAAAGCGTTTTATGTTGAGCCTTGGCTGTGCGTAGCCGCAAGCGCGCTCTATGGACACATCTGTCATCTTAACCAACACGCGGAAAATTTGAAATCCATTTGGCCGCTGCACCTTATTTTATAGCCTCTCGCGTGTATTTTCGCGTTTCAATGTCAGTTCTCCTCAATTTTTTAAAATTTTTTTTAGAAATCATGGACGCTAGAAGTGAGTTCCGCATGTCGCTGTTTCCACGCATCCCGTCTCCAGCGCAAGGAAAATTGGTAAACGTTGTTGACTCGCCAATTTTATCGGTAACATGCAATTATTCTAGGTTCACCACTCACCGAAAAACGAAATTGACGCCCCATACGATGTTCGTAGAATGAATGCGATCAATGACAGAGAGAAATGCCAAGCTGGAATGGAAATTTTTGATAGCGAAAAGACGTATCTCAAATTTCTTGAGACCATCGAAGAGGTATGTTAAAAAATCAATAAATTGCATGACTCATCCCTATGTTTTACGTCATTTGCCAATCAATAAGTTTATTACAGCACTTCAAGCCAAAGTTTCTCAATGCTCACAACTCCTTGCATAAGCAGATACACACCTTGTTTGGCGAAATCACACCAATCTACAAAACAAGTCAGGTAAAGTAAATTGTTTGGGCAAAAAGAAAAGACTGAATTGTTTTGTTTAAATAAAAAAGAACCCCAAATTTTTAAAAATTATGCTTAGCATATTGAATCGAATCGCTTTACAATTTTGCCATTAAAAAGTTTAAACTTTCAGGAGCTTGTCAAAGCTATGCGTGAAAAGCCTTTCCATATGGCATTTACCGAGATGCTCCCGTTTCTCAAATTGTATTCGACCTATGCCACACATTATCCGGACTCATTGAAAGCTTATGCTGTATGAACATCAGTACCAGTTTGACACATTTATAATGGTTTGCAGGAATTGATGTCGAATGATGGATTCAGAAAGACATTGGAAGAAGCGGAAAATGATCCGCGTTGCGAGGGCAACAAGCTGAGTTCGTTTCTCATAATGCCAGTGCAGCGCATCCCGAGATACATTCTGCTCTTAAAGAATTATGATGCGACGTTCAAGAAGGAAATGCACTGCTCTAATATGAGTAAGCATAAATTATTTACGATTATAAAATCAATACAATTTTTCAGAAGTTATAAACGCTCTGAAAGAGCTTTCACATGAGATGTCATCTTGTATGACGGCTTATGAGCGCGCTGAGAGAATTCTGGAGATTCAGAAGGACTTTGGCCTTCAGAAGCATATTTTCGAGCCCGGAAGAGTTCTCATCAAGGAGGGCACATTGTTCAAGGTATTTCATTCTTCTAACGTTCTCAAGAAATATATTTTGATTTTTTTTTCAGAGATGTCGGGAAAATGGTTTGTTTGAAGAGAAAGTTGTCTTCCTCTTCAATGACGTTCTCATCTATGGACAGAAGAGAATCCTCTATCGCGCTGTTGGAATGTCAAAGTATGAGCCATCGTGCATGTTCGCGCTACGACATACCTTTGTGATGTTTAAGAAGACAGAAGGAGTTATTGTGGTATGATTTCCAATCAACTTTGCCCAGAAATAATCAAACTTGATTCAGCTGAAATGTGGTGATGTCTACCTTGAGATGACATCAGACCGTAGCGATACACTGTCGGAATGGCACGATTCAATTCTGAATGCTATTCATTCGGCGAAGACCCTTCGCCAGACTCTTCGCAAAGACAGTTTCAACAAGAAGGTCATGCACTTCGAGTGAGTTTCGTGTCAAAAAATTTGAGATTGCTGCACTGTGAAAATTATTTTAACCGCACATGGAATGCAACCCTGTTCACCTGCGTTCACACTTTGTTATATTGTTGCACGACGCCTGCCAATAATTTTTGGTTTCGGGATTTTGAAACATTGAAATCGTTTTCAGCAAGAGCTTTTGGAAGCGCCGCCGTCAAAACATTCGCTCCATCATGCGCGCCGACGTTGCGCGACCAATCAGTCGCGTATTTTCAAGGCGCCGCCAGCGTCAAGATCTCAATGAGACCGATTTTCTCAATGGTGTTCAATCATTGAGAAAACGCAATAAGCCTCATGAAACGCTCATTGATATTATAAGTGCGGATAAACCGCCGGCTCATAATTCATTGGCCAGTGACGAAGATGATGGTAATTGCAGAGGCAATGAGACGAACGATTTGGTTCGCGACATGCTCGAGAACGAGTTCTTCGCCAAGCGTCGCAGAATTATGTTTGAGAGCGGTTACGAGCCACCAGTTCTTGAGTGTGTCGATGAGATTCAAGACGTAATTTTGTCTTCAGTGAAGTTTTCTAATTATTTCTTGTTTAGGATGGTGTAACTGAGGTGGATGGCCGCAACTCGGCGACAGTTTTTTCGATGCTTCAACGCAAGGGAAATCAGATTTATGAGGCTATTTGCAACACAGTTCGCCGTTTGTCGCCGCCACCGGAGGAGTTGGAAATCACCATTCCGACAAGTGCTAACGTGATGTTTCCTGATGAAATCAAAGAACCATTCGATGAGGTATGGCACTTGAATTTGAGAATTGAGAACAATTTTTTTGATGTAGGAGGATCGCAGACCGCGTGAGCTTGGCAATGTTCGCAACAATTTGCGCGTTTCGGAGATTCGCAAGCTTAGCTACCAGCGAGTAAGCAAAATATTTTTTTGAAAAATTTCTATATTCCGATATTTCAGCCTTTTGACTTTCTTGACGAAGACGATGAGTCTGAGAATGTTTCGGTCGACGAGCCGATTTCGATTCGTCCTGTTCCGTGGTGGGCTGAGGAGTCGGCTCCGCCGGCAATCCGCGATCAGCGTCAAGGCCGTTCCCTATGTATTCTTATGTAAAAAATTGCCAACCTAGTCCCGTTCAGCACGCTTGTCATTGGCTTTTAATAATCCAAAGAACCGTATTACTTTTTTCTTCGTAATAACCATATAATATTGTAATTTTTGCCCCTCCCCCCTCCCCTTCATATTATCACCGCATCATTTCATTTGTGATGACAATTAATTTGATCTCACCCCAATTTGCTTTACCAACCAAATATTTATGCAAAATGTGAAGAGAATTGTTTTAATTTGCCATGCGTAACCAATAAAATGCGATTAATTTGAAATTGCGCGGGAAAAGGGTATTATGCCAATTAAGAAGCTCGACGGAATCACACGATGAGATGTTTTGACATCGTTTTCGTCGAGTAATTCATCAATTTTCACTTTGTTTGAATACCATTGTTGGAATTATTCATCGATATGGAGTCGAGTAAGGTTTGTTAAAGACGACCTTGAAATGAGATAGAAAACGATTTTATGGTGTTCCGTTGACATTTTCTTTCTTAGATTGACGACATCTATGCTCGCCAATTGACCTTCACATCTCAACCACAAACTATTTCTTGGAGCAATTTCCAATCCAACTTCGGACCACCAAAATTCAATAAGGTTTTTTTTAATGGAAGCCTAATAATCTTTGTATATTGCTGATTAATAGCAAGCGCAAAGTCCTTCGGAAAAAACTGACGAAGAATCGATAACAAAGAAATCGAGTCGCCCCACTAAAAGAACAACCTTCACCGTTCATCAGGTAAAACGATTGACAATAAGAGCACGATAAGCTGATAGAAGTTTTTAGATTTCAATGCTTGAACTCGAATTCTCGAAGAACGAGTACATTTGCAAAGACCGTCGAGGTGAATTAGCGAGAAGTATAGATTTGTCGGAATGTCAAGTAAAAACTTGGTTCCAAAATCGCCGAACAAAAAAGAGAAGGTATGAGGAAGAAGGAACATTGACAGATTGTTGATGAACCCGGAAATAGTCAAAAGTTGGGCGAAAAGTGAAACTTTCTCGAATTTGGCGATAAGTATGTAACGAGAAAAATAAAACGTGGAAAGAAACAATTTATCGGTTTTCAAATTGGTATCAATTGTTCAAGGAGACTTATTGTTGGAAATCATTATCAAATTAGTGATAATGAAAGACTAAATATAAAATGAAGATTGGGAGGGCTACTGAATCAAAAATTGTTGATACGAGGGATTGTTTCAGATTCATCTCTCCAGTAAAAATAACGAATACTCCGAAGGAAATCCATCCCGATTATCAACCATACTGGCCGTACGCACTTCCAATTCACAAATAATATTACTTGATTGATTGATAAAGTAACCATTGAAAAATTGTTATCAAATCACGAAGCGTGACAAAGAAAAGGGCAGGGGTCACTCTTGCCATGTTTTTTTTCTCGTCATTTTTATATAAAAGAACTTGACTGTCATCATTCGCCATTCGATATGTATTTACTACTGATCATTGTTGTGGTTTTCGCCGACTCGTCTTTCGCTCAGATGCCATCATGCGATTCCCCAGTCAAACTTGGTAAAACATGCACTACTGGCAAACCAGTGGTTAAAGTGAGTTGATTCTTTCACGCTTCAATTCAAGAAGCACTTTTAAGCATGACGTTTGTGATTTATATATATTATAGTTATTTTTGGAAAAATGATGTTCAAGCATGTGAATGTTTTTTTTACAAAGTTTGAACTTCTTTATGCTGGATTTATCTTGCATAAAATATTGGAGTTCCAGTGAACCATTAAAAGTCGTTTGGATCTTTTTAACATTTTATAACTTTTCGAAAACGAAAATTTTTCAATTTTAACTTAAAAGCTCAGTAGAAACCCGTCATCTCAAATTAATATATGATTTGAAATGTCACAAAGCTTCATCATATTGCTTTTTGAATTTTTGATCTGAAACTAATTTCACTGACAGATGATTTCTTGCAACTGACATAAACAGAATTTCAGTGGTATTATGACACGAAAATGTTATACTGCTATCCATACAAATATTTGGGTTGCGACGAAGGCTCGAACTCGTTTGCGACTCAGGACGAATGTTTTTCAATGTGTAAACCAGGTTAAATGCCTTGCAAAACCTATTTCAAATAACGTCATCTTATCTTGTAGCTGATCAGGTGTCCTGCGGTGGAAATACGGATATTTTGGGAAACTGTTCGCCTCATGATGGTGGTGATAGCTGTCCAGCCGGACAAATATGTGTGAATGGAGGAAATATTGGATTGTGTTGCGATAAAAAAATTCAAGGTCTATTTCTTTTTGTTTTGCAAACATTGAAGAATGACTATGTCTCATGCAAATTGCAAATTAGACAATTGCAGAAGCGTGGGATCTTGAGCAATCACCAAAATGCAAACAAGGAAGTCCCGTGCAGATTTCCGTATGGTACGGCAAGACCCCACTAATTGGACGCAATTGCTCCCATAGGTAATAGAAGCTCAAACATTCAAGTCAAGCAGGTGACCCCTATATTCAGGTTCTGTCCAGATGATTCGAAATGCATTCAAGGAAAATGGACTGCACATTGCTGCAAGTGACGTCAATTGTTCGAAAAAAAATTCTGTCGATTTTTGTATATAATTTTCGATTATTTTCTTTTTTCCAATCATTGAATAGAAATATGCCGACGCAATAAACTTCAATTACCGATGATATCGCTTCGAGCAAAATTCGTTATTGAATTCGCTGCATATGACAGACTAAATCCAATCAAACACTCTTCTGTCTACGTCAGATGGTATCACATCCATCACGTAATTTAATTGCGCGCCGCCCGCAAAGATATCTCATGCTGCAACCTTTTTTCCTTGTTTATGCTTTTTCAACGCTGCTCATTATAAATAGACGACGTCGACGAGAGGAATTCATCCGTTATGCTCATAATAATAGTAATTGTACAACCAACTTGCAAAAGTTAATTTCCTTAAAAGTGTGTATCACGGGGTTGCTCTTTTACATGGAAGAGAGAAAGCATAATGGGATATTAGTAATGAAATCTGAAGTAAGATTACGAAACAAACGACATCAACAATACTGGTTTTTGTCGTAATGGATAGGCTTAAAATATTTAAAAAACAGAATCCTCACGCTAAGGAATGCTAAAAATAAAAAGAGCATGAGGTCAAAAATTCGATTATCTGATTTCATCTAAAATTTTTGAAAAGAAAACTGAAAACTAATTATTCGAAGAAGAACATTTTTTGGAACTGATTTAAAGGTGGAAAATTTCTGTGAAAACTTCGTAATTCTTCTATTTTTAATGTTAGCTTTACATTCGCAAAAAAAACGAGCACCCTAATTGGAGTGAGTTAACTTCGCCGGTTATCCACTGTACGGTATCCGAATTTCCACTATTCAAAAAAATGTTTGAATTAGCGCCTCGAAATAGTGCGATAGTATACAAATGGTTGTTTTTGATGGAAAAACATATGATTTGAGTTTGTTGCAATAATGTATTTCCATTCTAAAATTGATATTATTGCCAATTAACAATATATTTAGAAAAAAACATTTATTCTCCTCAGAAATGCTTTAAAAGCTAAAAAGGTTATTATTGAACTTGAATATATAGCAATTGTTAGTGGAAGCTGATTGTAAATTTAAATATTCTGCCGACTATCAAATGCCGAATTTTCTGTTTAAACGCCTTCAGTGACTTGAAAATATGTAAAAACTTTCAAATAAAATGAGTTTTACTTCCTTATCTCACAAATTTTTTGTTTTTCTTTGACTTTTCTTTGTTTTCTGAATTCCACCTTCATTTGTTTATTTCATATTCTTTCAAAGAATATACGTCTGATAACAATATGATTCATATTATAACACCCTCTTCTTATTAACGCAAATCCAATTCCTAATTAGGCTATCAAAGTCTAAAAGCACGGCGAAGCGAGACAAGGGGAGAAAATTTTATGGGCGGAGCTTCGTTTGCCCACTAGATAAAGTCAGGCCTACTGCGAAGCGAAAGTCATTCTATTCAGCACTTGAATAACAAAATGGCACGCTGCTCACCGATCCTTTTCGTTCTCCTTGCTCTCATTCCATTGTACTGTGCATTGGATTGCAGGTATAATATTCTTTAAAAATTCTTACCTTAATCGTGAGTAATATAGAAAATTCTCATTTGCTCCGGCATGCCGCGGCATCATGCTCAAAAGATCGGGAGCTCACCAAATCGTTGACACCGAGGCAAAGGAAATGGAAATGGCTGAGGTTGACATCCGCAACCGTGTTCGAGTTTAACTTCTATATTCTTAAACTTTTTGCAGAAACTCAAGAAGGAGGAGATTTTGATGCGAATTTGGAACGCGATTCAAGAGGAAGGAGCTTCGAAGGATGGATGTGTCAACATTCATTGGTTGAAGGCAAAGCTTTTGGAACCCGATTTCGGTAATTTGCCGAAAATCAATCAGACAAATTCTATATACGAAACCATTTCAGAATCTTTCTAATTTATTGTTTGGTGTTTTGTCGAGGTCAAAGGAAGGTCTGAAAGTGTGGAACATTCAAGATAATTCAATTCGTGGAATTTCAGATAGTCTAACATCTACACACAACGTTGTCCACTTTCAACTACTACATCAATGTCATTATTTTGGTTTTTGCAATGTTTTCTTCATCAGTTTCGCAATGCTCTTTGTCGTACCAATAAATGTTCAATAATGTTTGTTGTTCGAGTGTAAAAATCCACAGTAACACATCATCGTCATCAAGTACAATTTCACAGCTTTCCAATCCAAAGACTTAATGCGGATTTGAGTTTATGTGAGCAATTATGCTAGTAATGCATAATGCGAATCGAAATTTCTCGAAATCTTGTCCCGCGCAGGTGTATTGCGAAATAATTGAAATCTAAATTGCGAATCGGTCCGAAAGATTCAACAGATTTATTCAATGAGGAATGAGAACAGCGGGGGATTAAATTGAAAAATAAATGGCATGAAAGTTTGGGTTTAAGAATTAAACGAAAGAAGAGGGAATGAATAACAAGTAAGTTAAGAAATACACGCGTAGATTGACAGAATCATTCACTGGGATGTCGAAGGAAACAAAAATAAATGAAGGACTTGAAAAATTTTCGATTGAAAGAATTCATATATATAGATTTGGCAGGCGGTCATATTAAAACTTTTGCAGGAAAGACGAAATATAATAAGAAAGACGAGAACACTAAAATGTTTTCTAGGATTTCTAAAATATGACAAGATTCTACTAAATCAAACAATTGGTTAATTATTTAGTAGGGTTCCACCATAAATCCTCTTTTGGTGGTTTTCTCATATCTTGAGAAGGTTGGAAGTAAGGCGAGCTCCAAAATGAGGAGGAAGTGTGAACGGCAGGAAGGCTGACTAACGAAAAACGACTGTCACTTCTTCGATGTCGTGGTTGAGGTGAGTTGGTTGCAGTTCGGAGCCGTGGACTCCGTCCAATAGGAGGTAGGAACTCGCGAGGCTTTAGATTATCTCGATGGGAGCTAATATCCCAATTTGGACGTCTTCTACTCAAATCGCCCACTGATCTTGCTCCTTGAATTAGAAAAATGTAATGATATTCAAATGACCTCTTACCCCTCAGTTTCGATCCACCACTTCCAGTTCTATTAACGTTAGAAGATCTCAATTCATGAGCTGAACCCGAGACTGATTTTAACTCATTTCTTCGTATCGCAATTTTCCTGCTGATCACTGAATTCCGGGTGCTTCTTGATGTAAGCGACGAAGCATCCTCACCATTTCTTGGCGTAGTTGCAACCGATCCAATATTACTGCTAGCCAAACTAGACGATGTTGTCTAAAACTGTGGCATTTAAGCACCTGTTGATTTTATAACAATTTTTATTCGTCTAGACAGTATTTTTTTTACTACGCACACATTCTTTTTCCAAAGTTCATACCTTTATTGGTTTTGCTTTCACTGCACCTCTACTATTCGCTTGACCGCGAATTTTGTCTCGGCTCTCTTCACGCTCAACCCGCTGTGCCATTTTCAGATTCTCCAATGACTTTTGTCTTGTGACGTCAGGGATTTCCGGTGAGCTCACAATTGGTTGCGCAATTGATTCTGGGAAGACTTTTGGGACGTCAACATCCGATGATTGCCCGGTAGCCTCAATCACTTTTCGCTTGAAAATGAATCGACGACGAAGCGGCACTGGTTGTGCTTCCAAATATGCTCTAAAAATTAAATTTCAGAATAGTTATTTATAGATTCCATACCTAGTTGTTGCCGGGCAGGATATAGAAGTATCCGCAAGATGCTCCAAACTGGCATCAGCCGCAATTTCAGCACTCTTTTCAGAGATACTGGACAAGGTTCGTTCAGGCCTTCTAAAAATGGGAGAGCGATCAATTAACTTTTAATTACTCTCCACGATACCTTCTTCTCATTATTTTTCTGCTACTACTTGGATAAGGCTGGCGTTTGAATTTCATTGTGTCGAGTTTTTTGAAAAATGCAACTTCCGGATCGCTTTCATCAGTCGTTTCACTAGCAAGGCGTTGAATGGCGGGCTTTCTTGCTACCGAAGTCCGACTGTGTCGAGATCCCGTTGGAACGAAAAGCTCATCACCATCACTTTTTCGCCTTCTAACAGCACTGGGAATCCTTGATGGTCTTTCTAATGATTTTGCCGAAGCTTGCCGACTTCTTATTGGCCGGTCGTCTGGATCAATAATTTTTGGCCTCGATGTCTCTACAGACGTTCGAGGGAACTCAATTTCATTCTTTTCGTCATGCTTTGGTGACAATGGCAGCTCAATGCCTTGTTTCGCCATTTCAATCAATAGTGCTGCTTCTAACGATTTTTCCGCTGATGGCAACGATTTTTGTAAAATTGGTGTTTCTTCGTTGCTCGTCTTTTGCTCTGTTTCTTCTTGTACAGGCGGTGGAGAGCTCTCAGATGTCTCACTTCTAATTGCATTGCTTCTAGGCGATGTGAAATTTGTGACACCAATCATTGAAGCAATTTTTGCGTCCGACTGACTGAAAAAAATATTAATTCAAAAAAAGCAAATATAATTTCAGACATTTGGGATTCCTTGTTCCTATCTTCGTTTTCAATTCGAATTGCCTCTTCTTCGTTTAAATTTGCATTTGAATTTAGTTTTTCATGTGCAAGTGTATTTTTCTCTCCAACGGGCGAATCAATTTTCATTTTCATTGATCTTAATCTTTTTCATTTTTGTTAGTAGCTTTTTTTAATGGCATACTCATTTCCATGGTGTGATTTTGGCACGTTGAACGTCACAGCCGCATCAGACCTTTCGGATTGTTTTCCTGTGTTCAACGTATGTTGAGTTCGGGCAGTTTCAGCCAATCTCGCTTCAAATAACAACTCCAAAGAATCGACACTTTTTTTTCTTGCTGTAATCAAGAATTCAATATTTCTTAAAAATTCATTCCGCACCGCTTGCCGAGTCCGCTTTTGAATACTGGGCGCCCAGAACGCGATAAGTTTCCCATATAGTTGGTTGGACACCAATCGAGTGTGATGAGGTTGGTCGCTCGAGCTCATTCTACATATTACAACGTCATTGGCAATTATAAGATTCGATCCACTAACCTCTATTTGATATCCGATTTCCTTCTCATCTTCTGCACTTGGAGGGCCCGTAGTAATTGGAACTGGCAAAGGAAGTGGCAAACTAGGCAATTGAGGAGCGTTGTCGTTGGCTGACACAAGCGAAACCGCACTCGAGTTCTATAAAAGGGTGGATAAAAATAAAAGAATTTTAATGATCACGAACCTTTTCAAGTATGGGGGTGTCGACAACAGCGACAGGAGTTGCTGGTTCAGAAGTTGACGTATTTGTTGAGAGTTTTGCAAGTGAGCTAACTTTTGGAAGCGAAGGGGTCTCAGGAATTGGCGGGTCCAGTATTGATTTATTGCTTTCTGTTGGGCTCTGAACAACGATTTCAAAGTATTAAAAAATTGAAGATTAGAAATTACCTCTTCGATGACTTGAGTCATTTCAGGAGCCTTGGAAACCCGCTTCTTTTTAAAATCAGCAACAGCTAAAGCGATGGCTGCCGACTTGGAACCTGAAATGCATAAACTAGGAGACTAGGCAAAGCAAAAGCATTTTTTTCTGTTGAAAGTCAACCTCGGTTTATGATTTCCGGTTTTTTCGTCTGCTATTTTGTTTTGTTTTTTTTCGCCATTTCTTATGAAAAAAAATATCGAACCTTTAGCACTGTGCCTGAGACTTTCTGCAAAAATGGAACGCATGTGTGGCATTTTGCCATCATTTACGACGCTGACATTCTCTTCCGATTGTTTGGAACTGCGACCGATCACCTTAAGTCAAATTGAAGAAAATAAAGTGAACATTTCAATCGTACCACTCTTTGAAGACCCTCACTATTTGCAGGGTGAATAATAATCCTTCTACAGCATTTAGAGCGGCAAAGATAGTAAAATAAGAGGCATAAGAGAATGGTTAGGGTGAACACTCCTAGTAAGAACAACAACCAAACAATGAGGCAAATGCCCAACACCATAACGCAGCTAAACGTATATTAGCTATCTGAATTATTTTTTTAAGTTGCTTACTCAGACTCTTCAGGAAATCCTTCGCATAACCTTCCATGCCCATCTGATACGTCTATAGTACCTTTTTTACAGGTACAAGTGTAGCGAAATCCGTCGGATTTACAATCGGCGTATACATGACATGGATAGTAGGCGCTTTCAAAACATAAATCTACTCCGAGAGCTAAAACCTTGGATTTGAAAATTGGAAAAAGCAAATCATGATAATACCATTTGTTGTTATGTTAACATCTCCGACAGATCTTTGCTTTAGCATTTTTGTGATATCCTCATAATCACAGTTTCTACAAGGCAGCACCAGAACTGGAGAATCGCCATAAGATGATGAGTGAAAGCATAAAGGACCCATTTCGTTTCGAATCTACCGTGATTTTCATTAATTTCCTAATTTTTAAAAATCCTTACCGTTTGATATAATAACATTTTCTTATCAGCTATTGAAATGTCTTCTTTTCCACAAACTGAATGAACGTCTAATCTTATTAAAATAGTGGATGACGAATCTATAAAGCTCATTAGTAAGATTGGCAACAAATTATGTATTTACCTTCACAATTTCCAGACTCATTTGGAAACATGCCATTGTCGCATTTACATTCGACATCATTCAAAGATTGATTTTCTTTCAATACATTCAGACACGATTCATCAACTTTTGGAGTGGTAAGACTCATTCTTGAAGGTGTTACTGCGTCACTAGTTGATTCCATTCCTCCCGATGTTGTTTCTTGCCGCTTTGTGGAAGACGTGACGGTAGTTTGACTTGTACTAGTCCTAACAAATCCAATTCCACTCTCGAATCCAGGTATTGGAATAATTCCCCCACCATGATGCTCCTCCAGACTTTTTTCTGGAACGTCTGGCCGCCCATCTGGTCCAATGTGTATAACTTTCGTGACTCCTGGTTTGTCTGTCGTTCTTTCTCGTGTTGTCACAATATTTGCTGTTGTTTCTTCCAATGTCGGGCTCGTTTCCGGCAATTGGTGTTCAGATGGAATTGTTGGCTTTGGGGTTTTTTCTTCGAACCATCCTTCATAGATTTCCGGACTTCCTGATTCTTCGGGTGTTGACGACGATTCTATTTCGTCTGGACCTTTCCAACTGCTCGGTCGCTCTTGAACTTCTTTATTGCCGTGGTATCCTTGAGAGCCTTGAGATGTGGCAGTTGGTGGACCATTAGTTCCATCCCCATATTCATGAGATCCCTGAGAGCCAGTTGGAAGTATTTGGAATCCTGGAAATTCACCCGCTTGTGATGATGATGGCGCACCAGACTCCTGTGATCCCTTCGAAGAGGATTGAGATCCCTTGCTCCAATAATCTGGTGTAGAATAGGTATTCCCTTGATTTCCAAACTCAAATGGTCTTCTCGTTCCGGGCGAAATTACATGTTCGCCATTTTCATGAACGCCTCTGGTATTACCATCCTGATTTCCGTAATTGTGAGATCCTTCAGAAGGCTGAGATGTTCCCCATCCGCCATATATGAAAGTGCTTTTAGGATTTGAAGGCGTTTCAGATCCCTGATTTGATGGAGGCTTGGTGAAGATGCTAGGGATTGTAAAAACCATTGGCTTTGAAGTCGTCGCGATATGAATTCCTGGGATAAATGGGATCAATGCTTCAATTAACTTTTCATTGCCATTTGACGGAACAGTTGCAGTTTCTGTAGGAATTGGAGCAACGGTAATAGGCGACACAGGTGGAATTTGTGTGGATGGTTGTCCGTATGGAGGAGGGGTGAATCCTGGGAAAACTAATGGTGGAACAAAGCGATTTGCTGGAGGCAAAGTTGCAATCCTAACACCATCAGTAACTGCTGATATCACTGTTGTTGGTTCTTCAATCGGCCAGTTTGGACTTTCAGAATTATCAGGAAAGAATCCTTCGACATTCACATGAGGTGGTGTTGATGTTATTGGAACTTTGGGCTTGGTGACTCGCGTGAATTCAACTACTGGTGGAAAAAAGTCGTCAGGATCAGGTTGGGCTGCATCTGTTGGCTGTGGTGGGGGCACTGGGAAAAATGGGAAATTCTCCAATGGTGGTGCGGTCTTGTCAGGTATCAATGTAGCAAATGGGTATTTCGGGGTTGTGGTTGTTTCTGTGGATGGAACAATTGAAGGTTGTCCTATATTGTTCGGGCAAAACGAGCAGCCGGGCACGAATAATGATGAATGATCTTCTGGTGGTTGTGGAATTGGTTTCGGCAATATAATGCCTGTCTTATTACGAGCGCATCGGTAAGCTTCTTGCAACGGCATAACATAATTTTCATCTTCATCACTACCATCGATGCAATCATTTTTGCCGTCAAGCAACCATTCCCAAAGAACGCATTCACCGTAACCTTTGCATGGGAACGATTGTTTATCTGCACATAATTTCTCTTCTGCAAAAAATGTAAAGAAATTTGAAAAATCTCTTGGAAATGCTTACTTGAAACGGAACACCATGGGAGTTCTTTTGAAGTGCCATCACATTTTGGGTACACGACACAAGGCAGAGCGTCTTTATAATCTGCGCAGTAGACTGGGCCGCAGCTTACTTGTCCAATAAAACACCACTCATCACTACCATCAAGACAATCAGGCTTCCCGTCTCGAAACTGCTCAATCGATACGCATTGGCCGAGGCCACAGTCGTAATCGCCTAGAGAACAACGACCAGGCACCCTCATACGAACAGCTAGAAAAAATTGTTATCAATGAGCAATTAATTTTTTGCCATTATTTCTTACCGTCATAGGACAGAAATTGAGGTGTAGCAAAACTGGGGAAAAACACAAAATACAGAAAGATGGTCAGCATGGAAAAATGGAAGCTCGTCGTCGTCGCATGTGGGCTTTTGTGCGGACAACATCAGAAGAATGCCGCACTCATTCAATCCCAACTAAGTGTGGAAATAGCGGATTTGGAATAGGAAATGCTGAAAATTGACGATATGGTATTGATATCTAAATTTGTGAGAGAAAAGATCATGAAAAGATGCGGATCTGATAGGTAGTATATTGAGTTAGAAACCATGACAACACTAATGAAATTATCTTATGAAGTGAATTTAACTAGAAATGTTTAAAAGTGCAGAATGAGCAGTAAGATTTAATGCGTGTGTTCATATATAGAAATTATGAGTTTTAAAAGGCGGGTAGACCTATGCACATACATCCCCTTGCGACGAAATTGTCTCAAAATTGTTGCTCGCTCAATTTGCAATAAGTGGTCAGCAGATGGCTGGACATTCCAAAAGTACTTGGACAGGAAAACTATCAAGAACAATTAAAGTGCAAAATTGGGGAGCAACGTCAGCATATAATAGGCCGATCAGTAACTATATGTATAGAACGAGCACATTCCAATCTCTTTTTTTTTTTCAAGGTCCCTTAAGACAAAATAGATTGCATGGAGAGCAGCTTGTCAAAGTACTTCCGATCGTTTTCGAGCAATGCAATTCTCCGAACGTTATTTATTGGTGTTGTTATAACAGTTAAATATAGAATGAGGGTCACTGCTTGTTGGGAAGAAAAAAAAGTGACCATGGCATATTTTGCAGAAAATTATGATTATGCCTTTAAGAAATTCGAATATGTTTGTTTATGCTTTTAAATTTTACTAGCTTCAAATTAAATGAAATTTAAAGGTTATTATATCAGTAATTTGTGCATTATAGGCATTAAAATTGAAAAGTTAAAGTTACTATGAATGCACCATTTAAATGTCGATACAATAATTCAAACGGCTGGAGTTATTTTTGAGTTACCTCCCCAATAGAATTTGTCAGCAAATACCTGAAATGTCTTTTTTTTTTGTAGGTAAAATTTCAGGGATATGCAAGCAGAGGAAACACTACGTTACTGTTTTTAAAACCATGAGATGATTGATGAAGGTCGAACGATTTATAATATTGTAACAAAAAATCAATATTGTATCGAGAATTACTATATAAGCGCATTTTTATATCAAATGGTAGTCATTTCGAACGTATATACACTTTTTGAGAATCGGGATGAACCAGATTAATTCAAAGTATTTGAAAAAATAGACGCTGAACATTTGATGAAATTTCTCAACGTTGGAGAAAATTACAAAATAAGATGATTCTGAAGCTTACAAAGCTTGTTAGAAGTAATTACATTTCATACATTTTAAGGTTGAAAATGTCGAGAAATGTAAACTCTGAATTGACGCAAAAACATATGTACACAACAAGTCATTTTTCTTATTCAGAATAACTTCCGGAGTTAAAAAAAAATACGTCTGGAAAATCTAAAAAATTCTAGGCGAAATTTTCTACAATTGGCACTTGGTATAGCCGTACCCTGCACTCAATACTTAATAGCAGTCCGATGGGATACAAAGTGCGTTTGAAGGGATCCGAATTAATGGATGCCATTAGAGAGTAATGAATGGGCAATAATAATAGAAATGTTTCCAAAAATCAGTACAACTTTACTTTTTTCTTTTCTTCCAGCCCTGAAGAAGCAAAAAAAGGAGAGAACTCAGCAATTCGGTCACTTTTGCCTCTTTTATTCTTTCCGTTTTGTGGACCTATTGACCACTCAAGGACTCCTGCTTTACCACGTTCAATAGTCAAAAGAATATAATGAACAATGTATGTATTCGGTGGAATGTAAGTATAGTCGACATAAAAAAGAAGAAAATAAAGTGCCGAGCATTTTCTTCGCTTTGTTGAACTTTATTGAAGTATCCCATAAAAAAGGTATATAGATATACCTTTTTAGGAATGTATGACAGGAAGTGAGAAATGTATAAAAATGTATCGCTCATGCAATAAACTATATGTTGAAATTTTACCAACAGAACTTTGAGCAATGTATTGGAAAAAAGGAAATGTCTGAGGATTGTGAAATATGAACGACGATTTGGGGGTAAGGAGACGTTTTGTTTTACAAAATTTGTGGGAGGGCGACATATTTTGGGCTTAAATCTGGAAAGTTGTTTTCAGCTCGAGCCAAGAAATTCGTTTAAATGCACCATGGATAGATTCTTGTTATTGAAAAACATAAGAATTTCACAAATTTTGTCACTTTACAATTAAAAAAATTATTTTTCATAGATTTTTAAATATTTCTTTTTTATGCTTCAATTGTCTGCTTTTTAAAGAATTTTTTATCGGACTATTTCGGTACTTGGGATACGCAAAATACTTCCTTCGAAATCTAATTATTTATTAATTAAGTTTTGTTATATCTAAACATATCTTCAGCATAATTAGCGTAATTAGTTAATTGAGCTATCCAGTTGATTTGATTCTTTTTAGCAAAAATAAAAAAGATAGTTGACAAATGTTTCTTGACTTAGTTTTACACAACTCAAATAAAACTACAACAAGTTATAAAGGTAACACTATGGTGTAGTAAGGTCCAGTCAGCAGAAAGTGACCGCACGAAAAAAAAAACGCTTGAAGTGTTCAAAAGTAGTCACCACGGGCGTCTCGTTTATTGCCTCAAAACTCTGGGAATCGCGCCAACTCGCTATTCTTATTCACAGATGGTCGGCCTCACGGCTGGCGTGGCCTCCAGCCCTCGTCTAGTAGTAGAATAGCGAGAAGGCGACGGCGGGTAAAAAAAAGGGGGTCCGAGACTACGCTGCTTCCGAAAATTGCTCAATGTCCACAAGAAGCCCAATTTTACCTGAACCTCCGCCACGCACACTTTCCTGCCCAACCGCACGATGCCCATTTGCCACAATATTTTCTTCTATTTAAGAAAAGCAATAAACACGTTGTTCGAGACAAATACCAACAAATCTATGAGGGAGGGGGTGGGAGATTGAGATAAATTTCGAAATTAGTTCTTTCTTCGTTTTGGTAATAATGCGAAAGTGTAATTAAAAATTAACTAATGTTAAGCGGATTGCATAAACCCGAGGCAGATGTTCAGACTACATATTCATATGTGTGTTAATTCTGACGATAGATATAGCGAAATAGAATTAGAGGAATATTTAAAAACATATTTGAATTGGTTTTAAAATGATTTATCGTTTTTATTGTAGTATTGCATAATTATAACAGTATGAATTTTTTGTCAGTTATTTTTTTTCCGAGATATTATAAATTTGTTAAAATTTCAATGCTTTTTGTAGAATGCCGCAATTTATTTATTCTACTCCAACTTCATAAAAACAGGTGAGATCTTATGAATTATGACACAAACTATGAAAAATCTATCGATATACAGAGATCTTTCCAAACGAATCATTTTTTTTGAATTAACTGCGACGAGCAGTGAACCGACGAAGAAGCTTCTGGAGTTTTGTGCTGTGTACTTCGCGCTCTTCGGAAGAATACGATTTAACATGGCGTTCGTAATAATTCTCGGTTGGCGATCGGAACATTTGATTAATTCGCCGAGGTTGTGGCCTTAATGGGAAAGTGGCCCCATTCTCATCAACAAAAATGTCGCCGCCATAAAAGTAGCTTCGAGGCCAAATCTGAAATTATCAAATAATTGTGCGTGATATTTCATAGAATTTATTACCGGATCACTTCCTTTATAACCAAGTGGTTTTGGCACAAAGAAAGAGAAAGTATCGGCTTGATCAATAGAATCTCTCCCAATCAGATTTGAATAAACATTCTCAATAGAAATCTGAGAGGAACCTAGAAGACAAATGATATTTGAATGAAAAACAAAAAACTATTTTACCTTTAATTACAATAGCAAGCAAAACTGTAAAAACTGTAATCTGCATGCTTGAATGAGTCGTCGTCAATTATTGTCGTGTGGGATACTTCTTCTTTATATAGAGGCAATTGGGCTGAAGAGGTGGGACTTCATCTCTGAACGTTCATCTCTCATCGTTCGCATTGTGAATACGTCATCAAAGAGTATGCTATATGATCTTTTACACTGTTTGTAGAGAAATTCAAATAAATTTCAAAATTCTCATGTCATTTGACAATGTTCTTCAAAAAATTCCGACCAAACGATCATTGATGACGCAGTTCTTACGCGTACTCTGTGTTGGCGATCATGTTAGAATAATATGATATTATAACTTATCAAAATTGGTTTCTTCCTTGATAACAAATAACATTGTGATATCTCGTTAGTTCATGATATCAAACCACGAAAGGTCGTAGCAATCTCTGAAGATTACACTTCGTGGTTTCTGAAACTCGTCTCACTTCGGGAAACTAAGGAAAATTAAGATTAATTTGAGATTCCTGTTTGTTTCTACGGACAGCCATATTATCAGCTAGTGAAGCGGAACACGTAAATAGTTGTGAATAATTTGCTTAACAGCATCCAATCTACTGCTAAAGTGGTAATGACCATTCAGAAGATCGAATGGTGATTACCCACTTGAACAGGCGATTGGTGCAAGCACCAGATCAACCTTTAGAGATCAGAATAAAGAAAATAGAGGTACAAGCTCCAATCTCCTGCTAAAGTGGTAATGACCATTCAGAAGAACTAATGGTGATTACCCACTTGAACAGGCGATTGGTGCAAGCACCAGATCAACCTTTAGAGATCAGAATAAAGAAAATAGAGGTACAAGCTCCAATCTCCTGCTAAAGTGGTAATGACCATTCAGAAGATCTAATGGTGATTACCCACTTGAACAGGCGATTGGTGCAAGCACCAGATCAACCTTTAGGGATCAGAATAAAGAAAATAGAGGTACAAGCTCCAATTTCCTGCTAAAGTGGTAATGACCATTCAGAAGATCTAATGGTGATTACCCACTTGAACAGGCGATTGGTGCAAGCACCAGATCAACCTTTAGGGATCAGAATAAAGAAAATAGAGGTACAAGCTCCAATTTCCTGCTAAAGTGGTAATGACCATTCAGAAGATCTAATGGTGATTACCCACTTGAACAGGCGATTGGTGCAAGCACCAGATCAACCTTTAGGGATCAGAATAAAGAAAATAGAGGTACAAGCTCCAATTTCCTGCTAAAGTGGTAATGACCATTCAGAAGATCTAATGGTGATTACCCACTTGAACAGGCGATTGGTGCAAGCACCAGATCAACCTTTAGGGATCAGAATAAAGAAAATAGAGGTACAAGCTCCAATTTCCTGCTAAAGTGGTAATGACCATTCAGAAGATCTAATGGTGATTACCCACTTGAACAGGCGATTGGTGCAAGCACCAGATCAACCTTTAGGGATCAGAATAAAGAAAATAGAGGTACAAGCTCCAATTTCCTGCTAAAGTGGTAATGACCATTCAGAAGATCTAATGGTGATTACCCACTTGAACAGGCGATTGGTGCAAGCACCAGATCAACCTTTAGGGATCAGAATAAAGAAAATAGAGGTACAAGCTCCAATTTCCTGCTAAAGTGGTAATGACCATTCAGAAGATCTAATGGTGATTACCCACTTGAACAGGCGATTGGTGCAAGCACCAGATCAACCTTTAGGGATCAGAATAAAGAAAATAGAGGTACAAGCTCCAATTTCCTGCTAAAGTGGTAATGACCATTCAGAAGATCTAATGGTGATTACCCACTTGAACAGGCGATTGGTGCAAGCACCAGATCAACCTTTAGAGATCAGAATAAAGAAAATAGAGGTACAAGCTCCAATCTCCTGCTAAAGTGGTAATGACCATTCAGAAGATCTAATGGTGATTACCCACTTGAACAGGCGATTGGTGCAAGCACCAGATCAACCTTTAGGGATCAGAATAAAGAAAATAGAGGTACAAGCTCCAATTTCCTGCTAAAGTGGTAATGACCATTCAGAAGATCTAATGGTGATTACCCACTTGAACAGGCGATTGGTGCAAGCACCAGATCAACCTTTAGGGATCAGAATAAAGAAAATAGAGGTACAAGCTCCAATCTCCTGCTAAAGTGGTAATGACCATTCAGAGGATCTAATGGTGATTACCCACTTGAACAGGCGATTGGTGCAAGCACCAGATCAACCATTAGGGATCAGAATAAAGAAAATAGAGGTACAAGCTCCAATCTCCTGCTAAAGTGGTAATGACCATTCAGAAGATCTAATGGTGATTACCCACTTGAACAGGCGATTGGTGCAAGCACCAGATCAACCTTTAGGGATCAGAATAAAGAAAATAGAGGTACAAGCTCCAATCTCCTGCTAAAGTGGTAATGACCATTCAGAAGATCTAATGGTGATTACCCACTTGAACAGGCGATTGGTGCAAGCACCAGATCAACCTTTAGGGATCAGAATAAAGAAAATAGAGGTACAAGCTCCAATCTCCTGCTAAAGTGGTAATGACCATTCAGAAGATCTAATGGTGATTACCCACTTGAACAGGCGATTGGTGCAAGCACCAGATCAACCATTAGGGATCAGAATAAAGAAAATAGAGGTACAAGCTCCAATCTCCTGCTAAAGTGGTAATGACCATTCAGAAGATCTAATGGTGATTACCCACTTGAACAGGCGATTGGTGCAAGCACCAGATCAACCTTTAGGGATCAGAATAAAGAAAATAGAGGTACAAGCTCCAATCTCCTGCTAAAGTGGTAATGACCATTCAGAAGATCTAATGGTGATTACCCACTTGAACAGGCGATTGGTGCAAGCACCAGATCAACCTTTAGAGATCAGAATAAAGAAAATAGAGGTACAAGCTCCAATCTACTGCTAAAGTGGTAATGACCATTCAGAAGATCTAATGGTGATTACCCACTTGAACAGGCGATTAGTGCAAGCACCAGATCAACCTTTAGGGATCAGAATAAAGAAAATAGAGGTACAAGCTCCAATCTCCTGCTAAAGTGGTAATGACCATTCAGAGGATCTAATGGTGATTACCCACTTGAACAGGCGATTGGTGCAAGCACCAGATCAACCTTTAGGGATCAGAATAAAGAAAATAGAGGTACAAGCTCCAATCTCCTGCTAAAGTGGTAATGACCATTCAGAAGATCTAATGGTGATTACCCACTTGAACAGGCGATTGGTGCAAGCACCAGATCAACCTTTAGGGATCAGAATAAAGAAAATAGAGGTACAAGCTCCAATCTCCTGCTAAAGTGGTAATGACCATTCAGAAGATCTAATGGTGATTACCCACTTGAACAGGCGATTGGTGCAAGCACCAGATCAACCATTAGGGATCAGAATAAAGAAAATAGAGGTACAAGCTCCAATCTCCTGCTAAAGTGGTAATGACCATTCAGAAGATCTAATGGTGATTACCCACTTGAACAGGCGATTGGTGCAAGCACCAGATCAACCTTTAGGGATCAGAATAAAGAAAATAGAGGTACAAGCTCCAATCTCCTGCTAAAGTGGTAATGACCATTCAGAAGATCTAATGGTGATTACCCACTTGAACAGGCGATTGGTGCAAGCACCAGATCAACCTTTAGGGATCAGAATAAAGAAAATAGAGGTACAAGCTCCAATCTCCTGCTAAAGTGGTAATGACCATTCAGAAGATCTAATGGTGATTACCCACTTGAACAGGCGATTGGTGCAAGCACCAGATCAACCTTTAGGGATCAGAATAAAGAAAATAGAGGTACAAGCTCCAATCTCCTGCTAAAGTGGTAATGACCATTCAGAAGATCTAATGGTGATTACCCACTTGAACAGGCGATTGGTGCAAGCACCAGATCAACCTTTAGGGATCAGAATAAAGAAAATAGAGGTACAAGCTCCAATCTCCTGCTAAAGTGGTAATGACCATTCAGAAGATCTAATGGTGATTACCCACTTAAACAGAGAACACCAGATCTTTTATAGGTGCCCAAGGTAGCAAAATGTGGGCGTGGCTAAAATGTAAGCTGTTTCTTGAGGAGGATAGATGTGCTAACTTGCACTTTTAAAGTGCTAGTTATGCAATTAAGCTCGCACATTTTCTCTGTTCTGCACTGTTTTCCCAATTTCGCACTTTTCCTTTTCAATGTGAGCCCTCTGTACAACGCAGCGAAATGCTTCGCACATTTTGATGACATGTTAACATGCTTCGCACATTTTGATGTATCTGCGAAAATATGACACGTATCAACGATGAATGGACGGTTTTTTCAAATATTGGTTCATATATTATTTGAAAACCATTATAATTTTGCGGTTTCTATGTATCTCAGACCTATAAAAAGATAGTAATAGTCTAGTAACATTAGCCAGCCTGTAAAAATAGTTTTACCGTGTTTTTACTGCCTACTAAGAACATTTTATAAATAAAGCTTACTACGACGTTTTGCTGATCTATGTGATGTTGTGGAGGAATCATGTGAAGAATTCAAAATTTCTAATTCTATGTATTTTTAGCTTTATGTATATTTTTTAAGATTTTATCATCAAGAAATTAAGATACATACGTTCAAAAGAATAGTTAAATTATTCGTTTACATTCGAAGACAACTTATCTCCTTCTTTTATCGGTTTTTCATAGATGCTTCAAAATGTCTGAAGTATATCTAATTAACAGATCACACATGTAAAAAAAAGACGGTCTGAATTTGGAGAAACAGTAATAGAGAAAATGTGTCAGGTTAATTGAGCGGGTGACGACATGAGTTCTGTTGCTATTTTCCCCAGTTAGCACATTATCAACCGTAACATACAGCTTGAATTTTTAGGGAAAAGTAATAATTTGTTATATTCTCAGTGAATTTTATAGCAGTTTGATAGGGTTTGGGGCGAACGCTGCCATGTGTTTGTCTTTCTTCGCCTCACGGCTGCGCGATGGATGCCCCCGATTTGTTCCAAGTCCGTCCGACGATCGCTCAAAGGAGATATCAAAAAATAAAAACAAATTGAATACATTACGATTTTGCGTATGGTGTATGAATGTGCCGACAAAATGAAAATGATTTCATGTATATTATAATTGAAAATTTAAAAATTCTAGTTGATTTTATGAGTTTTATATTTTTTGTTATTTCCATATTAAAATACGATTTCAGCTCAATCATTTTAAATTTTAATGTTTTTTAAATGCCTGATTTTTTTCTATTTCTTTCAATTTGCACTATTTTAATCGGAACTCTTGCGAAATAATGTACTTCGCATTAGAGCACGAGTGCTCCACTGCACATTATCTCCTCTCCTCTACTGTCGCGCATACACTCATTGTAAACGCGCATTACTCACTTTCAGGGTTAACCCGTATGGTAAATCGGCGTCCCCGCGACGATTCCGTCAATACTAGCTGTGTCATCGCTTCTATTATAGGTTTGTGAGAACTTTATTTCAACTTATCAAATGCAGAAAAAAACTGTGCCGCTTTATTATGAAATTAGTTGGCAAAGAGTGTGCGCGTCGAGAGATGATTAATAGCGCCGTTCAAAACGAATAAAATAAACAATAAAAAATTTTGCGGGCCCGGGCAGGCCATTCTTGTGTCAAACCGACGGCTCCGTCGTGTTCAATTTGTGTATTGTTTATCTATTATTGATTCTGCGGGTTTTGACAATCGTGACAAGCTCATGTGTCATCGCGCGATCGCGGATTTTATTTCTAGGATGCATCTGAGCCCGCAGTTGCAAATCCTTTTGTTGCATAAAATTTTTCCCTAATAATTTTTTTTAATCTTTCAATTTTCATTCAAGATTTATATTGATATAAATTATTTTATATTTTCTTCAAAATTTCACTGAACAATGCAACAATAGTGCGAATTTTGAATACAGTCGTAGGCGTATGCAAATTCATTGAAAGAACAGCAGCTGACGTGTCGACCATTTTCGCGGGAATCTAAAAATTTATAGCATTCGCGAACGTGCAATATCATACAATCGCTGGTTTTTGTCGCATTTGACACTAGAATAAATATTTTCGTTTTAACTTTAACAATACTATTTCTTATAGCTAGATGTGCGTAGATATGCATGCAGTTTCACTTTCTGATACAGGCGAGAGACTTGGCAGGCAAAAAAGGATAAGAGTGGATTGGTCACAGTGTAGAAATTTTTGTTCGCACGTACTCAGAACCTGTTGTTTCTTGTGTCGCTCGAATCGGTCGGTCTTCTCCGCGTCGACGCCGCGCGCGCGCGCACTAGTCGTCTCTCGTTCGCGCACTCGCTCATTTTTCCCTCCGCTATAAACTTCATTTCTTCCACGTTTTCTTTAGTAATACTAGAGAATAACGCAAGTGTGAAGCTCTTCTCATTGATCTGTATATGAGATAATAAAAGATGGATGTGGCTATCCAATTATTTTTGTTCACCACTCTTTGCCTTTTCTCATTTTTTTTATCGTCTCGTTCGCAGTCATTCGCTCATATTTTTGCTTCATTTCAGCGGTTTGCATGCTCTTTCTGCTGGTGGTATACATTGTAATTGCCGCATCGCCGGCCAACTCCGAGTCTCTCTATGATAAAAATGATCCGATATTGGAGTTAGATATCGACACATTCAAGCCAGCAGTTTATGGAACGGTTCGTTATTTATTCTTGTTGATATCGAGGGAAACATGGAATCGTGACAAAGAGGAACAGTAATGCAAACAAATACTTGACTAGTGAATAAACTACCGAGAAAAAAAATGTCCGATAACCAATATCATTGAAATTTATTTTAGTTTCCTTGTTTGTTCAATGTTTATTGAATTTTAAGCCTAAATCATTGGGTTTGTTTTTTTTTAGAAGAAGGCTCACTTTGTCGAATTCTACTCATCCTGGTGTGGCGCTTGCATTGGATATGCTCCAACATTTAAAAAATTTGCAAAGTAAAATTCTAATTAAAATTTTAATTATAATTCCATAATTTGAAGGCAGCTCGAGAAATGGGCTCCATTGGTGCAAGTTTCGGTTGTGAATTGCGCGGAAGACAAAAATATGCCGCTTTGCCGGGAGCATTCCGTTAGCTCATACCCAACATTGAAGGTTTTTCTTAGCTTTTCTTAAGATCCATTATTCAAATTACTTTCTAGTATTTCAAATACCTCTCAGCGACTCACGAGGATGGAATGAGATACAGCGGAGACAAGTATGATGTCGACAAAATGGAGCATGATATTGCGGGACTTGTTCAAGCTGATGCTCAGAGACAGCAGCCGGAAAATTGGCCAAGCTTCTTACCAGTTTCAGAGTAGAATCAAAAACTGATCCCTATATGGTGAATCGTCGCTTTTCAGATCTTCAACCCTCCAAGATATTTTTAAATCCATTGGAAATACCCCATTCTTGGCTTTAGTGGCTCAGGAAAATCCAGCGGTTATGGCGTGGGCGGTAATTATTTACATATTTATTCTTGATTCATGGCTTTTTTTTAGAATATAATTAACTATTATAATAATCCTGCTCTTCGCGTTGCTCACATTCCAGCAAATCATCCAATTGCATCACAATACTTTTCCGATGGAAAATCTCATGCTCTTCTCTTCAGCAAAGACAATCTTCAACCACTTTTGAAGATTGAAAACATTCAGAAATGGTACGATGTCCAAGAGAAAATTGAAGAAGTCATTGGGGACAAGATTTCGAACTCGGCAACTGCTAGCCCACCAAATGCTGCGGTACCTTTAATTACCACATTCAAAGCTTATAATTTTTTATCTCTTTTTTTAAAGCCGGTAATTGCTTCTCCAGCAGCCGCAGCCAAGCATAATCAATTCGAAGTGCAGCTCGTTGACTTGAAGAGCGCTATGAGCTATATGCTTTACAAGGAGATTCCAAGACGTCAGGAAATTAGAGATGAACCCCTTGAGGCGTTAAAACAATGGATGCACACGTTGAAAAAGGTATAGTATAATAAACACATTATGCAGGGATTAGGAAACAATAATAGCAAGAACTCAAAAAGAACATTTAATGAAAATTTTTAAAAAAATCTATGAGTATGATGTATTTAGATTATTACACTTAACGCTGTAACCCCATTAAATATGCATTAAACAAAGTGTTTAATTGAAAAAAGGCTATCTCAGTATGGTAGATTTCAATCTAATCTCTGCTTGCTGAATAAAAAAAACCCTCTGCAAATATTACATTGTCATTTTCATGAAATGTTGTGAAGATTGAAATAGAAGTTTGCTAATTTGCAGTATGCGCCAGGAACTACACCAATGCGACGACTTTTCTACCGACTTGACGAATATATCCAATTGCAATCCGTTGTTACTGCTGATGATTGGTTAGCCAAAGTTGATGAGATTCAGGTATTTAATTTTGTCTCTTTGGTTATTGTTATTGTTGCATATATAAATCGCACTGATATTGATCTGGTTTGGGAGTTTCAAACAAACTTCCTCTACCACCCAAACTTGTTTTAACAACTTTTTTTTATTTCCCCCAGTCCCACTCCCTTAAACAATTTATTATCTCCGCAATGAATTGTCAAGATTTTAGCAATCGCTGGGAAACCCAATACCAAAGGAGATTAAATGGATGGCATGTTCGGGATCGAAACCAAATCTTCGCGGATACACTTGCGGATTGTGGACGCTTGCCCACACTGTCACTGTCGAGGCGTATAAACAGGAAATCGACAGTATGCGAAGCGAAACCAAATTTCGGATTTCATTGACTAATTGCAGACAACAATTTCAAGCCGGTCACTGATGTTTTGGAACCGTTCCGAGCTTTTATTTACCATTTCCTTAGCTGTTCGGAGTGCGCGAAAAACTTCACAAAAGAGGCTGAGAAGAATCAATTGCATCTCGTCACTAGAGCAGGTTTGCATATACAGCTAAAATCAAAACTGAAAATTTTGCGCTAAAGAAGATGTCTATGCTTGGCTTTGGCGAGTGCATAACTTTGTCAATGCTCGGCTTTCCGGATCACCAACTGACGATCCGGCGTATCCTAAGCAGCAGTTCCCTCCAAAGGTATAAATCCATAATTTCACCGTATTGAGTTAGAAATACTGCTTTAGTCATTATGCCCCGATTGCTACGACGCCAGTGGAAAAATTGACGAACAAAAAGCTCTTCCATTTGTTTTTAAATATTACTCTGATATTAAATCTGATCCAGCGGAGGTACATATTTTTCAACTATTATATTAAAATGTTTTTTTTTTCAGTCAGCTCCTGGATATAAGGTTGTTGAATACAAGGACGGCAAGATACTATCTGCTGGACAAAGACACTTGAATCCGAAATTCCAAGTTCATGCCAACAAGGTTGACAAGCTTGAAGCGAACGACGAGTTTAAAAAATCGTTGGATGGAAGTCCACATAGAGAATGGAAGAATATTGATGGTTATGGTGAGTTGGTTTGATTTAAAAAATTTCAAGAATCTAGAACTAGTGTTTTTAAGCATTAGCGATAATTGGGGGGTGGGTGTGGCAGAGTTTGGAATTATTCACAATGGCTTTAGCCAAAAATCGAGCGGAAAAAAAATCTATATTCCAAAAATAGCACTTTTTTTTAGATCGAGCCGAGCCATCCCGTTCACACTTCTACCTCCTTTGGCTCTCAATTATTGGCTGCATTCTCATCTTCGTTTATTGCAAATACCGGCGGAATAGATCAAAGTTTTGGAAAACTTTTTATTATCAGAATGATTTTAAACTGTGATTCGATCAACCTAGTTTGTGTGTGTGTGTGTGTGAGTGAGGCGGGATATCCCATGGCAGCATAGCGTCATCAACGTAACGAAACTGTGATTTATATTTTCGCTTTCGAATAGTTTTTAAATCTTTTTTTGTGTGTGTGTGTCCGTGGCGTGAATGGGTCAGAGTGACCAATGGTCGATTTACCGGTTTTAGATGGCTGTAGTAGGCAACTTTTCAATTGTAATATATTTTATTTATTGATACTTACTCATTAAATAATACATATCCACCAAAAAGACATGTCCGATAGCATGATCATGTATGTTTTGTCTTCAATTTGCGATACGTGTGCTTTTGCTTATTTGTGTTGTCCGCGTCGGTCTTGTTTACGTCAAAGTTTTCATTGAAATAATAAATTATTGAATATTCATAACGAAGTGATGTTCGCTTGCTTGGAAATTGAATTTGTCTTTGATCTTTTTTCGGATTGATTGGGAAGAGAATCACAGTGGAGAATTATTCTTTTAATTCTTATTTTTCGGAATGCTGAGAAGAATTGGTTGTGTTTTCAGTTTCCCTTGGACTTCCTTACGGGTAAAGCGGAATATCGTGTGACGGGGCCGCGAATGAAAGCGATTTGATCTCAATCAGATGTTTCAACAATTTTAAATATTGTATTGTTTATTTATTTTTTATTCAGTTCTTATTTTTGAGGCATACTTGAGAAGGCATTATTTGGTGGATAAATGCATTTATTGTTCCATATAGTTCAACACCAAACCCCAGGATTAATGAAGTGATTGATTATGACAGCCATTGTCCCCAAGACGAAGTTTCGAGATTGAAATGGAATTTTGCTATGTATCGAGACTTCATCTCTAGAACGTTCAGAGATTAGTATACAATAATCGTATTTTTGTACAATTTCTAGCTGCATCGAAATTAATGGCGAATATAGGTTTCACGCGAGCGGTACGCTGGCATGTCGGACTTGCGAGATGCGTGGTAAGCGGCGAGCAAGATCTCGTCAGCGGTTCTCTCGCGTGGTGGTACAGGCGACGATTGTTCAGAGCTGAAAATTACAAAACATTGTTTCAATACGATCTAGAGCGTCAATCCTACCCGCTGCTAGTCGCGTAATCGCTTCCCATCGACCTCGGGCTCAATTCATATTGGCGTTTGACATGGTACGCACCATAACCAGTCGTTCTATATGGCACATTGTCGCCTTTCCCAGGTTTAGTCATAACCTTGAGCTCACTGTTGTGATTTCCGCCTAAACCAAACACATTTCGACCATTCTTTTCATTCTAATTTTGTTTGCACGCGTCTTAAATTTAAAAAAAAAAGAATGCGAAAAAAAGTGGACTGTTTGCTCTACTACTAATGTTCGGTGTTACTATTTATCGTAGTAGTGGCGCCCCCCAAAAATTGAGGTAGTGCGCATGTTTGCTTTTTGCAGAACTCACTATTCTTCAAGAATGAAGGATCGTATTCCGAATCATATTTGCGGCTGTTTCTTGATGCTGGACGTGGCGACAACGCCGGAGTACGATGCGGAATGTTTTGCGGTTCATCACCTGGAATTTGGCAAATTTTCATTGGAAAAGAAACGAAAAGAATTTCATGCAAATCTACAAATCTTCATTTCACTTCTACGAAACTGTACAAAGGGCAAGGAAATATTTTAATAGTCATGGCCAATGTAGTAATCAGGCTCACCAGTTGGCGATGGGCTGTGCGAGACGTATCCGGCATCTCCCCAACGGGTTCCATAGCGAGTGATCGAGTCTAGAAATCAAACATTGGGCACACTTCCAAATGGCTCGGGTTACCTTTTCTATGACGTTCGTACTTGGCGTATTTGTCGTAGACTGTCTGCGATGGGGTGTCTGGACGGAGCGGGGAAGCGCTTCTCGAGCGGTCTGGAATCGACAACTTCCTCTTTTGGTGAGCTGGTCCGTAGCCGGCCGAGCGATGCGGAACCACTTCTCTTGGGCTTGGCGGCACTTCATCTTCGACGAGGACTGGTGGCTGGAGCACGAATTTCTTTGGCACTTTCTTCTCATCCTTTGGCACCTCCACGGTGGATTTCGTCCAGCCAACCATTCCAATCGCGTTAATCGGCTCTTCTTGAATATCGCGGATGGGCACTTGGACATCATTAAGCTTTTGCAAATGGTTGAACGTTGAGGAAATGAATGGAATACTCTTTCCACTGAGAATCCAGCGACCTTCAATGTCCAAATGACGGAGGCGGTTCGGGCCGCGTCCTTGAATATGCGAATCCATGCTGAAGTACTTGATGTCGTCGGTATTCAGACCAAAATCCGACATGAACAAATTGGGAATGGTACTTTGGGTTGGTGCCATGATGAGTTGAATCGAAACTGAGGGGAATCGAAGAAATGTGCTGTTGTTGGCCGCCGTGTCCGACGCTTTTATACGTGGAACATTCAATCAGGCAACGCCCCATACTCGCCTAGTGTACAGACAACAGTAACCATGAACTTCGCGCTAAGCTCATCACAAATAGACGGCGCTCACCGTTGCGCGACCTTGACGTGGGCGCCATGTTATTTTTTGCGCAGTGTTCAGGCGCGAGCAAGAGAATATTTTCAGTCGAACTAACTTAAGCCTTTCACGAGGAACAAAAAAGAAACAACAAATTGTGTGCATACGTGCGAGTTCACCATACACAAATATCAATCAAACTACTTTTGAAAATTCCATTCAAAATTTATTAAATATTTTATTTAATCCTATGAGTAGAATAATTAATTAACCATGCATTGCTTAATATGAAGCAGTCGTACATATATTCAAGTGTTCAATACATAAAAATATTAATTATGCTATTTTCTGAATATCATGTTGGCATAGCTACAAGTTTTATAGCTATGAAAAAAGACATTTAGAATATTCTATTATATGAACAATTGATTTGCTATATTCACATTCACTTTTTGTTAAAAAAAACATTAAAATCTTCAGTTGAGACCTATAGTTCTAAAAAAAGCAGATTCTTTAAAACTTTCAAGGTAAACTGATTAAGAGACCAAATATCAATTAATATATGTTAATATTTCTAATAATTTGCCAATGATTGAACTTTGAGCCACTGCTTTTTTTTAAATATATCTGATCGTTAGAACAATGCTGTTTTCAAGCGTATCTAAAATATTGGTGTTATTCTGAATGATTCATTTTCCAGTTTCCATCCTCTCATTTTAAATCTTCTTATATCAATAAATTTTTCATTTAGCCATCATCTTCTCTCTCGCAGCCTTTTCTAAACATAACCCTTGCTTCAAGGAACACCACACATGTGTTCCAACACTTGGCAAGATTATATCCCAAAGTTCAGAAAACATTTTTTGTCGGAAATCGAGAAATACACTGCTGTCATGCAACATCCACATTTCTCAATATTTCTCTCATCCCCCTTTTTTCTCTTCTTCTTTTTATTATTTAGAGTCGATAATTAAAATCTTTACAACATGTAGTCATCAGCGATAACAACACATGTCCCCCAAGGAATTTCATGAGTAACAAAAAATATATATTTCAAAATTCCCAACAAATTTGCCTTTTTTATTATCTATTATATAATTCGCTGGGAAACAACACTCAAAAGCAGAACCGATCTCAAAATGGAATTAAAAAACGCTGAAGTGCATTTTCAATCTTTGAGCTGCTGTATGTTTCAGTCAAAAGAGTTCTTAAACTGTTTGCACGTGTCTTAACTTTGTTGTTTGACTCATTTCATGAACGATCAGCAGGAAGAGAAAATTTTTTTGGGGTAGAAAAATGGGCACGTTTCCAAACCATGTTTGCTCAAAGTTTTTTGATTACTACGGTCTTAGGAAATGCGTTTTTCTGTTTGTTTTCCTTTGAAATTACAAATCTGTTTCTCTCGCAATGGGTAGCGAAAAATTGATGGCGAGCAGTGGGGATGAAGTTATTAACATTTGAAAAATACACCATATGCGAGCCATATGCCCGACATTATTCATAATACACTTCAATAAGTTGTATTATGGACATTTCATAATACGCGCACTCATATCGCGAATAAACTGAGTCGTTAAATATTCAGTCAAGCAAGTTTATACTCCCCCTCACTAGAGCCTGTTTTTATATTACTCAATTTCAAATGTTTTTCAAAATTCCTTTTCAAATTGATCACCAATTCTTTTTCTATTTTTTAATTCATTTCGTGCTCGAGAAAAATGTGTATGGCCTAATAATCTCGCAGTGTTTTCATCTCTTCTATTGTTTGCATTTTTTGAGCGTGCCGAGATTTCAAACCCAGAAAATTAAATCAAAGAAGGAAAAACTGATTAGAAAATTAGATTCTTCACTGCTGCCCCAAAATGTCTGACGATTAGTCTTGGCCGTGATAATAGAAATCACAGAATTCAATGTTTTAGAAACAATTTTATTAGTTCCATTTTGATGTTAGACAAGTTTAACTTTTAAAACATTTCAAAAATTAAATAATCAACACAACCAAAATTCTTTGCTGCAAACTTGTTAAAATATTTGCGAGGCGAAAAAATGCGAAACATCTAAATATTTGGCAATGGCATTGCTAACATTTTTACTAATCTCCGATGAGCAATAATTTTCAAACTATATTTTCATTAAAAGTGGTCGAAAAAAAAGATTGGCTTTTTAATGTTCTCGAAAGACAAATTGACATTTTATTGTGTTATTTGGCACTTGTTAATATCAAAAATATTTTTTTAATTGTAATCATTCCCCAATTGTAATTATTATGTTTGGTAGAAAATTCTAAAATGATTCTAAAATTTTCTACCAAGGAACCCAAGGCATAAATTAATATGCAATCAAACCAAAAATGTATCTTAACGCGATTTTGTAAATGTATAAAAGTATTGTATGTTACAATTATAATTGCTTTGGCGTTTCACATTTTTTAAATTACCATCGAATTCATTTCTACCTGTTCATACCTATTTTCTATTCACGCATTAAATACACCGAAAGTTAACCAACAAAAAGATCGTTTCTAACATTCATTATCAATCAATTTCATTTTCTTCAGTCTTTTAGACGTTACTGGCATATTTTCTAAGTTCAACTGAACAAAATTTGCGTTTAAAAATCTGGAAAATTAGAACTCTTCAAAAGTTTCTAAGGTGTTTGGCTTTGTATGTATAGCAAGCAATTTCCATTTGATTCAATCCTAACTCTCGGCATTTGTGAATAAACATTAATCACAAAGTGTTTTTTTGACAACAAGACCGCGGCGGTTTGTTTACAGGCCAAATAGTACAAATCGTATCAGTCGGAACCAAGGTCACACCAGAAACTCAAAGGCGTTTCCCTGAATTTTGTTTACTACGTGTTATAAGTGAAAATTGAAGCAGGTATGATATCTCTCAATCAGCAACAACTGTTATTGTTTTCTACAGCGCACACATTCGATTTTTCTTTCTCAAAGATTAACAGAAGAAAATAACTAGGTTGAATGTTGATTTTTTTTTCTTTTCTCTACTCATAGAGTTCTCATTAATGCTTAATCAGCAAACTTCAGGCTTTTACATGCCTTAGAAATTTCTTGGTCATTTTTCTTAGTTTTTGAGAGAAGCAAATCCGTCAAAAAAAATCAATGAGAGGGGGAAGGGTTTGAAATTTTTACACATTACTCTTCATTTCGTCCATTATATGTAGGCGAAACCAAAAAGATGTGGTGTTTAGATATTTCGTTCACTTCATTGCATCCTTCTAGAATGTTGCAATTTCCTCCTTCCACATTTCTCCTCTCCCCAGCCACCCTAATTGGGCAATAGTTGACTTTTTCAACAGGTTGGACCTGTCGTCAATGTTTGTTGAAAACAGAGAGGTATATCGACGAGGGACGATGAATGACTAAGGCACACACCCACAACATCTCTCATTGTCTCGCTTACCTGTCAATTGTACTGTGCGAGATTTTCCACTTCCCCCCTCTCTCAAAAAAAAAAGTTATTTTTTAACCAACAAAAAAGAAATATTGTTTTATTTGTTCCCTTACTTTTAGAAATTTTAAATTGTAATAACAATGTGATTGTCATTTCATAGTAAGAAACGTAACAATTTTGTGCCAATGCAAACAAAAATAACATGCCGCAATTCCAACAATTCACTGATCGGTAGACTTCACTCGTCGTGGAGGTGCGTTACAAAACGTTCCACTTTACACATATCGCTCCCCGCTACCTCGAAAAACGTTCAATGTGCCTGACAAGTGCGGTCTGAAATGATGGGATCCTTTGTGACCTACGTGGTTTTTGGAAACCCATTTTATCATATCTTTAAATCCTTTTTTTTCGTTTCCATTTTGGTCTGGTAAAGATGTCCCGAGGCCCTTCATCTTCGAATGTCTCGTATATTTGTTATACATATGCGAGGTTTACGACATAGTTCGGTCGACCTCTCACTCTCTTCCCCCCTATGCCCGACCTTCTTCTTCTTCTTCATCTTCATTCCGTCTCGTCGCCTTCGACGCCTCCCACAAACAATAACAACAATTCCATCAGTATTGTTATGATGCGTTTTGTTGGTCAGGCGCACGTCACAACCGTTTTATAACAAAAGACGCCGCATCTTATTGCCTTTTTGCCTTTTTCTTCTTGACGACTGTAAAGAAAGTGTTCAAAATTTCAGCGAGCAACAATGGCTATTGAGATTCAACAAATCATTGAGATCATTCTCTGCATCTTCCTTCCGGTATGACATTTATTCGAATCATCATAGGATATTTCGAATACTTTCCAGCCTTTGGCCATCTTCATTCACGGATCCGACTGCAACATTCACGTTGCCGTCAACATTATTCTCTGCTTCTTCATCTGGCTTCCAGCTATCATCCACGCCATCTGGTACTGCTTCTTCAAGGTCTAAGCCATCAAATTTGCTCCGCCGACGTTCACCAAATAACTGATGCCTTACCCATTTTGATATTCAGCATTTTATTCTCCACGTTTAAATTTTATCTTGTATTGTCTTTTTAATTTACACAAATATTTTTATATGAGTTTATTTTGAATAAAGGTGGATCGATAATGTGAGAGGTAAACAATCGCACTCAATGTATTGTTTTGTTTGACTAGCGGGCCGTAAAATACAGGACAATGTTCAATGGAACAAAAAAGAATTGATTCGATTTTTTTGTCTTTAGTGTTTTCAAATATTTACTGAAGGTGAGCATATTCTAGAATCTACTTTTATGAATAATATATTTTTATAACCATTCGAGGCCTATGCATGTATAATAATTATGCAAATCAATTTCATTCATTCAACCAGTTTCCACCTGAAAGTGGGCATGAATGTGCGCCAATTATATCAAGCCCCATTCAATGTGATTTGTTTCTGTTTGTCGCCGGCCTGTTGGTGACACATACGCTCATTTCAGTTGAAATTCGTTCAAAAACGACAGGGGAAAATAGTGAGTGCAAACAACACTTTTAGTGACTCATGTGACCAAAAATATAGATTTCAATGTTCTTTGAAGAGGAACTCTATATAATTAATTTTGACTTTGTCAGGTACACGAATTTTGTGAAGGTCATCTTTAATTTAAATACATATAGTTTTAGCAATTAATAGATATGTTATAACTTGTTATTTTTTCCAATAGTGATATAGTTACTTTCCCCAGACCATGACATCACACATAATTCACCATTCATTTATTACCTAAATTAATAAATAATATTTAATATGTTATTACTATATACACCATTGTTTCCCATTTGCCTTGACTAATACGAATCATCATCTTTCATAGGTTTCGAAAGAACTGAAGACCAGCTCTTTTCCTTCTGCAATTTGTAAATGTCATATCGATATTGATCTAAACGTGTACGGTATTCTGAACGTCGTCAGTTGAATTATTCGCTTCAACAGCGTCATTCATCGGGTCAGTGTAGCCCTCATTGTCATCATCTTCATGTTGACCTCCACTACCGTTTCCTCCGTTTCCACTATTACCACTCGTCGCGATTTTTCTGAACTTCGCCGCCATGTTTTTGTACCTGAACAGCAAATGAAGTTTTGATGCGACATTGATTTGTTGGACACCGACTTGAGGCAGCAGAGGTTCTGCGAACATTGAACATAGCCTGGCTGGCATTGACAGGGAACACCGCAAGCGACGACAACTTCAGCGTCTGAACATTTCTGGGTTTCCGGTATTTTTTTTTCTTGGTCACGCAAGAAGGTGATTTTAAACCGGAAAATTGACATTTTAGAAGAAAAAAAAGTCGAAAGATAGAATTTATCGAAAGAAAATTCTATAGAAAAGGTCATCCCCGAAAATTGGAGTTCATGCGATTGCAAGATTGGCAGTTGGAAGAAGAAGGCGAAGAAGGAGAATAAAGTTGAGAAGGGAAATTAGTTGAGTAGTCATTGGTAGCATGTTTGTGTTCTAGAAATTCAACAATCAAATCGCAATAACGCATCAAATTCACGCGATTTTCACGTACGTTGTTGAACACATGTAGGTTGGCAAGACGGCATACAAGGTGTTGCGCACTGAATGGGTCCCCGGGCATATGCCTGAACGCATGTTGGGCTGCAGGCAGGCATGCAGCTCTGCGCACAGGATAGCTTAAGAATTCATTTAATTATGAATTTATTGAATTATTTTTGTTTTACCCTGGCCAGACAACCGCTTTCACACATTGGCATACACTGGGAGGCACATGGCTGGGGGGCGAGCTGGACAGCGTACTGCTGAATGCAGTTAATCTCGCAGCTTGGATAGCACTGCTGCGGACACATCGCTTGTACACATTCCGATGTGCATGAAGGCATACAGGCTGGAAGACAGGTCTGCACTGGTCTGGTTACAGTAACCTGGGAATAATTGCTTCCTTGACTAATATTGATTTCAAGTTTCCCAACCTGTGAAACACAGGCATTCGTGCACATTGGTCTGCATTGCTGCGGACAGATCATGTACTGTTGAATACATCCTGGCGAGCAGCTTGGCATACAAGCTGTGTCACATCTTGGCGATGGAACCTGAAAATACCGTAATCCGTCCGTACTGAAAAAACAAACATCGATATCATAAAAAAAGCATAAACGGAACAGTATGTGGCCGTTTAACACCTATCTTTTACGATTCTGTGTGCGAAAAACTTTAGCGGGTGAATTGATGTTGTGGGGTGAAAAAAGGAATTTTAAAAAACCCACTGGAACTGGTACTGGGACTTGAACTTGTTGAATACAAGATGGAAGGCATCTCGGCATGCAGGTTGGGATACAGTTGGCCTGTCTGAAAATTTCAAATCAATGCCTGGAAAAGATATGTAGCTGTTAAATACGTGCAGATCGACGGGCAGTTATTTGTGCAGGTACTGCAAGTAACAGCTTGAACACAGGACGGAGTGCAGGATGGCATGCATGCAGAAACACAAGTCTCTTGTTTCACTGTAACCTGAAACATTGAAGAAAATTACGATTTAGGAGTTGTTCAAGCTACTTCAAATTCTTGAATGCAGGATGGAAGGCAGCTAGGCATGCAGGATGGAGCACATGTGGGACGCGACACTTGAATGGACTGAATGCATTGAGGGGTGCATACTGGTTGGCATTGTTGTGGGCAATCCGGAAATACGCTCTGAAACAAAAATTAAAAATCTAATAAAATGTTTTAATTTTGATAGAAACCTGAATGCAAGATTGTGAGCAGCTGGGCATGCATTGAGGGGAACACGCAACGTTGCCCTATAATTTGTGATTTTTTGTTTCAATTATCTAAATTTTTTCTTACAGGAACTGCATTAATGCAAGCCGGAAGGCATAGTGGCATACATTGGCTGGAACACGATGGTCCCTATAGAAACCAAAAATTATCTCATGAACGTGATATTCAATTTTAATTGCGGGGAAAATAGTGTGCTCAGATTTTTGATATATTTCTCACCGAATTTACCAGATTTATGCATGCGCTGTCACATTTCGGCATGCATTGATCCACACATGTGGTCTGAAATTGTGCAAGTGATGAGTTTGTGAAATGTATTTCTACGATTCTACCTTGGCCATTACACAAGCCTGTGTGCACATTGGCTGACATTGCTCTGGACAAGAGACGGACTAGAAATTTGAATAAAGGAATTGTGATGTGTAATGGGATGAAGAAATGATGGTACAACTAGTAGTCAAAATGAATCTTACGGGAAATCCAGCACAGTTTCCACATCCGCAATTGCCCATTGGACACATCGCACAGCATTGCCTCTTGGACCTTGGCCTGGTCATCAATGAACCATTAACATTTATCATTTTGATGTTGGAATCTAATGCCGTTATATTGCTCTAAATCCAAATATTGCAAAAATTGTAAGGAATTTAAATGAGTACCTTAAAAGCAATGCATGATTGACTGAAATAAATAACAAAAAATAAAGACGGATAGTGTCGCATTGCTCAGACAGATCGGAATGCCGTTTGAGATATCCGCAAGGGTGAGGTGTGTTAATAAAAGCTGTCCGCCTCTAACGCGCGGAAAGCGATATGTACCCATATATTTATAGAGATTGACACTTCTATTGTCCGATCGCCACTCACACTTTTTTTGTGAACTCCTCCATTAAACAGCATTGCTTTCTAGATGGCAAACACACACACACACACACTTGATGGATCAGACTCACCCGGGACGTCCGATTCCGGAAATTTCAATCATTATGCGCGAATTTTTCAAGAGCCACAGCCGAGTTACAATGATGGAAACAAATAAATAGATTGCGTATGACAGTCGAGTTGTTCATAGATCAAATACTTTATTAAGGATGCACTTTGCATAGCTTCAATTAGCAAATATTAATCTCTGACCACCATTGGGATCTGTTTTCGATACACTGCTGGTGCGTTTCTTCGGAGAATTGTTTCTCGCTTCTTTCTACCATAGTAACCCCCGAAACCTCCGCAAACGTTTCCTCCACCTCCACATGAAGAGCCGTAACAGCCGCCGGAGACGTATCCGCCTCCACCACCGCATCCGCTAAAATGAAGCGCTTTCAATTTTTCCAGAAGTATTTGATTTGTTTATCATACCTTCTAATGCAAACTGACATGCAAACCGGCATGCAACAGCTGCAGCAATTTGTCGAAACCGGTACCGGAACTGGCTGAAATTGGAATATTGAAAAGAAGAAATTGCATTATGTTACCACAGGCATCGGCATCGGCATTGGCACTGGTTGTGGCACTGGAACCGGAGCCGGAACTGGTACTGGCATTGGTGGAGGGATTGGTATAGGCATGGGCATAGGCATTGGCATGTTACAACACACCATAGTGGTTACGCAGCATCCGCCGAAGCCACCCCATTGTCTTTTTGCGCGAATATGTGGACTTCGCACTGGCACTACAGCAATAGCTGATGTGATCTGAATTTTTCTATAATTTTTTTATGCTCCTATTTAAAATTGTGAACTCCCTATTCTTTCCACATTAATAACTCTGCTAAATTTTGAACTTGTCAATATTTATTAAAGAGGTTGGCGCAAAAATTATTAAATATTAGATATGCTATATTTGATCTTTATATTTACCCTAGATATATTTATTTATTAAAATAATATTTTACGAGCCCACACCTATTAAATCGTATATAATGAAAAGAAATTTGGAAAATAAAATGTTTGCCGAATATATGCATAAATTTCTCAAACAGAATAATAAATGAAGTTAGAGAAACTGGAGAAAATTTAAACTATTCACTGATTGATTAAGTCCCTCAAATAGAATTTTGAAAAGCAATTCTTTGCTCCTGGTCAACCAAACAGTTCTAGTTGAGCATGCTGCCATCCACTTGACAACACGATCAACTGTCTAGTTGTTCGAGCACCAACAAACAATAATCTTCGAGCATTGCAAAATAAGAAGGTATAATCAATCACCTGATCTGTAGAATTCAAATGGTCCGCATGGGCTAACAAAACAAGTGAACACCAAATATACAAATGAATTGTTGAGAACTGAGCGCACATCTTTCAAGAACATTGCAGTTCCATTGGCGCTTTATAGACTCATCGAAGGCTATCCAGGTCATCTCACGATGTTTACATTTGTTTCTGTAACCGGATTCGATTCATACTCAGTTAATCATCAATGTTCATCCATTTGTTTTGTATGTAAATAATGCACACTAAAGGCCAATCTTGCGCCGGACATTTTTATTAATTGGCAGGGCGATCGAACAACAAAAAAATGTCTTCTCATTGTTTGGGTTATTGTTGATCATTTCGATTTGACACATTTCTAGGCGAACAACAATTTTCATGAAAATTGTTTGCTCAGCGAGTCGTTGGACTTGATTCTTTGCTCTCGAACTGTGCAATTCGTTGTGGGAAGATTTGTTACACCATCTCGATTGTTTTATGCATTGGTAGGTCTCAAAGAGAATTCATCATCGTGTATTCCACGACTATTATTAGCAGCATACCAGTTTGTATGAGTCACGAAGTATTGTTCAGAACGTGCAAATAGTTCAATGCTTCAGATCCAGATACATACTTGCGTGAAATTTAATATTTGTGGTGGAGGTGAGGAGCGAGATGCAATTGAAAACTGGATGTACTGTATTCATGCCCAAATGCATTCAAATGTTTTACTAGTTGATCCCATTTGATCTTTGCAGCGTTCTTCTAGACAATTTAACATTTCTCATGTCATTAAGATTTGATGCAAGATTATATAAGCTGCTGTTTGAAATTATTTGCCTAAAAAGCGGATTAGTAACACGAACACGCAAGAAAAATACAAAAACAAAATAAAATAACGATTTAGAGCTTCAGAAATCTGTTACGAACCTTTAAGTGAGATTTTTTTTTCATTACGTATAAAATACAGAAAATATATATAAATACAAAAATAGTGATATCGACGCAGACATCTTTTCGTAAAAGCAAGGTAAAATAAAATTATCCCAAATCTTATTATCTGTCACATTTTCAAAGCCATCCGACTTTGGGTAACAAATTTATACCAAATATTGTTTTTTTCAGCTCTTACATGTGTATATCCATTAGAGATCTATCGTACACCCTAGAAACTGAAAAGTGTGCTTTCTCCTCATAATTCAATATGTAATATATGAGATTCCAATCTTATAATTTTTATCTTAAGAACATAGATTTAAGGTCTCATCCAATTTGTGGCTGATTTTAAAAAATCTACTAAGGCCAATGTAAACCAAATAAGACGTTTTCTCAGGTCAGCTTCATTTTGTAAGCTTTGAATGCTATAACCACTTTTCCGCAGAAGGGCTTGCGAGAATTAAAAAAAATCTTCACACCCAAATTCCATGAATCACCAACTGGTTTAAATTTGTGGACGAAGAACTGAAAGCGTGGGTGAAAATGTTATTGTTTTAAGCGAGACAAAATAAACTATTTTACGCATATATATATACAAAAAGATTCCACCTTGTTAAATATTTTGAAACGAATATATTTATAAACACTTCAGAAATTTATTGCAAATGAGCTAGACATTTAATTCATTCAGCAATGATGTAAAAGAAAACCGCAGGCCGCACCCTAAAACAAATAATAATTTCCGATGTGTAGTCTTGAGTTTGAGTAAAGTCACGAACGCCTGAAACCCATTTTATCAGCGACTTCCTGGATGAGAGGATTGGAATTTGAAAAATTTCGTAATTGCCGGATACCACTCTGATATAAAAAAAATTCTCGACAAAATTTTCAAGTGAATGAAACGAACGGAACAACGCGACGTTCTCAAGGATGCTCACCAACACTGATAAAAATTCACATGTGTACCGGTCTTATGCAACAGCTGCCCTGCTTGCATTTTGAAACAACTTTAATCCGATTCCAACGCACGGCAACAGACCGGTATTTCATAAGTAATTTTTTGTGATGTGTTTGTTGGAAGGTGTTTGCAATCATCTTTAATACGAAGGATATCAATTAATCGGCATAATTAAGAATGGGGGTGCGAAAATGATTGTTGACTTTGCGGAGTTCATTGAGAGGTCGTTGGAATGTTTTGCGGTAAGTCAACAACGTGATTTTTGCGGTATTGTAGACTATCTGGAATTTTCAATAAATAGGTTGTCAAGTTCAACCAGAGAGTAAAAGCTACTAATGTTAAAAGCACCCTTGACAGAATTGGATCTGTGTAGGCGGGAGAAAAAAAAAACTGCAAACCGAAATATATTTCATTTCAGGTTTCCGTGATTTTGTGCATTGTTCAATGACAACATTGAAAGCATTCATGAAAAAACGTGTACGTAAAAAATCGGAAAGAAAAAATTGTGCCAACATTGAGAAAATTTCAAGAAAACGGAAATTGGAATGAGAATTGCAATAACTATTTTTGTGGTTTTGGAAGAAAAGCAAAGCATAGAATTCTGATTGAAACCATAAGATGTGAAGAGTCTGTTCGGGATGTCTGAATTTTAAAAATAAAAACGGAGTTTAGATTATATGAAAATCAACGAAATATTTCACAATATGTATTTGAAGAAGAAAAATAGTATCATTCTTGTAGTTCAATTTTTCTAATTTTCAAAATGGAGAAATACTATGGTAAAGTGACGAAGAGTTGCTTGCTTTGGGGCATCGATTCCCATCTGGTTATTCCGTTGCATTTCACTAGGTATTGCTGAAATCGATCAATTATTTTTGGGACCAAACATTTTCGAATATCTATATACCTCGAAATTTACGGCTGCTACATAAGTTGCATGAGTATACTCCTCAGTTATAATTCCTTTTTTGACAATTTTTGAAATTGTCTTGCATTCATCTGGATTTGCCACTGTGCAATTATCATTTTTGTCATATGAACACATATAGAAATTGTCCTTCTGCAACAATTTCTATAGGTAACCGATATCCGGTCCCAATATTTTTATATCACCTTTTCTTCAACGAAACTCTAATTTTCTATTAGTCAGCATTCTTTTAGTAAGCATCTCCCATCTTCAAAGATGTTTGGTAATTTTTAAACGATCATCAAACAGATGGGGGTGGGGGGGGTTTTGTATGCTTACAATTTCTCTCCTCGTTCTTATGTTAAAGCGGCATGTTGCCGGTCTTGACTCCTCCCGCGCGGCTTGTATAAAAACGTGCGCGTGAGTCGAAGTACGGCAGTAGTTGGCTCATTGGCTCTATTAACAAAATGTTCAGCTCGGCACCAGTTTTTCTTGCAATTCTTGCCTTGGTAACTTTAAATGAACAATTCTCATTCAATTTTGTTAGTATTCCAGGTCTCATGCGCGCCAACTGTTAATCGTGAAAAGCGTCAAGCATGCGTTTGCGCTCCAGGTTTTAATTGGGCTCTATTATTTAATTACATTTTCAAAATGTTCAGTTCAACAAGATGTTTCTTGCTGTCAACAGACCACCGTCAACGTTCAATTCCAATCTACCCAGGTTCAACAACAACAGCCAGCATGTGACTGCGTCCCGGTTCAGCAGCAACCAGCCTGTGACTGCATGCCCGTTCAACAAGCTCCAGCTTGCGTTTGCACCCCAGTTCAGCAAGATCCGTGCTGCCAGCAACAGCAACAGGTATAAAATAATAATTTTCATCGTAAACTCATATTTGTTTTTTTTTCAGCCTGCCTGTATCTGCACCGCAGTTCAGCAAGATCCATGCTGCCAGCAACAACAACAAGTAACACAGATTTATTTCGATGTGAATTTCATATCTGAACTTCTTTCAGCCAGCTTGTGTTTGCACCCCAGTTCAGCAAGATCCATGCTGCCAGCAACAGCAACAGGTAATCTTTTCGTCATTATGCATGATAAAACTATCAATTTTCAGCCAGCATGTGATTGTCAGCAGAATCCAACTTGCGTGACCTGCATCAACATTGAGATTGTTCAGCAACAACAACCGGCTTGCAACTGCGCACCAGTTCAACAGCAACCGGCCTGTGAATGCGTTCCAGTCCAGCAAGCTCCGGCATGCAACTGTGCTCCAGTTCAACAGCAACCAGCTTGCGAATGCGTCCCGGTTCAACAAGCTCCTGCCTGCGAATGCGTCCCGGTTCAACAATCTCCTCCCTGCGAATGCGTCCCAGTTCAACAAGCACCTGCCTGTAACTGCGCCCCAGTTCAACAGCAGCCAGCGTGCGATTGCGTTCCAGTTCAACAGGTCCCAGTTTGCAACTGCGCTCCAGTCCAGCAACAGCCAGCATGCGACTGTGTGCCAGTCCAGCAGGCTCCAGCTTGCGACTGCGTCCCGGCTCAGGTAAAATAACCTCGGAAAATCATTGAGAACAACACATTTTGTTTTCAGCCATCATGTGATTGCGTCCAACAGCAACAAACAGTTTACCAAATTCAAGTTCAGCAAGCTCCACAGACGAATCAATGTGTTCCAGCTTGCCAGCCAGCCTGCCAACAATCGTGTACCGCCTCCTACACCAACCAACAATCCCAATACTCGTAAAATAACTCTATATATTAGCCGCTCATAATGATTTGTTTAATTTCAGCGCCGCGACAACTTCTTGTGATGCTCAACAATGCGTGTGCCAACGTGGATACGTGAAGTGCGCTGAACAAACCTGCTGCCTTCGTTACCGCTACACCAATCGCAAAGCAAAACGATCGATTGCTTAAAAAACGACTTCACGAAAAACAAATTCGATATTTGTACATTTGTTTTAATATGAATCTGTTATAATTGTAAGATTAAATAAACATTTATAGATTTAGCGATAAAATAATGAAAACATGACAGCCTTCAATTTGCGATAGATTTGAATAAAAAATTTCTCCTTCTTCGTCTTTTTGATTTTGTTTTTAAAGCAATGGTTTTCTTAAAATAAAATAGAAAGCTGAAATCAAATGTAGAACAACATTACCAGCTTTATCAATATTTTTGGCCATTTCTCTCATTTTGATAACACGTTCGTACATTGGAGACGGTGATGGTAAGTTTTGAAAGGATATTTCAGACTTCATCTCGAATTCTTCATGTGGCGTTTCATTCTATAATCAAAATAACGAGCTTTTGAAGATTATGGGCAAAACATGCAAACAAATGATCTCGTATGGCGAACTCACATTTTTATATGATCTCTGCACAAAGCTCCATTGGTTTCTTGGTACAAAGTTATAGATAATGTGTCTGTGGACAACATCTCGAACACATTCAATAAAGTAAGACATAATGAACATTTTGGCATAGAAAGGTGATATTAAATTCAAATTTGGCTGACTAATTAATGAGAAGTAATTTTTTAAAAGTTGCGAAACAACTTAATTTTAGAAAATGGTAGGTAATTAATAAGTAACTCTTGGAAGTCTAAGAGTTGAATGAAAATAAACCTGAATTTAGGAGAGAAAAAATTTCTGCTACACTGTTGTGGGATTGTTATTTCTACGACAAGACCTTGTGGAAAAGAAAAATGGTCTCACTAGAATAATTTTATTGAAAGGCAAAAAACTGAGTTTTAGTTTCACAGAATTTGTCATTTTCTGTCGCTTCAGAAAATAGCAAAATGTGATTGGACTTTATTTGACCGAGTAATACGGGGGTTATGATTTTCAAGGGGTACCAAAGTATGCTACAAATTTTTAACATCACGGTATTCAAATGTATAGGGAACTAAACCCTCTAGCTTTCTGGGTAATTGTGGACATCGTATTTCTTCTGGGGGTAGTTTACATTTGAACTCAAAATGTTGGTTTAAATTCAAATTTAGTTTTGCGAGACAAACTCGTCGTAAATCAGCATAGGATTATTTTTTGGGCGACTGCGATGTGAATAGCGTCCAAGTGAACTTTATTTATTACACAAGTAATAATTAATCTCAATATAAAGCAGCATGATGAAGGACATTGTCAAGTTTTTGAAAGAATACGGAAATTACAAAGAATATATTTCTAATATATGAAAGTCTAGTCATCGTTTCCATCATCTTCTGGTTCCTCTTCTTCAAACCAACCGTCAGACTCAATCATCATTATAATCGATTTAATTGTTCCAGATTTTTGAACTGAAAATATTGGCCGGATTTAGAATCTTCAGAGAAAATTCTTACTTTCTTCTTCAATAAGCTCTAGTTCTTTTTCCTTCTTCCATCGTGCTAATTCGGCATTATGTCTCGCTTCTTCTTCAGAGTTATCAGGATCATCGTCGTCATCATAATTGGACTGAAATAATTGTATTGCCTTGCGGTAGACTAACACCCGTACCGGATACATAAGACCAGCGCTTTCGAGTATTTCTTGTCTCATCACATCCTTTATGCTACGATTTTCTTCAAACTCGACGTACATGTCCTTGAAATAATCGTCAAATACCTCTTTCATGGCAGCAGCCATCTGATCCATTATCTCAAAAAATTGCAAAAACTAATATGTTAAAGTTTGAAGTAACTAAAATGACTTCATGCATAAGTAAACTATTTGAATACGAGTATTCAAAGAGAATTTTTGACGTCATAAAATTGTATTGCGAATCGCAAGGTCACAATCCAATCGCATATGATGTCGGTGGGGTATTGCCCCTCACACTATGTAGGTGTGCCTCTTTTCCGAAAACTGTGCAATCAATTTCATCAAGAACATTTTTTTTTTCAATTTTTGTTTTGAACTGGTATTGATTTGTCCACAAAAATCAAGTTGGAATAAAAAAATAATAGAACTGAAAACGATCATCCCTTCTCTTTTTATGGGTATTGAAATTGGCGCTTTCGACGTAATGAAATCAAAAAGTGAGTACTAGTTTTGTTCTGCTACTTGGTTTAAGATACAAAAGTTACGTGCAAATAATGCAATATAAATTGAATATATTATTTACTCAAAATAAAACAAACAAGACCAGAAAATAGTAGTGTTGAGTCAACGATGGTTGTAGACTATAGTTTCGCTTCGCAACAAAACTTTCAATTGCCATAATTCATACAGTTCTCACGGAATTACTGTTTACAACAATTTATATATTTATATACTCATTATGCTAATTTAAATTGTTGAATGTTTATGAAAAGGCAACACTTCTTCTGAAATAAACAAACATATTATTTTGAAAATAATTTATGAAAAACTGAATTATAATCTGTTTTCTTTTGCATTTTCGTTACTTCTGCTATATATGGCCGAAGAATCTGAAAATTGAGAAGAAAAAATTTTTTTCAAAATAATATAAATTTCTCAAACCTGTTATACATAGTGCCTTGTATTGTAGATGAAAATGTGGAAATAAGCATCTGACTGCCGAAATCCTGCAATTTTTAAGTAAACAGAGATGTCGAAAAAATATAAACTACTTACTATAGAGAAAAAATTGGCAATGAATAATTCAAAATCTAGAATTACGTAAAAGAAAATTACGAAAGCGTTAAACACGGGTAAAAGCGGAAATTCCTTCTTGAAAACCGTGCTTAATTTTTTTGACAAACTAAAATTTATCGAAAAGTATGCATTTGAACCATAGATTTTATTTTCTCTAACAATGTAATATCAATAGGATCTTGGCATTATTACGATAATTGTTAGAAAGTAATTATGATACTATGTAAATCATTGAAAAAAAAACTCAGAAAGGTTTTTGCAAAATATGCATAATACTATTAAAGTTTGATGTAACTGAACTGATTTTTTAAAATTTTGATTGGAACTTATCGATTTTATCTGCTTTCGTATTCACCTCTTATTTGAATAGGGTTTTTAATACAGAAAACCGTAGAGACCGTATTATATCTATAGTCATGACAGATTTCTCTCATTTTTTTGTATTATCTATAGAAATAATATTGAATCATCACTTCTTTACAATTCTACTTTTCCGTTTCATTAGAGAACGACAATTTTTGTTGGCACAAGTTCTGTTTTCAATTATCTTGAAATAACACGTTTGATTTCATTCATCAGTCACCCTGTGAGAGTAATTCGATGATGGCATGTGCGCTCCATGGAACAAATATAGTGCAGCCAGCATTGCATATTTACTTATCTGTCTAACTGCCTTGCCTCAGCGATGTTTTCAACGCATTGACTTGTCGTCACTCATTGAATTTCTGTACAACTCGTTTTTACAGCAATGGCAGAGGCTCCACCGGTGGAAATTTCGCAGTATACGCGAGACAAGGTAAAATAAGGAAGGTGTTTTAAAAATTTTCACCGTTTTTGGTATTATAGGCAAGCCGCACTCGCATTTCTATTGAGTCATATTACGCTCATCGGGTAACACAATGCGCAGAAAGAGAGAATCGATTGAAAAAATTGGAAGAGGACATGATCGCAAAAGGTAAACTAAAATATTTGTTTTCTGCATAATTGCGTAAATACTGGATATATAGACCTTAAAATACCATATTTAATGTTGCTATGCACTATTTTTTAAGGTGAACTGGTGATTAAAACTAGTTTTTTGCGCAATTTGAATAAAAATTTCAGACAACTTTGAAGGTGTTTCGGAGCACCATAATCAAAAACATAAAATAGAAGCTTATGTAGCGCTCGTAAATTTTCAAAAAATACCTTTCTTCGAAATTCCTTAATTCACCATATTATTTTTAGGTTTGAGTGATGAAGAGAAAGAAGAAAAGCGAAAAGTACATAATGCCAAGGAGACTGATTACCTCAGACTTAAGCGAACAAGACTGACTGTTAATGATTTTGAAAGCTTGAAAGTCATTGGACGTGGTGCTTTTGGAGAAGTTCGACTGGTTCAGAAGCTTGATACGGGTCACATTTACGCAATGAAAATTCTACGCAAAAGCGAGATGGTTGAAAAAGAGCAGGTTTGTTTGAAAATCGTGCTCAAGGAATTGAACTGATTTCGTTGCAGACGGCTCATGTAAGAGCTGAACGCGATATATTGTCAGAAGCTGATTGCGACTGGGTTGTCAAAATGTATTATTCATTTCAAGATTTCTCAAATCTTTATTTGGTTATGGAATTCCTTCCAGGAGGTAATTTTAGAAAAAAGTTTCAAAACTTAGCCAATATTAGCCATAAACCACATTTGAAAGAATAGTTAAAATGATAGTCTGGTAATTTAAAAATTCGAAGACTTAACTAGAAATAATAATTTTTTCATGAGAACAAATTCTCTAAAACTAATCATTTCAACTTCAGCAATGTTATCATCTACGCATCTTATTTTGAATAATTACTACCATGCCGCTATTTATTTAATATTATTGGTCGATTCTGAATCTTGATAATTTTTATCTTATCACATTAGCGTAAATAAAACTTGATCGCATCAAATAAGCGATATGAGAACTCGAACAGTTGGGGAAAATTGGTATAGGAAATGCGGGCAATTGTTGAATTTTTCCAGGCGATATGATGACTCTGCTTATCAAAAAAGATACATTGACCGAAGAAGCTACTCAATTCTACGTTGCCGAAGCTGCACTTGCCATTCAGTTTATTCATAATCTTGGATTCATTCATCGTGATATTAAGCCTGATAATTTGCTTCTGGATGCTAGAGTAAGAATCCAATCATACAAAGATGTTACTCAAACTATACTATTATTATTATTGTTTAGGGACATGTCAAATTGTCCGATTTCGGGTTGTGTACGGGACTCAAGAAATTCCACAGAACCGATCACTATAGAAATTGGCCATCGACGCTTCCGCCGGATTTCATTTCGAAGCCATTCGAGTCGAGAAGAAAAGCGGAAACGTGGAAAAAGAATAGAAGAGCTTATGTGAGTAATTTGAAATTGCCAAAATGACATTATGATCTGATGACTAGAAATTAAACAAAAATCTTCTGCTAAAGTTTTAATAATACTAAATCTACCGTAATGAAAATGTAGTGCTTAAAAATTTCAAATAATGGTAACTTTAAAGATCGAAATACTACAATATTGAGAGAAATACGCATAATAACATAGAATTTTTTTTCGTTTTGCTTCTTACTTAAATGAACTCTATTTAGGCCTATTCCACTGTTGGAACTCCAGACTACATCGCCCCAGAAGTTTTCCAACCGAATGGTTACACAAAGAGCTGTGATTGGTGGAGTCTCGGAGTTATTATGTATGAAATGCTCATTGGTATGATTCGTTGTTTTCATATTTAGTGTGATTTTTTGTATATTTGCAGGATATCCTCCGTTCTGTTCCGAACAACCTCAAGAAACCTATCGGAAAGTCATAAATTGGCAACAAACTTTGGTTTTCCCATCAGAAGTTCCAATAAGCATAGAGGCGAAAGCAGTGAGTTTTTGAACCTTATTTAGACCTATTAAAAATATATACATTTTTTCTCACCGCTTCTTGGTTTTCGGTGATTTTGAAAAGCATATTGAAATGAAATCTTGCCTAAGCAAAAAAAATGGGGAAATAATAGAAGAACGAAATCAATGAGGAAACTGCGAGGAGAGACTTTGTTTTGGCAATAGGAGGGAAATGAAAAAAATATTGACACCAAAATTTTTGTCAACAACAGAAATTAGATGTCTCAAACATTTTTAGAAACTTATCAATAAAATTATTGATGATTAATATTCAGAAAATCGAGTTTTATAATTTCAGACGATCAAACGTTTCTGCTGCGAAGCAGAACGCCGACTGGGTAATCATGGTGGACTTGACGAAATCAAGCAGTGCCCGTTCTTCCGAAGAATCGATTGGAGCCATATTCGGTAATGTTTTTTTTTTCAATGTTGATTTATTTGATTAATTATGATGTCTTTCAGTGAAAGGCCAGCGCCAATCCGAGTTGAAGTGAAAAGCATTGATGATACTTCCAATTTCGATGATTTCCCTGACGAAGATCTGTCATGGCGTAATGATTTTTCTTGAAAATTTTAAAGAAATTTTTTTCAATTTTAGCCGTTTCCACAATGATTCACCCCGAAGAACAACCAGGACGTCGTGGAGAGTTTGTGGACTTCACTTACAAGCGATTCGATGGCCTCACACAGAAAATGAGATACAGCGACTTTAAGAAAGATAACAAAAAGTCGAAGAATAAAGGGCAAGGCTCATCAAACAACTAATGTATATTGAACTGAAATAACACTGTACATAATTTTATATATGCCTTGTATAATAAAGTTGAACTAATTTTTCAAAAATTCCTCTACCTTTCCGATATCGATGGAAATATATGAAATGTGCTGATTGAACCGGTGATTCAACTGCTTACAGTATACAGGGTGTCATTTAAGTTCCCGCACAAAAGTTTGACGCCATGAAGAGCTTGGCTGTCGCACTTTTCGTGCACCAATACAATTTATTTTTGTTAAATAAGGTATATTTTACTTACTTTCCAAGTTTTACCTCATTCGGATGTGTTTCCGAGAAATGGCGAAGGCTAACATCCATTGCGCTTCCATTATCGAACTTCATAAGCAAAATGTGAGCCTGAGAGACATCATTCAACGCCTCGGTGTGCCTCTTAGAACGGTTTACGACATCATCTAACGTTTCAAGGAACTAAATACGACCAGTGACCGTCCCAGATAAGGAAGACTCGTCTCGGTAACCACTCCTCAGAAGTTCAACGCCGTTAAATCGAAGATCAGGCGAAACCCACACAGGAGCATGAGAAAGATGGCGTCAGACGTGGGAATGAGCATTTTCGCTTTGGAACAAATCGTCAAAACGAAGCTTGGACTGACCCCATATCGTGTCCAAAAAGCGGCAATTCTATCGGCCGCCAACAAGTAGAGACGCTTCGAAAAAGCAAAACGACTTCTTGCTCGCACGCGGTCTGGAGAACACCTCGTCACTGTCTTCTCCGATGAGAAGCTGTTCACTGTGGAGGCGGCATTCAACTCACAAAACCATCGAGTACTTGCCCAGACATCCCAGCAAGCTTCTGAGAAAGGAAGAACATATCATCCAGCCTCACATCCTGCCAGTGTGATGGTTTTCGGTGCCATCTGCTCAACCGGGAAGTGCTCCCTGGTTTTCGCGGATCAGGGGGTGAAAGTGAACAAAGAAGTCTACGTTCGGGACATTTTGGAGAAGCATGTGATACCCTGGGCCAAAACGCATTTCGGTGGGCAGAAATAGGTTTTTTAACAGGACGGAGCACCCGCCCACACTGCCAAAACTACTCAGGAGTGGTGCCAGACCCATTTTCCCGACTTCATCAAGTCATCCGAATGGCCTGATTTCTCCCCAGACCTGAACCCGCTTGACTTTTCCGTGATGGGCTCTTGCAGGAGAAGGTCAACGCAAAACCCCACTCAAGTATAGAGGCTCTGAAGAAGACATTACTGGTGGAATGGGACAATCTTTCCATCGAATACCTGCGTACCACAGTCACATCCTACCCGAAGCGTCTCCGTGAAGTCATAGCTGCGAAAGGAGACCGAATCAAAAAGAGTTAATAGATAATTATTTGTTATACTATAGATAAAAAATATTTCGAGTCTCGTTTGATTTGGACTTTTAGTTTCAGAAATATATGCCTTCAAAGTTGTGCGGGAACTTAAATGACACCCTGTAATGGTATTGAATTCGAACGACTTGAACGGCGTGTGAGAATTCACAAATAAAGAGAAGTCCGAATATAAATTAAAAGTGTGAGAAATATACTAATTGTGATGTATATAAGGCTTTTGCTTAAAAAAAAAACAATTATTACTTATTTGACAATTCGGCATCAATTTCAAGGCGGTCTCGTTGGTGATTCAACAATCACAAAATGAAGAAAATTGTATGTTTTTTCAATCAATGATAGTAACTGCCAGTGAAAACCAAAACTATGGTTCCTTGTTTCATTTTAGGCAACATCATGATATTTCGTCGAATGGGAAAGTTCCCTTTGTCGACTGAAATATGTATGTAGTTTACTTTTCGTGATGTGTTGCCCTTTTTTGACCAAAACCGGTTTTTTTCGCGACAAGACGTCAATGATAAAATGTAGACGTTTGGTTAGAATTTACAAAATTATTAAGTTGAATATTGATATATCTCATCGCTCGTTTAAAAATCTCTGAAAATAATTGGAAAAAAGCTATTGCGAAATGTTGTCTATCGATTTTTGAAATAACTTCCTGGTTGCCAATTTCACTAACATGTTGAAGTAAAGTAATAATATTTCTTAAATTCTTTTTTTTCAGATAATGGATGTTATACGAAAACTGCGTAAAATAAACACAATCTCCTATATTGATAATTTTCCGGATGTCATCAATTATGGCTTAACTCCAATCTTTTTCATCTTGTTGTCAATGCTTGGTTTAATTAAGCTGGCTTTGGGTAGCCCTATCAAATGTCCCGACGCTCTTCATGATGTCGATTTTTCAAAATGCATATATACTGATGATCAGCGCCCCCTTGAAGAAGAAATCCAGTCAAAACAATGGTATGGATGGATACTTCCGTTTATGTCGTTGCTAGCAATTATTCTATTTGTTCCAAAGTTTCTTTGGGAATGTTTACAGAAGCATTTTCGTAAGTTTTTATTTCCAGCCCTCCTGTAAACAAATGTTTAAATGTGTGATTTTAGCGCTTCCGGCAAGACATTATTGTGATGAAGCTCAAAAAGCAAAAGAGCTGGATTTGATTGAGCGAAAGAACAAAATTGCCGAAACGGCAGCACATTTGATAGAGAAATGCCAAAAACGCAAAAAGTACAGTCATAGTTGGTAACGAAATTCTTAAAAATTCCAAAAAATGTTTTATGTTTTATTTTTTAGCATTACTTTGTCGTTTATCTTGTTTAAGCTTCTATACTTAATTATAATCATTGGAGAAATCTACTGTCTTGCGATAGTTCTTCAGGGAAAAAATGACGTGGAAGCAATATATGATGTAATTCAAACAGTCATCGTTTCAATCTACTGTTAGATTTTAAGCGATTTGTGTATGATGCTTGGAAACGTCCCCATATGCATACTTCTGCTGTTCATGAAGCCTCGATTAGATGCAGCTATAGAGAAAAAAATGAAGAAAACCAATATACCGAATGTTATTTCAATTTCAATTCATTTTTCAACGTTATTTTCAAAATTTTCATGTGAGTTTTATGAAAAAATAGCTCTAAACACGTTTGAATTTCCAGGGTGTGGTTACTCTTGTCTCTTATCCCAGCAATCATCGATTTTGTTTATACGTGTTTGCGCGTTGGACGATATGATCATATTCAACAATTCATATCATCGGTAACTATAAGTAGCTGATCCAATTTGAATATAATGGATTTAGTCTCTGCCCCATGTTCCACTATATCAGATAATTGAACTGAAAAAATTTTTACAAAACGGTAAGAGATATTTCAAAAGGTTAACGAACATCCATAAATGTTTATGCTTAATTTTTTTCAGTTTCTCGATTTATCACTATTCTTTTTGAACTTTCTGAAAATTTTTACCTTCAGCAATGTTGAAAGTAATTACACAATATTCTAAATTTTACATTTTTACGGAAATAATTAGGAATAAATGATAATTGCAGATGGACTCATGATATTTACATTTGTTACAAATCAAAGTGAAGCAGTTGCGCGTGAGCTTGCCACAAAAGTGTACAAGCTTTTCATTGAGAACAGACTTCAGGTGGGTAAGGAATGGCAGTGTTGGGCTTATTTCAGAAATTTCAGTCAGAAGTTCAAGCTCTGGAAATGGATTACAACTCTGCTCAATGAGGAGTGAGTGAAGACAACGAAGCGCCTCGTGTTCGTGGACACTGAACGAATTTGAAAATGAATTAAACGAATTTGATAATGAATTAAAATGTTTTAATGTGGTAATTTATTTTTGCTAATTAATCTTGTCGAGATTAAATTTGAAAAAAAAAAATTTCACTTCAAACAGGATAAATACAGATTTGAACATTTATTATTTTATCCTTTAAGGTCTGACCAAAATTTATATACATTAATGAAGATTGTTTAGATTTTCTATTTTTGCTATATTATAGAGAAAAAACCCTAAGACATAATTGATATATTTCGAAAAGTTTGACTATTTATATGTTGTTCGATTCCACTGTTTGAAGTAGTTGAAAAGGGCGGTTATCCATTAGCAAGATGGGAGGTTATCCATTAGCAAGATGTGCTCTTTTCGCAACGCAGAGAAATCAAAACGCGACGTCTTAATATACGTGAAATCACGTGGCGTCTTTATGCTCGGTACTATCCAAAAATTAAAAATGGATGATCGGAATAAAACAAGACATCTTACATAATAATAATATTTATTCAAGTGCATGATTTGCTAAAATTCGTGATTTGCTAGATGTCATAATTTGCTAGAATTCGTAATTTGCTAGATGTAGAAATTTGCAGGAATAAATTAAAATTGGGAAAACTATAGATAAAATTTGCAAAAACTTGGAGTCACAAGAGCGGAATGGCTTAAAAATGAATTATATGGGTAGACCAATACCGGTAATTTCATCAATGGAGCTGTGATATGAATATGGGTACAAAAATATATCGGTTGCATCATTAGGAATGTTGTTTTCCCTTTCTGGCATAAAGTGGTGGTGGGTCGGATGGACCGCGGCAGTTGCATGAAGCATTTGAATTGATCTGAAAAATGTATATTTTCAGGTTTAATTACAAGTATGATTGTCTTTACCTTGGCCCAAACCGTATCGTCAGATTCTACTCTCAACAACCGCACAATCTCGTCTTCTGTAATCCTGTTACTACTTCCCGTGGAACCTTTATGCTGGACCGGGAGAGCTTGCTTAAATCTTCTGTCCAACAAAACATAGAGTTGGCGTGAATTTCCAGCCTAAATTTTTATTATGCTTCAATTATTTGAATATGTATATGACACTACCTGCGGAATATTGGACAGTGGGACTTCGCCTCTTAATTGAACAAAATAGTACGAGAGCCGATTGCGCAATACGAACGACTGACTTAAGACGGAAATCTGTAATAATTCAGTATTAATTATTACTAGAATAGCAAAATTTTTAATAGAAAAATCATACCGCAAAAGTTGGTGGTGGCTGATTAACAGTCCCTTCTTCGTTTTGCACAGACTGCAACTAAATTTATTAACCTATAAGTGAATGAACAATTACCTCCGAGACTGCAGAGAATACTTTTGAATCCTGTGGACATTTCGCTCGACGACCATGTCTGCGTTTCTGGCGTCTCCGTCTTTTCTTTTGAGATGAGCCCTGATCAGTGTTTTGCTCCTGGATCTTGGCTTCCTGGGCAGCACGCTTCGCTTTCTGACGTCTTCTTCTTCTCTTTTCATTTTTCTTCTGGGACTTTTCTTTCATTACAAGATTCTGGATATCTTCTCTTTCGAGTGGCAAAGAACACTCAAAGCCTTCGATCTGATTTGGCGTGTTGTTATCGATCTTCTGAGCACGTCGAGCGCTGTTTCTCTTCTGTTTGCGGCATGCATTTTTTGAGGATCCCTGTTTGTCCATGTCGGTCATCTGAAAATAGAAAAAATTGCAAATATGTGACCCGTATATATTTGTAAATCATTCATTTAACTATTGCTTAGCGAAATTTATAGTGTTCGCAGTGGATGGGGTGCAAAAACTAATAGCGATGAGTCAAGCGAGCGACAATTTGATACTATCTACGTTTTTCTTGCATATATTTAAAATTATCAAAGAGATGGTTGAAACTAAATTTTTTCTGTGATTGAATCTTACCTTTTATTTATTATATGGTAGAAATTGGGTTCTAGTGCTGGTGAGGTCTTGAATGTACTGGGTGAGAGCAGGTGCTGAGAAAAGGGTGCAGATCTGAAAGAATATTCATGTCATATAATAAGGCATTAAATGACGCTAAAATAATAACAGAAAATGTGATCTGGAGCAAATGACGACCAACCAGTTGATAGGCTGCCAAACGAGGATGAATGATTTTTTTGGCTTAGGGTCTGTGCAATGACACGCCCCTTTGATAGTAGCCCATGACAACATTAACCTCACAAAGTGCGAATATCGAGTCGGCGATCCCAAAGGTGTTAGACGGATCTTCATTGATTTACAATGTGTCATACTGGAGCATCCAGTTCCTCATCGCGGTAGCCTTTAGGAATAATAACTCATATATCATTCGAATCGGATGAAGAGGGTACCATGACATTGAGGATAATTGTGACAATGCGTGAATTTCCTATGCAGGCACGAAAGGCTGATATTGCACATGTGCGAAAATCAAGTCGGCAATACAAAACGTGCAAGACGGTTTTGGATTGATTTACAATGAGTCAAACAAGAGTATCCATGCACGATTCTTTCCTCACCTATGTTGCTATTTGGACGAATAACTCATATATCATTCCAATCGGAGGAAGCGCTAACAGATGTGTCTTTATAGGCGCCATTGGGGAAAATAAAAATTGTGTCCTTAAATGAAGCAATTGCAGAAACGTTTTATACTACACGTTGATGGATGTCCCATGATACCGATCGTGGCTCCAAAAAGAGTTGACAGAAACGTTTTCAACACTCCTCACAATCGAAGAAATGATTTTTGAAGATTCAAATACATTTTTGGATAAACGTACTTTAATCGTGTCCATTGATAAAAGTCGAATGATACCTATCTTTGCTCTCAAATGAGATTCCAGCTAAAAATCCTGTTTTTATGCTATCTTTATATACGCCCTGATGAGCCGTTATTTCTGAAACTTTAAATTAGAATTTGTAGAATTTTTTTAAATTTTATCAGTATAATTCATTTTTTATAGCAATATTGAATGATTGAGGTACGTAAATATCTCAAAGAAAATTGAATAATGCAAAAATTATAAGTTAATCTGTATATTAGAATTTTGATTTTTTTTGGCATTAAAAGAGCAATATATCATTAATATATGTAATTGCAGGAAAACAGTTTAAAGCAGCGCGCCACCTCCGTCACTTGTTTTTTTTCAGGCTATCCAATGTTGTGTTCTGGCACGAGTATTGCCCGCGGTCGCGGAAAACACCGAACGGGACTCAAATATTACAACGCCCTGGCTGGATGGCATCGCGTTTTCGCCGTCCTTCCGTCATAAACTCTAGGATTTCTCTTCAGCTTTTCGTCAGCGAATCACTAGAAATCTATAACCTTTGTCATGATGGATATAGTCTTCGAGCAGTTTTTCGTCAAATTTTATTGTAAGGCTTTCGCTGAAGAAAATAGTTGCTCGTTATTTTATTGAATCTCAAATTATTGTTGTGCTATTCACAATGTTTTCTTCATTCCTCTAGGTAACTTATATTCATAGTAGGCAAAGTTTCTTGGTCGAGGGATCATATTACTATAACCATGAATATCTATTATTTGTTTCTCATATCCCCACCCCGATGAATGCTTTCTGCGATCTATTGGCACTATTGATTTCGAGTGCCGTCGATTTCTCAAATTTTTCTTTTCATCATGGTAGTAGTTGATGTCAGACACATCTCATTAGAACAGCATTTAAATATTTTTTGCATTTTCCTGGCTTATCTATTTTTTTGGTTGACGAGCAGTGAGCGAAAATAAGACATTTTAATGTATCGAGATTTCCCCTATAGTTTTATTTGCTTATTGCTTAGCCTCTTGAGGATAGTGCGAGGGCACGTTGAAATCACTTTTGTCGCCACTTTTTCATATCCCGTTTGCGCGCTCACCGTGTGCTCTTTCGGCGGGGGGTTCGACTCCGAATGCTGTCAAACGCTGGCGAATTTGCATCGCGGCAGTATGAAATTATTCGACTGAAATACGCTAAAACCTACAAATACATCGCCGATATTTATTCACAGTTCCTTCTATCCGAAACATTCGCAATATATGGACAATTATTGTTGCCGGTTGGTGTTCTTGTTGCCGTTGTTGCGACAATCCTTATATGCAATTTGCTATGGAAAATCATACTCTATACGAGAATTGTCCAAGGTTTCTTTTTTTTTCGTCTAAACTATCTATCTATTCCTGCTAATGTGTTATATCGCTGGCATAAAATTGACTGTACTCGAGAAAATTAGTGCGTTTAACCCTTAAATATACACATTTTATTTTTTCCGCAAGACCATTACCAAGAATCAATTTTCCGCAGTCCTAAAATTGTTTTGGGCAAATTGCGAGCTAAAAAACACAAATAATAAATGTCTTTATGTACAGGGTGTCATTTAAGTTCCCGCACAAAAGTTTGACGCCATGAAGAGATTGACTGTCGCACTTTTTGTGCACCAATACAATTTATTTTTGTTAAATAAGGTGTATTTTACTTATTTCCCAAGTTTCACCTCATTCGGATGTGTTTCCGAGAAATGGCGAAGGCTAACATCCATCGCGCTTCCATTATCGAACTTCATAAGCAAAATGTGAGCCCGAGAGACATCATTCAACGGGTCGGTGTGCTTCGTAGAACGGTTTGCGACACCATCAAACGATTCAAGTAGCTAAATACGACCAGTGTCCGTCCCAGACAAGGAAGACTCGTCTCAGTAACCACTCCTCAGAAGATCAACGCCGTTAAATCGAGGATCAGGCGAAACCCACACAGGAGCATGAGAAAGATGGCGTCAGACATGGGAATGAGCATCTTTGCTATGGAACAAATCGTCAAAACAAAGCTTGTACTGACCCCATATCGTGTCCAAAAAGCGGCAATTCTATCGGCCGTCAACAAGCAGAGACGCTTCGAAAAAGCAAAACGACTTCTTGCTCGCACGCGGTCTGGAGAACACCTCGTCACTGTCTTCTCCGACGAGAAGCTGTTCAGTGTGGAGGCGGCATTCAACTCACAAAACCATTGAGTACTTGGCCAAACATCCCAGCAAGCTTCTGAGAAAGGAAGAACATATCATCCAGCCTCACATCCTGCCAGTGTGATGGCTTTCGGTGCCATCTGCTCAACCGGGAAGTGCTACCTGGTTTTCTTGGATCAGATGGTGAAAATGAACAAAGAAGTCTACGTTCGGGACATTTTGGAGAAGCATGTGATGCCCTGGACCCAAACGCATTTCGGTGGGCAGAAATGGGTCTTTCAACAGGACGGAGCACCCGCATACACTGCCAAAACTACTCAGGAGTGGTGCCAGACCCATTTTCCCGACTTTATCAAGTCATCCGAATGGCCTGATTGCTCCCCAGACCTGAACCCGCTTGACTTTTCCGTGATGGGGTCTTGCAGGAGAAGGTCAACGCAAAACCCAACTCAAGTGTAGAGGCTCTGAAGAAGACATTACTGGCGGAATGGGACAATCTTTCCATCGAATACCTGCGTACCACAGTCACATCCTACCCGAAGCGTCTCCGTGAAGTCATAGCTGCGAAAAGAGGCCGAATCAAAAAGAGTTAATAGATAAATATTTGTTATACTATAGATAAAAAATATTTCGAGTCTCGTTTGATTTGGACTTTTAGTTTCAGAAATGTACGTCTACAAAGTTGTGCGGGAACTTAAATGACACCCTGTATTGTCCTCAGCCGATCTTTACGAAAATGAATCTATTAATTTTTCTTCTCTCCATGAATCATAATCTATCATTTTTACAGCCTTGGGTTGGTTGGTTTCGGAAATGTTCTGGATTCTCTTATCATGGGGGCTAATAGCAGCTCTATGCTACTATGGTTTGAATCATCTGGGAAAAACCGACACAACGACAGCTTCATCAAATCCGGCCAACAACGCGTAAGTCGTGTTGTACCAAAGTTTGCTCACCTCGGCAAACAAAATTGAAATGATAGCCGACCTGGTGACTGTTTCGAACCTAAAAAAAGTGTTCTAGTGTTCGGACTGTGAGAAAATCAACAAATTTGTTCTGTGAACTTTCAATTCAATGTTTTAAATCCTATACCATCTTTCAGCAACTCAACTGATGGTAATAAAAGCTTGAATAACGAATGGGCGAACGAAATTGTGTCCTGGCTATACTCAAACTTCCATAAAGTTCCGGGACCATTAGACGCATGGATCAAATCGCTGAACGAAGCTGCTAAAAAAGTGACATCACCGGTAAGAAGGGCTTGCCAGTCCCTGGCACCTAATTGAAAGTTCATACGAAAATTGAGATATTTGCAGGCTAAGTGCGAGGTATTATTTGAAGGATTTGGTGATCATACTGATGTTTTGCAACCACTAAAAGTTAGCAATATTCGCGTAGAACAAGGACCACGAGATCATTTGGTAAATATTGATTGTAAAAATGTACAAACAGATATATCAAAAACGTGATTTGATGAAATGGATCTTGAGAATACTACTTATGTTAGTACACAGTTTTTCATAGCATTCGATAGAGCCACATAAATCAAAGTACGAGCACTTTGTCTGGCGAATTTCAATAAATTACTTTGCATATTTAGATATGTGATTCAAATAATAAAAATTATAGACAGTTCGATCGAATGTTCATCTACCTTGTGTTCACCTACGTTTGGTTTCATCGCAGAGAACCCCTGAAAGGATGATTGTTTCAAATTACGATGCTTCCATTGTCGATTTACGCGGAGAAGCAAGCCAATTTCTGGTTGTTGCCAATCATTTATGTACAATTTTAGGTGGAATGCCGAATGGCAAGCATAGCCAATCAGCTATACCTAATGGGATGCTTTAGCGGACGACCTGAAATGGATATTGAATTGAGGAACACTGACCCAAATGCGGTTTGTGGAAATTTTTGCAATTAGACATAATTTTTTTTGGAATTGTACATAACAAATTTTTGGAATTATACATATTTTTTAGCAATATCAAGTGAGCATTCCAATGGTTGAGGAAAGCATTCGCCGATGTTTGCTCTCCGCTGTGACGAACATCAATTTATCAGAGGAATTACCTGAGGAGCGAAACACGTTTGCGGATACATTCAGCAGAACAATTTATAGCCCGCCGGTAGCCGTTTGTCATGTTGATGGAATTTTTTTGTTTCTTTTGCAGAATCAATCTCCGCCGGCAACTGTACGAAACTCGTACAATAATTATGATGGAAACTTGAGCACTAATAACTATGCAACTCTTAATAGTAATCGAAGCAGCAGTCCGTCGCAAGTGCCGGAAATGTTCAAAAAATTGAACGAATCACATGTTTGTTGTAAAAATAGTTGTATACGATTTCCAGTGTTGTTACAGCTTATAACACCATCGTATAATACTAACTCAACCCCCAACAAAATGCGAATCAAAGTGATCAAGGCAACGAAGCTCGGAAAAGGTTTGGAAGCCCCCTAATATTGTTTACATCCTTCGCTTTTAATTCAATTAATTAATTTCTTTCAATGCAATCTTTTTTGCTGCTGCTTAAAAACCATTTCCACGTCAGCAATTTAGATGTGCAACAGCCGTTTGTGGTTATTGAAATGGACGAACCTGCCCAAAAGTTTACCACATGCAAAGGAATCAACGCCAATCCATATTGGGAAGAGACGTTTGACTTGTACGAACCATTCAAGACAACAATTCGTTCATCAACTATTTTTTAGCGACTTGTCTCCGGCTACGGAAGAAGTTCTTTTTGAGGTTTATGAGGGAAATGAACAATTACACGCAACCGATGACGAATGCTTCCTTGGCTTGGCTATAGTGAATTTTGAAGAAATTCGAAGAAGTGGCGAGGTAATATAGTATTACACAAAGTCATTTAATTACATGCTATTTGATTGTCAGGTGTTGCACAATTTCAAACTCCAAGGGAGACCTTATCGAAAAGATTCGGTTACTGGTGAATTGACAGTTCAATTTGATTTCTATTATGATCCAACTCATGTGGCAGTCGGAAAGGTGACGGATAGTGTGAAAGTAGTCAATCCGAATGGATCAGAGTTCCGCGAAACGCTTACAACTCAACGCCGGCCAATATATGATCCACATGGCGAGTGTAATAAATGATCAGCCAAGTATTTTAAATAATTTTAGACACACTTGATGCAAATGAACCAATTATTCCGTCGATGACCACAACAGTTGTAGTTAAAACGGTTTCCCATGTAATTTCAAGAATATTTTGTGGAAATTTACTAATTATTTGATAATTTTCAGCAACTTAAAGAAAAACCAACGATTCAATCCGTCCATGGCTCTTTGGAAAATGCTGTGGATCCGGTGACGCAGAGAATTCTCGATGAACAATTTAGAAACTATAATGATCCAAAAACGAAAGAACTCGAAGTGAGCACAATTTTTTAAAAACAAAATTGGAGGAAATATTTAATCGCTTCAGGCAAAGCTGCAATCCGTTTCGCAAAGCATTTCTGCTGGAAATACGCTCGAGAGGCCGAAAAATGGAAAATCGCAATTCAAAGATCAAATTGATAGTGCCGAATTCCAAGAAGATTATAGAAGTAGTAGAGGTAAAAGCTACTCAATCATATTCTTAGTTGCATTACTACATTTTTTAAAAATTTCTTTCAGATCGCAATAAAACAGACAAAAAGTCTGAGAAGCGCGATCGCTCCTTCTTTGGAGAGTTGCGCGATCGTCTCAGTGGCCGTCGTGGCAGAAGCCAGAAGCGCTCGAAATCAGTTGACTTGGAAAATCAAGTTTTGGAAGAGGCTGTTTCCCTTCCCCCAAGTCGTGATCCTAGCAGAACTCGATACGCTGGTATTAAATAATATCTTGAAAGAGCAGACAAATGTATAATTTAGTGGGAAACAACGATACTTACCGTGAAACTCATTCGGTTGGAGGCAGAAGTGGAGAATCGTCGAAAAGTTTGTACCAACATTCAACGTTAATACTTGAAATGGAACATGAGAAACAGCCAAAGTTCAACAGTGCAATCTATTGGATTCCTAAGAATGTTGTTCCAGATACTTCCTTATTCCTCCAGCGATGCTCTCGGAGCCAGCGGCATCCAGGTTAATGAGAAAAGGAAAGAAATTGCACATCTACAACGATCATACTTTTGTGGCCGTCAAAATAAGAGGGTAACTTTGCTTAATTTTTGAATTGTTTCTGTGCCAATGTCCTTCTGTCCCCTGTCATCTATGTGTGTATCAAATTGCACGATGCTAATGTTAGTTGTAGCGGCGCCAATTGCAATGTCTGCCAGCAAAGGATTCGATCCAGTTTTTCGAAACAAGCTTATCAATGTAGAGGTAAGAATTTTGCACTTTCGAGTGGATCAGTAAGATTGGGTCCTTGAGAAGTTCTGTTGTAAATTATTAATGAAAAGGAAAACGCTTTGACACTAGGATAATAAAAAAAAGTCAAAAAACCAAAGCCACAATCGAATTTTTTTACAGATTGCAAACTGGTTTGCCACAAAACATGCCATTACAAAACCGACGCTTTCTGCACCCAGAGCACCGTCTCGAAACTTCAAATGTTCTATTTCTTATTACTTTTATGAAAAGCAAATGTTGGTTTTTTTTTTCAGCGCCAAGGATGTAGATTGGGCTCATTTCTTGAGCCATTATCAACTCGAAGAATTCATATCGACCGAAGGACTTTAATAATTGGCATCCTTACGACTAACTTCTATACAACTGATAACAATAATTTGCTTGCCTTTTGCATTATTCCTACTAGGGTTGCAAAATTTGCTCAGAAAACAAACCCTAGCTTCTCCAAACGTATATTTGTGTCTTCTGTAGATTTTTTGTTTTGTTCCAGAGCAATGCCTTCCAACGTACTTTGGAAGAGTTTTGAAACCTTTCTGGAATGGTAATTTTTTAGATAACTTATATAACGTTCCACATTATATTTTGTCAAATAAAACAATCTAACCCATTGAACATGTTGTTTGACAAATCACTAGACAGGTCATTTCCCCGCACGTCAGGAAACATCATTCGTTTTTCAATGGTTCTAAATTGAGCCCTGGTGTATATCACATTTCAGCTGTCATTCAAAATTCCATTTGCCGCTCGTCCTTCCATTATTCAGTGTTCTACTTTTTTGTAGTTTGCATTCTTTTTATTAAAATTTTCTTGACGGTGAAAAAATCAGCGCAGAGGGGAAGCTTTAAGAGACCCGCCCATAAGACCACGCCTACTTTGACGGAGAAGGAAGTAGGCAATGAGGCATTGAAGTTCTTGTTGGTATATTTCCCGCCGACAACATTCTTGAAACGAAGTAGGTCATTTTCTTAAATTAAAATTATTTCTAAATTAGATTTTTAAAGTTATATGAAAAGCAATAACAACATTTTTGGATTACCTCGATTTCTAAATTTTTTGTGTCTTACAGGTGTTTTTCGTTTCTGCACACGTGATATAATAAAAGGGCACTGATGCTTTTTTTTTAGATGTAAACCTCAAAAAAGGACCCCGAAAAAATGATTTCACACGTTAGTTTGAAAAAAAAGAACGAAGAAAATAAGAAAATAAATGGGAAAGTAAAAACGTTTTTTCTTAATTTATGATCCCTAAATGTTTGAAAAAGCGTTTTAAGATTTTAAAACATTCTTGTTTCTGTTTTTTGTTCCGCCACTGATTTTTAGATAGAGACAACTATGGATGAAAAAAATGAAGGCAACATTTTAAAAAGAAATATGTAACTTCTCTCGTCCCCCATTCGTAAAGCGGAAGTGTCGGTAACAGAATTTTTTCTGGATGTCAATTGACATATGTTAAAATTCCAATTGAAGATGCGAAATTTTTTTTCAAGTTACAATAAAACTAAATTCAATATTCTGCAGCAAACCCTGACTCATTATTTTTTTGTAGTGGTATTCAATTTTTACACGAAATTATCATAATTGTTTACCACGAATCGCAAATCCAGCGAAAAGAATTATTTACTATTGAATACGTTTCAGTTTTGTTTTGCTCTCACACCCCTTACAATATTTTTGTGAGTGGGTTTTGTTTGGAATAAAACCAGTCATTTTGTAAATCCAATTGCGAACAACCTTCAATTAACCAGAAGCCTTTTATATAATTGAAGGGGCGCCATCCATGTAACATGTAATCAAAGCTTGTGGGCTCCATTCATATGATTTTTCTGTAAGCACTCTGTTGAGTGACGTGGAGCGCATATTCTGGTTTAATCAAATCAAGAGGTTTTTTTTTGAGCAACAAAAAGATAGAGTGGCAGAATAGAATTCACTTATAGCTGAATTGAACTTGCATTCGTGATTTCCATTAAAGGAACTGAGGGGCATTAGTATAATGAGTTTTTTGATCCCTTTGCACAATATTGCCACAAGTCGTCACGTCAAAAGCGGTTACTTTGCAATTTCAAAGAAAAATGTGTATTTTAAATTTGAATAAGTAGGCTCGTTAAAAATAATGGGGCTTTTTGAGCGAACGTTTCCGAAGACTCCCTGCGAGCACTCAAGAAGAAACTGAGAAAATAACATAAAGGTGAATGATTTTCCAATATCTTTTGTAATGATATTTTCGGCTTAAAATAGAATATTAATTTTCTCATCGCTCCAGGGCTTCGAATAGTGCAAATAAATACTTGAAATATGAGATAGTTTTTTTGGACCCTTACTCTTCCTCATTGTTTCCAATTCTACTATATTTAACTATTCATATAGTTGAACAAAGGCCATGCGATTAAATATACATTATTTTCTCAACAACGCGAAAAATCTCCACAATTTGTTCAACAGACACTTTCATTTCAATTATCGTCAACGCATTGTCTTAAATTACATTATGCACATTTTGTTCTCTAACTGACTAATTCAAGATTCCATGAGGTCTCGGCATTTCTTTCTGCTCTTCTTTACTGATATTTATGTTGTTATTTGCTCGTCCTCAAGACGAGTTTCACATTCTTCTCTCCATGCTTTTAAAATGAACTCACTTTACTATTTTGTTCTTCAAAAAAGAAAATCTTCGAGCAACCATCGACTTTTCCTAATCAAGTACGCATAATTAAGCCGGCGAGGGGCTGCAACGTGTCTCAAGTATTGTAGGGATTCATAACAAAGCTTCTCAAGTTTCTCACCGCATGACCAAAAAAATGAAAAATTTTTGCTCTTTTTCTTTTAGTTCATTCTGTCCTCTGCCTTTTAGGACTCCCCCCCCATATGGCTTAATAATCAGTAATGCCAAATATTGAGTCATCGTGCATCTCTTTTATGTAAATTTTCATGTTGAATATAACGAGCCTAATAATTTGACATCCCGTTCACCGGAAACACATTTGTCCACAAATAGGCACATAGTTGGCATTATTATATGTAGAATATACACATATACGCCGTTTTTGAAAAACGAAAAATTAAGATTGTTTACTGGATTTGTGCGAAATAATACACGATTTGATGAATAAAGTTTTTCAAAAATATTGCTCTGGAACGTTGATATTTTTCGGCAAAAGAGTTAAAAGTAGTTTCAATTTCTATTAAATAAAAACAAAAAAGCCAATTTGTCGATTTACACGAACCACTGTTTATCTCAAAAGTCTTCAAACAATAAAAAACGTGTAAACAATCTTATGCATGTTTTGTTTATTCTCAGTTGCTCAACTTTAAATTCAATTTCATTTTGCCGAACAAATAAACGAAACTGTTAATTAAAATTGAAATGAGGCGAGGTTGTTTATTTTCATGCAGATTTTCTATCCATACAAACATAGAAGCACGCAAAGCTTTTTTTTCTTGATTAAATGCTCTCGCTTTTCAAGGGGCAACCAAATTTCCATACGGACCCTGCCGGTCGACCATCAAACAATGTGCAACAACTCGCTGCTCAAAGATCTCTGTTCAAATGCCATAATAAGCATTTCTATTCTTATTTCTTATTTGCTTTTTTAGTATTATATGAAGAGACTGGAAACTCTGAATGTGGATGGGGGTGGGGGGGGGGAGAGAAAGGTCAGGAACTCCTTCTGTCTAGTGAAATAAATGTCAAGGAAGTTGACATCCCTTGTGTTTAGTCGATTTTCTATTTTAGATTAAGTGCGATGTTCGACCTGAGAACAATTGCAGAACAAAAAACACGAGTCTGCTGAAAAGAAACAATTGTTCTAAGTGATTTCATCTCGAACATACCTACTTTTGTGAAAGCCTATTTCTCGACGCATCTCAAACCTCATTAGAAAATAGTGGCCCACCAAAAAGTGCACTTTTGGTGATTCAATTTTGGTCGCACTTCACATTTCAAAGCAAATAATGATATGCAAACAATGGTTTATCTCCCCGTAATCCATCGCTTCAATCTTACAATGTGATTTTCTCTTATCATTCGCTGTCGCGCCAAAAAAAAAACCTCCGAAATGCGTTGAAAAAGATACACTTATCAGCGTGGAAAATTTGATTAAACGCGACAAGCACACACTCAGAAGTGAGCGACAAAGAATTTTCGACGAAACTCCAACTTTAATCAAAATTCTTTTCATTTTCGCTTCTTCTCTCTATCCCTTCAAGTGCATTCTAAAAAGCGTTTTTGTTGTTGTTGTTGATGTTGTGTTATTCGCAGAAAATCTTCGAGTTTTTTTTTAAACCAAACCCAATTCTAAAACATATTCTAAGTTTTCAATGCGTATTATATGTACATATGCCCGGGGTGAAGAGCACATAGATATTGAAATTCCAAAAACCAATTTCACTCCATCATTTCTCAATATTTGCTCACGCCCAGATTTCTATCATCCTTCTTCATTTTTATTTCTCGGTCTGGTTGCAATACTAACGCAAGTGTAGATACGTCACTATTTCACTAAAAAATGCATTAGGAACGTTCGAATTTATCTTCTTCTGAATTAGATGTGTGTGTGTGGAAGATACGAAGTTGGCATCACTTCATATACATTTCTTTATTTTGGAAAAATCCCAGAGTTGCGTTATCTTGTAAGTGTCGTCTCAGATTTTAAATTTTTTGGTTACCCAGTGGATTTCAGAAGGACAAAATTCAGCAACCGATCCCGCATGATAATTGCTGGAACTTGTTTATTGTATTCAAGTACAATGTAGTTGTAGATCTGGGGTCCTAATTTTCACGTGTTCTTACTTCTCACAAGTATTTCCTTACTTCAAAGACATTTTCGCCTAATTAGCTCTTCCCTCAAAAATCAATACAATCAGTTTAAAATTGATATTTTATTACTTGTTTTATTCCTTAATTATTACTGATAGGTTCTTTTGAAAATCCAAACATTATTAGAATAGAAAAATAACAAAATTATATATTTCTGGCATCAAAAAGCTGCGTGGGCATATATAATCAGACAAACCGCAGCAGTTTCTTTTCCGAAAAACCTATTTGCTCCGTAATTTTGATTAATGCTAGGTGTGCACATGGTTAAATATTAGTCACCTCATTGAATGATACGATTTTTAGACACTTCTATTTGTATTCAATTCTTGAGTCATCCAATCTTCTTAAAAGATTGTATGTCAAAAAGGAAATGGAATAAAGAAGAGGAGAATTTCGCATTTTTATTTGTGGACCATTGTACGATGACGTTGCTAAGGGGAATGTGTCTAGAAATGCGCTATACAATGATGTGTTCGTTTCTTTTTTGGGCCTCATCGTTTCTTTTCCGGCGAAAGGGTTTTCCCACTGATTTACTAATTATCCTTTTTTGGAAAGCCTTTCAATGTCGTCATTCTTGGTTCCGAAAAAAGGACAGACGCCAAATACCGCCTTTTCCCTCCTTTAATTGGTCAGCCGCTCGGGTCTCTCGTGTTCGAAGAAGATGAGAAGAAAACTAAGCGGCAGTTGGCAGTCATTTTTGGGGCGAATCTAACTCCAAGAACATCATGCATTCATGTCAAACATTTTTTTCAATTCCTATAATTCATCATTAGTATATATAAATTCATTTGTTGAAAAGTTCAATCTTGCAGCGTGACCAAACTTGCAAGCAAACAAAATGACGGAGTATAAGCTTGTCTATTTCAACATGATGGGACGCGCGGAGCCGGCTCGCCTCATTTTTGCATACGCCGGTGTCAAATACAAAGACGAGCGAATCGAGAAGGCCGCTTGGCCGGAAATTAAACCTAGTGAGTTGTGCTCGATGGGACTTGAGTCATGTCGATTTCAGCGACACCGCATGGCCAGTTGCCGGTTTTGCATGTCGATGGAAAGCAATTGGCGCAAAGCCGCACCATTGAAAGATACTTGGCGAAGACTTTCGGTAATACATTTCCATTTACTTTTCCCGCTCTGAAATCGTAAGAAAAACAATGTATAACCCATCTTAATCCCTTGAGATTTTAAAAGGATTATAATATCAAAGGAGGGCTCACATAAATAATTTATTGTATTCCAAAAAAGGGTAGATATTTCATCATTTTTTGGTGTTAAACATTCAACCTTTAAACTTATTAAACGGGATTATGTTTATAGAAGGATTGCGGAAGTTGGCTAAATTTAATCGCCCACTCGTCAACCATTTTTACATACAAATAATTTGAAAATAAAACGAGCTGTATGAATGCTAATTTAAAGGACTTGCTGGAGATAACGATTGGGATGCAGCGAAGATGGATGAGCTTGTCGCGTGCGTCGAGGACTTTTTGATCCAAATTCAACCATGGTTCAAAGAGCAAGACAATGCGAAAAAAGTGGAGATTTTCAAGGAGCTCATTGAGACCACCATTATTCCATTTATTACTGCTTTTGAGGCATTGCTCCAGGCTAACGGAACTGGATATTTTATTGGTGACAAGGTATTTATAAATATTTGAAAAAAAAAATTAAAAAAACATATTTTGTAGCTCTCATACGCAGATCTTGCTATCTTCCATATCTTCTGGTTCATGAACACCAAAATCTTGCCAGGAGCTCTTCGCAAGTATCCAAGCCTCAATGAGTTTGTTGAAAAGATCGCTACAATCGACTCGATCAAGAACTGGATCGCGACTCGCCCAAAAACTGAGGCATAAATATCGCGCAACGTTTCTTTTTTTTCATGTATCGACCATATGCTTATTGTTTTTTTCTTAATAACCAAATATGTAGGCATTGTGAACCAAATGTATTTTTGTGTAAGATCTCGCATAGCCGAACCAATCATTTTATTCGTATATATCGCGCTTCAGAGACATTTTTTGAACAACTAATAAAGCATACCCTGTTATTTTCGAACAATTCATTTCTAATTGGCACCGAAGAACAACAGACTGGCACGGTTATAATCATTAATTATAGCAAATTATTCAAATCCTGGCGGAAAGTCGTAGTGGAATAAAAGGAAATCGTGAAAATACATTCGCACGATGTACTCCAGCAAGTATGGATTCTTCAACAGCCTGCAAATCGAGCATAGTTTGCTAAAAATAATCTTTTAAAAACAGGGTTTTAAAACCATTGTATGAGATCCTTGAGAGTTCCGTATTCGGGTTGTTTTGTAACAACAACCTCTAATTTCACAATGAATGACAAAAGTCAATCAAATTTTGTCACAGCTAGTTATAAACTTATATTGTTCAGCCTTTTGTAAATATTGAACATTCTCATTTTGATTTCCATATAATTGTGTTCATAGCCATGAATTGTTAATACCTGGTAGAGTAATATCTGTACGCTGGCGACTGGCTTTCATCCGTGTTTGGTTTTTGCTTGAACTCATCATCGATCAGGTTTCTATCGAACTTCGGTACCTGTATGCCACAACCAACCAAAAATTCCTCCGAAATATTTGAAAAATTACATTTTGTTTTTGGAGAATGTCTTGAAAATGCGGCAACACCGTGTTTTCTGCATCTTGAGAATTGTAATGGAGGAATTCGAACGACTCAATTTCGTTATTCAAGTTGCACTTCCTAATATAACACGATTTTACCAACAAAAAAAAAGTTGAATTTATGAAGAACTCACCAACTTTGCGGAACAAAATATCTATCTTCCAGAGTTAAATTTGCAGTTGGTTTATTCGAAATATACATTAACCTTTCGTATTCTTTCTGGATGAAGCATGTCATATTATATTTACATCCAAAGCACTGTTCTTCCATAGAATGAACAGGAAGCTGGTACCTAAATAATAGTTACTTTAATTTAATGATTTTTTGAAGAGTATCGCATATTGCTGATTTTTACGAATTTTGTATTTGAATATTTTTTAGAAAATAGCGTTTAAAATTTAGTTATGTCATATTAATTTTTTCAAACAAAAAATACCTTATACATCTGTCAATAAATGCATAAATGAAACGATCGATAGGGTGCCTTGTAACCATCAAAAATGCCCATCCACTGTTGACATAGGTTATATTAAATTCTCTGCGCACAAGAGTCATATTGAAGTACTCGTTGGCCCCATTGCACATTCTGAAGAAATTTAAATAGTTTAATTCGGGACATTGGAAAATAACGCACCCATATTGATAGCTTTCCTGGAAATTATTGTATTTTTCAAAGAATATTGATTGATTATATAAATAACAAAACGATCCTTCCATCATTGTTGACATGGCATATTCATTAACACAGTTAAGAACTTTGTATTGAGGTGAAACCTGATTAAAATTGTAATATTGCCCGTCAAAATATAAAAAATCTTACTAGAATTTTTGATTGCATGTTTATAAACTTCCTAGAGCAGATATTGCTATTATTCAGTTTTTTGCATAATGTTTGAACTGTATGGTTATTATTTCTATTAGGAAGGTCCTAAAGAAACTTCATAGTTAGAGTTCAATAATGGATTATACCTCACTATTTGATTCGAAGAATAAACCTAACTTGTTTAATCTTGGATGATCTTCTGTCAAATTCTCTTTTTCCTTAGAATGTCGCATTTTTCGTAAAGAAATGCCGCTTTGTATAAGTTGCTCATCATACAGGAAAAAGAAGAGGAAAGCAAAACACATGCAGAATATCAATGGTTTGTTATTATTATTGTTAGGGCACATGTTTTAGTTAGCCAACTAGAAATAAATACACATGAAAGGTACATTACAATACCAGGCAGCCCTTTTATGTAGTGTTCAGTAATCTTTCAATTGCTACGTCATCGGCTTAACTATAAAAAAAATGCATATTATTTTCATACTGTATATGACACTTGAATGGGTACAAATAATGTGGCTCGTTAAATTTCCATTAGAAGCCCGTTGGAAATGGGTATCCAAGAATGACGAAGTCGTAGTAGAACATCTTAATGACATATTCCATTAGCAGTGGGTTCTCTCGAAGCCTGAAAACAAGCATTGATGACGTCCGAGATATTACCGTATGAATTTTATTGGTTTGATATATGTGGCTCCGCCCCAAACAAGCTCCATTGTATAAGCGAGCTCAGTTGGTGAGCACTTCAAATTTGATCAAACGTCTTCGCTGCCGATTTGCATATTGGAACATCGACGTACCTCTTCTCGTAGAAGTCTCTCGCTGGTGAGTTCGCAGTCGTGTGTGTTGTCTTCCTATTCTTCGTCAGCTCTGATTTTATGTACTCTAACTCATTTTCGGGCACCTGAAAATTGTATTTAAATTTGCACGCATTTCGTTTCGACAACATTTCTTGTCACATGTTGTTTTCTATTATGAATATCAGCATTTTTTTCGTGAAATTTCGTGAGCTAAAACGAAGAATCGGGAGATTACCGCATTTTCCATATTTAACTGGTATTATTAGAGTTCAAATATTGAAGGGAACTCAATGTTTTTCAACACCATTTCGAACTAGTATATTTTTCGAGATTTGGAAATCGCGTTGATTTAAAAAAAGAAGTTGCGAAAAAATTTTTTTAATAATTTTGGATATATAAAAAATATTTTAATATAATATTTCGAATTATTAAAATATTTATCATTTTCATTAAGCACGATTACATAAAATTAATTTGTATACGGTAATGTTCTGAAACATTCAATAACTGAGAGTCTAATTAGTTCAAAATGTTAGAACTAAATAGAAACTAACAAACAAAATGAAAATAATTCTAAACCTTTTTTCATTTTTTTTTCAAAAAAACTGGAAACGGAAAATTTTTAACAGATTAGATAAACAACATTTACTATGCTTTGTTTTAGAAGCCAACATATCCAAAAGAAAACTCCATATTTTTAAAAAGCATTCTGCACAGAGTTTCCTCTAAAAGGACTTCGTTTATTTTATTTTGTTTTCAAAACCTTTATTTTTTGCATTTACCTTTTGCCTCCTTGCAATTTTGAACAAGTCTGTCATTAATTGTTGAGACGGATCGCTTGAATACCTAATGAATTCATATTTCTCCTTCATCGTCTTTAAATCGCATCTCCTAAATTTAGATTTTTTTTCACATTTTTTGGCCTTCATTACCAATTTTGCGGATAAAAGTGTCGATCCTCAATAGTGTTGACGAGTTTGCCCCGCCGCGTTTGTTTCTTGAATCTGGCATACTCCTTCAAAATGAAGCAAGTCATATTCTTATCGCATCCGTTGCATGTTTTGGGCCCCTCGGAAATTCTGAAACGTTTTCTCAATACTCTTTTACTGCGAATTGTCCATTATTCACGTGTGACCTTTTCTGCTTCAAATTTTATAAGGTTCAAATGAAATTGATTCAAACGATAGATTCAAACGTTTTTAATTACGATGATATATTGCTAAGCATTATTTATATAGCAATTTAAACTTCCAAAAGGGTTTGTACCTTATACATCTGTCCACATATCCGGATAAAAACCGCTCTACCGGATCTCTAGTAATCATTGATAAACTCCAGCCGTTCAAATCTGTAGCATTAATATCTATCAGCTTCTGCTTAAGGTTCGAGAAGGTGTTACGATTGTGACAAAGTCTGTAAGAAATGTTTGGGTATGGTATAGATAATTTTAGAAACAAATTATTTCATGAATGAATAGGTCCCCAAAGAACAAATTTATTTCTCAGACTCATAATTTTTCTATTTTTTTGAAAACTTACAATGCCTTATCCCATTCAGTCATATTCATTTGTTTGTCGACTTTTACAATGTGTTTCCTATTGTAAAGGTAGCACATGATGCCCGTAATGACCGTTGACATGCTTTTATGAACAACACAATTTATCATTTTGTAATCGGGTGCAATCTGCAATATGGCTCCCGGCATCAAAAATATTGGGATGAATTCTATTGGGAAAACTCACTCGGTAACGAGTTTCATGCCGGAACGCAGAAGATAAGCATAAATGTGTACCTTCACATAGTTTTCCCGCCGTGATGTTTTTGGCTCGTGGAGGAATTGTCTGAAATTTTCTTTTTACTGAAAGTAGAAATTGACATTTCTAGAAGATTTAAATTGTTGGTCGCATTACATTACACAATGTTTTTTCAATTCATTTTCACTTATGTGAAATTGTGTCCAATTAATAGGAACAGAATATATGGCAAACATTGTAAAGCTTAAACATTGAAAATACCATTCAAATTTTTATAAAAATTTTTCAATCACAATGTTGGTGTTGATATTCATAATTTTACATAGGTTGCAAAAAAAGGACGAGATTTCAAGTTGATCTATGTAATATCCGCCGTTATAAAACTCCAATACTATCCAGGTCATAGATCACCTTTTTGCGAACAATTCAAAGAAAATAAAAATAACAAAAAATTGTACAAAAATTTTTCAACGATTATTAAACAGAACTAGTTATTCTATAAAGGGTTTTTCTTTAGATATACATATTTTTACATTGTTCCTTCCTTTTTCTTTGCAATGTCGTGATTTAAAAGAAGCTCAAAATTTTCGCCCCCTATGACCACGCGCTAGTAAATTTATGCGGTCCCAAGAGCAAAAAATGGAGTGGTAACTGACACTCAATGAAGGTGGCCTGTCGTTTTTGAATCATGTGAACATTGAAATTTTTTGTTGAAGAATACTTACATCGCTATTTTGCCGTTTAATTTCATCCATACCAGAATATAGATTGAAATATGTCTTCTTCTTTTTAGTCATATGTCTTCTCACTGGTATTCTTTCAGGAATATCATAATCATCTTTTTCTAAAAACCGGAAAGAATTTTGCGATTCATTTGCTAGAATAAGGCAGAGAATAACGGCGAGTAGAAAAGCGAGAATTTTCGGCAAATAGTTCAACATGCCGCTGCTGGTCAACTCAATACAATAAAGTTTTTTGAAGATCACTGTGCGCCGGTTTAATCCGTTGGTTAATCACATACAGTGAAATGGTTTTATTTACACATCCGTATCATTTTGAATCAAATTGATGAGTGAACGAGTGTAAAGATTAAATATGCCACGCAAAATGAGTCATTGTATAGTAACATTTGACTTAAGATATATGCACATAAATAAGTCATTAAAATTATTCCCCTCTTTGTTTTAATTTGTCTTTCCGGGTAACTGAGGCAAAAAATTTCTACCAATAAGTTATTCAAAAAATTTTGCCAAAATAATGGAGTACGTTAATTTAATTGCGATGTCTTCAAATATTTTTTAATTTCCCAAAAACAATTGTTAGGAATAGTGAAAAAAAGTTTAGCCTTAAATATTTAAACTATTTCAATTAATCTTTAGAAAAAGTACCACAAGAGGGTTTTCCACTTTGAATCAAATGTATCTGATTTTTGAATTCTTTAAAGTTAATATCTTCCAAGAGAAAAATTTGTGCTCTAAAATGAGCTGCCAATACTCGTTCTATTTATAAATACCGACAAAAGTAAAGCAAATGATCTTAATCATATTGAGATAATAAATCCTTTCTTCTCGTTCAAATACACACAAAGGCAGGGTTAATTGCTTTAAAGGGGCTGATTCTTGAAGCCATCCCTTCCTCCCCCGAAATTAAATAACGCTGTCATTGTCGAACTTTAGTTAATTCCAATATACACTAATAATACGGATATTAAAAATATTCTAGTAAACGATTTATTTGTTCAAACGCTCCATCCACATCTGAACGTTTCAATAATGGGAAATGTAATAATTTAAACGTATACAATTTCTCGACATAGTGGTGTCTTTTTTTTATTTCCGTGGTATTCAATTGCATTGCTCAATTCATGTTTAGTCTTCAACATTCAAACTGCTCAGCCATAGAAAAAGTTGAGAATATTCCAAAATGTCTCCGAAACGTTCCACTCATTTATCTTTGTTCCAGTGAATCTCATTTTTCAAAACATTGTTTGTCATTTTTCAACAGAGCCTAGAAAATGGCAACTTTTTGTGAAATGTTGCCAGTTTTTTGAGTGGCGCTGTATGCATGTCCTCTATGCGGACAAATTTCAAAACCATGAAGAAAACGAAAAGTGAGTGCAGTTCTCCTGGGATACTTTTATCACCTTCCTTCTCTGGTCATTTTTGTGTTGTATGTGTGTGTGTGTGTGTGTGCACGAAAAGATTTCCTCGTTTGAATTGCAATAAATCCGTGGGCTGCAAAATTTTTTTGCCAATGTTTCGATGAATGTCGCATTTTATCGGAAGTCCTGGCATTCCTCTAAAATTTCGGAGTTTTTTTTTTCAAAATACGTATACTTATCTCCCAAATATTGTCTGAAGCTTTAGGATAAAGATTCCTATCGTATTCCATTGCATTTCAAGCAAAAATCAAAAAATTGGTTTTGAGATGGTTTAATTTTTTCCATGCAAATGCCTACCATTAAGGAAAAATTAGAATATTAGCTTGTTAGCTTTGTTTGTTTTGAAGACGTAATAACGAGATGCTTCAATTGTTCATTTGAGCAATTTGTACAACCCTTTTTGTAATTTCCAGAAGCCAAATGTTCACTTTTTTGATTATTGGTTAAGTAAGGAAAATTTTTGTGATTTTGTTTATTGCGATGTAACATTTCTCAATTGGTGCAGGTTTCGCTATGAGAAAATAATATAGGTAATATTTTAAATTTAGTACGAACACATACAAGTACTATTAAAAGCTTAACATTTATTTAAAGTTTTGCATAGACGAAAACCGAATTTCGGGAAAACAAGAGCTTCGGAAACAACTTATTCCAAATTGTGGGTTTGCTTCTTATTTGTTTTTTTCAAAATTTCTAGCCATGAAATTTTGAATTGCAAAATTTGACTATTATTTATGCGAATTATTTATTTATAATATATTGATTAACTAATTCAGGTGCATTGATCAAAATACCGCACATTTTTTTATTTTTCTGTTGTTATATTCCCCCAAAATACATCACATTATATAGTGAAATTTATTGGGGCAAATTCTAGTGATGGATTCTCGGGTCGGTGTCGAGTTGTCCGGGCACTCATTTATCTTGTTAGCAAATGGTTCAATAGTCAATCACTTCTCTATTTTTTCGCTACGGGAATCACAAGATCCATCTTATTTCAGCGCCTCATACTACAAGCGATTTATTTATTTTTGGCAGATTTCTCATCTCATTCCAATTGAAATACCATCGTATTCTTTCCATTCGCAAACGTCTTAGATTGAACTTCCTACTGCTGTCATTAAGTGAGTTCAAAGATATAAATATTCTCGACCTAATTAAAAATGATAAATGTGTTCTCGGCTTCGCGATATGTTGCCATTGGTCCCGGAGGGTAACTCAATGTTTCACGTTGGTTTATTTTCACGTGACGCTTGTTGTCGCATAGTATCGCAATTGGGACACAATACGTTTCATTGTAAACGTTGCAAAATCGAATAATACGTGCACTTTTTTCTGATGTAGCTTCTATTTCGACCAAATTTTGACGAAGAAAGTCCATGTTTTCGGCACGGGATTTTCTCTTTAGTTTGAACTATCATTGTTTTTTTATTTGCTATTTTACAAAATTAAATATCTTCAGAAATAATAAAAATATTATTTCTAATTATATAGTATATACGTGTTTTGGAAAAAAAAAACTTCTAGTGAAACGATGCTACAAATGTTTCGATACGTGAAGACAAAAATACACAACACCTATCCAAGCTCATCCCATTGCATTAAAGACCCTGTTGATCATTTTGTAGTGTTGCGTAAAGAGAGTCATCACGAAACAACTGACTGGGCAACTCTTTTTTTTTAGTTTGGACCTCTAACCTATTAATTTCGACGTTTCCCATTTGTTTTCACCGATGAGCTGATAATGTGACCTTCAATAAATACGTTTTTTTTTCTTGATTGATGGAGTGTCATCTGACAATTTAAATCAATTCCTTCTCTTAATTTCAACTTTTTTGTGGATGAACATCAAACAAAGATGAGTGTAAGGTAATTAATCGGGTTCGAAAGATGGATATTGTATGGAAAAAGTGCGTAAATCATCGAGGGGAGATTTCTCGCCAACAGCTGCTCTAATAGATTGCTGTTTTATGAAAACCCGTCAAGAGGCCATGCATTTTTTTTGATAACCTCTATTAATTTCACGCCTTTAATTCTTCATATTAAATAGAAAACAAAGAAGAGATTTCGGAGATTTGTGGAATTTTACCTGAGCTACTACGAAAATTTGGACGACCAATCAACATATTCCGTATTGAACCAAGTAATGAGATTGTTTATTCAACAACTTGTTTTGTTCTTCCACTTTCATTTTTTCATTTCATTTTGTGTCTAAGAGCTCAAAATAGATTCGTTCTAGATTTTTTCCAGAGAGAGAAATGAGCCGTTTTCCAATACTCTCAAGAAAAAGTCAAAATCGTCATTTTACTACCTAGTAGAAAAACGAACATATGTTAGATATGCTAATAAGTTGGGTATCTTCTCAATTTCTCAAATCCTATACCTGATATTGTTAATATAATTTTATAGAAAGAAGACTTTTAAGAAATATTATTTTAATTCGCAGAGACTATTTTTATGTTAAAACTCTTCGTTAGAACTTTGTTTCTGAGTTTAATTTGTTTAATTAATTTTTTTATTATGTCAAGTTGATTTTCGGGTTCCTTATACGTTTAAAAAGGATTTGTTCCAAAAATTTAGGCCTTTGAATCAAAAAAATTATTTCTTTAATATTAAACTCACATATCAATATTTTGTCTTATTCTTTGCTTTTTAAAATATTCTTGAAGGTTTGAAGACAACCTTAAGTGCACCAAACACTCAACAGTACACAAATCTTATAAACCAATTATGAATTTTTGACATTTTTGTTTTCCAAATACTTAACTCTTAAATCGAAGTAATTCAAATATATGTGTAAAGAGGATAATTAATTGTGCAAAATAAGTGCGCAAACCAGCTTGCCGGAAAATAAATATCAGCCTACTCGTCATCCGTTCATCATCCTTCCTCTTTTCCTTTTTTTTCATTTCTGTTTTCGTTTGCAACCCGCCCTCCTTCAACCCAAATATTGTTCGAGACTGCATAGTGCTTGTTAAGCTTCCTGCCAGTCAGTCAAGGTCCCTTAAGTATTTGAGGAGAAGCAAACAAAACCAACAACAAAAAACCCTATGTTATTCTAGTCTTAACTATTAGATATTCTTAACTACCTATTCTATACATAATCACCATGTACCGACAACAGAGCTCCTCGACTATTCGACGGGCGCGATTTGATGCTGTCAATTGCGTGATGTATATGAACGGTTATCCGCAGAATGACGCGATTCCACACAATCGACATGATCGTGAAAGCAAATTGACACGAAGCACATCGACGATTGATAGCAGCGATTCGGCAATTCGGAAGCTCAAGCGTGAGAATCACCACCTCAAAAAGACGCTTTCGAGAAGATGGTCGTCGCGTAGCAGGTATCATCATGTACATTCTCTGAGAATGTGTTGAACAAAACAATTATCGCAGCTAGATATATATAAACAAGGGAGCTTCTTGTCGAATGTAAAATGAGGGCAGATAAACTAATAACAAATGTCGTATGTGTGGTTTTATAATGCATTGGACGCGTTGAAAAAATCTTCTCGCAATTTGAACAGAGTAAATAAAATTGGGGGTTTTTGGAGACTTAAGGATGCTGTGAAAAAAACAAACTTCAGAGATTTGAATTCTAGGTAATGTGATGACGATGTTCCCATTCTTTGATCGAAATAAGGCCAAGATCAAATCAGAATGCGACAAGGCGGGATAAGTAAATTTCGGCGAAAAGTTATTGTAACGAACTGAGCTCTCTAAAATGTAATTTTCGCTTTGGGATTTCTTTTTGCAAAAAAAAAGGAAATTTTTGCGCATTCGGCATTCGCTATGAAAGCTACCGTAATGGTAATGGAGCATCAATTGCTATTTCCGCCAAAGTTCTGCCGTCTCAAAAGAGGTAGCAGAATTCCAAGGTACATTTGAGTTATTTTTGGTGTGAAATTCGAGAATTTTGGTTATTTCCCATCAGAGTTTACAAGTTTCAAGTTAAAACGAGCCCTTTGGGGGAACCCTCGTCATAATATAATGGGTTAGAACCCGTGTTAACGTTTTCTCCATTCAAGACCCGTTTAATGATAAACGTCAAGGAAAAGATAATATGACTCAAGAGAGATTTGCTATCTTTCAGCTTTTTTTTTTCTCTGTATAGCGGAGGAAAATATGTCACAAACTGTGCTGACACCTCCTCACGGGCCCAACCCTCCGAGCGACAAACAACCACACCATCAAAAAATTTGTACCTTTGTTGCATGCGGCTGGCTCAACTTTGAACAAAACTCGAGGTTTTCGAAAATTGATTGATGAGCTCAAATAATGATAGCTCGAAGTTTCTCTTTTCATTGGCTCAGGCTGCTGCCTGCAACCGTCTAATTTCTATAGCCTTTTTTTTCTTGCTAACACCCACAACTCATACCAATCGTTTGTTGTGAACGAGAAAACGCCAAAATAATTGTGTGCACCAAATCAACATATACATAGATTTCATCATCAGACATGCGTACATATGTGAAAAAAATCGGAAAACACTATCCCTTCATCAAACAGATGTGTGCATCATTATAAAAAAATAAACAGAATTCGTTATCTCTTCAGCAACGATTTTTTTTATTCCAGAAGTTCAATGGCTTCTCAAATGGTTATTTCCGACGACGAGGAAGATCAGGAGGACGTCGACGACAGCCTTTACCTTTTGAGAGTGAGTTTCAGAGAGTATTGGGCAAGAATTACATAATGCTTTAGGAAACATCCACTCTTCACGGCCTCCGTGATGTTCTTCTCTCTTCCTCAAGCCATTTAAAGTCCGTGTGGGTTATGATAGTGGTGATGGCAATATTTCTGACCCTACACGGTTGTTATCAAATCCTTCAAGAGTATTCTCTACGACGAATTGTGGTTTCCTATTTCATTCAGGAAGCAGGTTTTTCATTGGTTTTCGCCATGTGTCATTTTGTTTGATTTCGTTTTCCAGCCACTCTCCCATTGCCCGATGTGGTGATATGCCCTTACAATCGTTTCAACCGCTCATTTCTTGAAGCCAACAATGTCTCATTTGAGCTCGCTCAATATCTCGAGCTCTCATACCCATCATTGGAAATGCCATTCAATTTTTTGCGCGACAAACAAAATGAAATCATCGATCACGTGGATATGTATGACTATGAGCTCGAGCTTCTCCTTCAGAAGATGGGAAACGTTTCATATGTAAATTTTTTGCAACAAGCAACATTGGGTTGCGAGGCGTTCTTTAAAGAGCCGGGAAGATGCGACAACATAACGGAGATCATGACGTCGGCAGGGAAATGTTTTCGATTTCCTGGATCGCATCAGGTGAACCAAACGGGAGAAAAAAGAAACGTTATTAATGAGCGATAAATGCAGGAAGCGAGTGGCTTTGGAAACGGTGATCGATTGCTCATTCATTTGCCCGAGGAGTTGTATAATCCCGGTTTGTGATATTATCATCAGCTTGTGATTTCGACAAATCCATAAAAAAATGTAGATCAAATTATTTTCAAAATATAAAAAAAGTAAAAGAATAGATATTTGAAAAAAGAAAAAATATTGATAAACCCAAAACTTCTTTAAATTAGGTTGAAAATTTTTTTTAACTTGAAAGAACGCCCATTACAGGAGTAAATCAAATGATCAATCACGGAGTTATTGTGAAACTCGCGGAATCCGGAAAAGGAATTGACAATGATCTTACATTCTTGCCAGCAGGCTTGTTGAAATTTTCAAGAAACATTTTATTTTTACATTTTTAGGTGTGCATGCAATCATGCCTCTTCTGGGAACCCAATACGAATTCATGCATGATCCTCCTCGATATGAATGTGAGGAAGACAAAAATGGGTCTTATAGCCGAGTATGGTGCTATGAAGACTGCCTGACCTATGAAGCCCAAATTCGGTGCAATTGCTCTCCAGCGGCAGCTACTCATCCAGCTCATCCCAATAGTATCTGTACTGCCAAACAACTTTACCACTGTTTCTTCCTCTCATTGTTTGATAAGTATGATACAAAAGTTGCTGAGTGTAAGAAAAGATGCAAACCGCCTTGCCATGCTTGGTCATACCACAAGCAAGTCAGTTATTCTACAATCCCGAGCAGCACGGTAATATTCGTAATATTGTTCTTATTGGATAATGTGCAATTTCCTTCTAGACACTTTTAATGATGGAAAATGAGCAGGAGTGGAATGAATTGAAATCGATGATTGTTCTCGATGTTTATTATTCCCAGCTGGATTACACTATCATTAAGCACGTTATTGCAATGCCACTTCAAAGTTTGATTGCGCAAATAGGAGGTAGATAGAATGGCAATTCTCAGAAATTCAAATATTTTAAATTAAGGCCAATTTTCGTTGTGGGCAGGTGGCTCATTGATTTCCTTGTGTCAAATAATCATTTATTTGTCACGCTTTTTCTTCCACAGGTTTGCCAGGTTCGCTGTTGTAACACATTTTTCAAAACGTTTCTGCACATGCACGAAATAGTATACATTGAAAATAGAGAATCATTGTTTCTTGTGACACTTTAGACCCTATCATAATATTTTTATACTAAAATTGATTAATTGACTTCCATTTTTCAATTTTCACATTTTTCAGATGCAGCATGAAGAAGCGCCGAACAAAAGCACCAAAACCTGCAAATTCGCAGCCCTCTTCTCCGGAGAAGTGCAACGGAAAACCGCTCAATATGGAAATTGTCAAGCGCAATAGTAACAGTATGGACGGTAGCGCAACGCCCACCTTATGACATGAGGGCTGGAGTTGTGTGGAAGCCACCATATAAGGAAAAACAAGCACATCATCAGTATAATGCATATGGGTTTCCCCAACAGCTCCAGCGATCTATTACATTTTTTAAAATAATTTTTCCTTATTTTTGCCTGCTTAATTGAAAAAATTAAATTGTTATACAAAAATGTGATACAATGTAATAGTTGTTACCTTGCTTGAGCTCATACTGATCGTGACCAACTATAAGCTTGTCGTCCTTTACGAACCAATAATGCTAAACATTTTTGTACGGTTTCAACTCGCGTTTGAAGTTTCCTTCTTCTCCCCTCTTCCAAATCATTGACGCGTCCTCGCCACCATTCTTCTTATCTTTGCCTCCGTCTAGTCAATGTCTAGTATTTTCTGTACATTCCGGCTTCATGATTCGGTTTACATGTCGTCATTAGTTTCGTTTTTGTTTTCCGTTGCCGTTGCCGCACACGCTGTCGCTGCTGCTGCCACCAATAAAAATCTTGCGCTCATGGCTTGCATTTCTACTGTAATAACTAAGGCTTTGCTGCTCAAACAGGGTTAATGCATGCTTGCTGACGTTCTTATGATTGTAACAATTTTTACGCGTGTGTCTTTGATTTTTCTTTAATAAAGAAACGTAGTAATCATTTGCGTATCTGGGACACAATAAAAATGGCAATTTTCAATTATGACGACAATGATGTCAACAGGTATAACACCCATATAAGGCGCCTAAGCGACATGTTAATATTGCAAAAATGGACATCATGTGTATAAATTTTCAAGAATGCACGTTTTGAAAGTTGTTGCGCAGGTTCTTTAATTATTTGAAATTGTGAAAGACAGACTTAAAGATACTCGAATATACTTTTTCTATTCATCTTTAACTATAAATGATCAAATAAGACAATTCAATAACAAAGATCAATTTATGATCGAATGTTGATATTAAAATTGTTTAATAATTTTTTATCTGTCAGCACACAGTAGTACAAGCCTAATTTCTTTTTCAAATAAAAATTTATCATTTCACTAAATGTTCTTTTAATTTCTTATTGTGTGTTTCGTTTAAATCTATTTCCTCTAGATTTTTCGACCACAATTTGAATGCAAAAATACAGCAAAAAAGTTGTTCAATGTGATATTTGCAGTTTCTATGACCTTTTAGAATGCACATTTCGGTCATGAGTCAGAATTTAAGTACTAAACAATTTCAGTTTTACAGTCATGTGACTATTTGAAAAACAAATATGAACGGAAAATGTAAATAAAATAGGCTTCTTATAGTAATTATAATGATGATGATACCAATAAAATTGTTTTGTTTGTTCCAAGCAACCTTTCAGCAATCTTTCCAAGAATCTTTTTAAAATTATCTGATGCTACTTTCAATTTTTAGTATAAAAACTGATTGTTTTTTTTCCTTGATTTTTGTCTTAGATTTCGAACACACACTCCTTTTTTATTCTAGTGAAAACCATTAATGAAAAACTCATGACGCAAAGGAAGAGAGGAGAGCAACAATGGGAGGGAGTTCCCTTCTGTGGCGACGCCATTGCCTTTGATTGTTTTCCCCCCAGCCACCCACATAAAAGGCGGTACAACAAAAATGCAAATAATCCCGCTTCAAACCCATTCTTATGGTACTTTGATTATCAATAACACATCGTTCTCGCCGGCGTCTCGACGATCGCACAAACAACATACCCAGCCATATTTTATTTTCATATTCAATCCATTCACCAAAAATTTGGTTTTAGGCGGTCACAAAATTTTTTTTTGGATGAAATCGCATTGGTTGCTGCGTGGCACATCAAAAGTTGGCATTGATAAGAAAATTATTTCGCAAACTGATATTCCCAAATGCCTATTCTGCTCTTATCTTATGGTTCTCGCAATGAACTCGCATTGGTCTTTTGCCTTTTACATTTATGTACGATTGCCATTTTGCGGCTATTTTCAAATTGCTCATAAGAAGAGCTATACGTTGAATCATTCTATCACGCCAATTTTCGCATTTGTTTGTCTTCAATTTTACGATATATTTATGTTCATAGCGTATATAGAATGTTCAGGCATGTCGCGTGTTGGATCCGTGAGCATCAACTTGGACGACGTGTTCGGTGCCTTGCCACCCGTCAACGTTACCAACATTGAAGTAAAATTGTTTTTTTTAGGGGCAATAAATCAAATAATTGCAGCCTGCTGTAACCACTCGCAAATCAACTGAGTCCAATGTTTCCACTGTGAAAGACGCAAAGGTGAATTGAATTTTAAAAATTTTACAATGACTTATATTAAGATCACCTCATTCGATGAAACTTATGTAACCCAAACCGTCACTACAAACTATCTTCCTGAGACTGCTCCAAGATACAGCTTTCATCAATACGATGAGCCACCAAAGCAAGATGATGGGCTATTGGATTCGGTAACCGTTTTTTTCAAGAAAACGTGGTCAGGTTCTGTCGTATTGAGTGCTCAAGACTATCATAGAATTCAATTTTAATGCACGCTGAACAAAAATGGGCCACGAAGCAACCATTTTTAGATTTTCGGCGCTGTTCAACTACCTGAGGTACATTTGAACAAGCATCATGAGGCAATTCGCCAGATTGACGACGTGCTTGCCGCAGAAGAAACCGATGGTCGGGAATCGATCGTCAGTGAGCCAAACTACAGAGCTCCGAGCCACGTGGCTTCTTCGAAAGTCTCTTCGCATCCAGCATCTCATGTGAGCTCAAATGCTCAGAAGTCCTCAGCAGTTTATGTCAGCGAGAATCATCCGCAAAACACTGGAAGTGTTCATAGCTCGCATGTGGTACGTATGTATGTAAAATTGAAAGAAGCACACAATTCAAATTTTGTGTTTGCATTAACATTCTCTCTCCCTTTCAATTGAATTGAAACGATAAGCGATGATAGGCATTGTAGAACACTAGCGTTGGCAAATAGTGCTGAATTCTGCACATGAAACGAAAGTACATTAATCACCGTCTTATCTTCATTGCACACCCTTTTTATGAACCTCGGATTTTCTCATTTAACTGGTTTTGATTGACAGTGTTGCTTTAAATAGTTTATATGTAAATTAGGAAGAAAAGTATCAATATAATATATTAACTGTTTTTTTTTTTAGTATTCTTCTTATGCTCCAGAAACTCATGACTATGATGATGAAAAACATGATTTGTTCGATCACGCCTACAATTACCAGCAGAGCACTCGTAAGTTCTTGTTCTTATTCAAAACTTCTGTGAACAAAGAAAACTATTCAAACATCTCCCACGGGTCGTAAACCATTGGTCAAAACGCACAATAAAATCGATTATCGTAGCAAAAAAAGAGTTGTCCTTTTTTTTTTTTCAAATTGTGAGTCATTCTTCTTACTAGTATTTCCTGCAAAACATTTACGCTAGAAAAAATAACATACACGAGGTAGTTACACTGTTGCTTAGTCAGCTAATTAGTAAAAGTTTTGAAGCAGAAATGTTCAAATTTCAAAAATGTTCTTTATTTTCCTATGCTTTTTACAGATATGCAACGCCGTAGCTCTCGCGCAAACACCATCGATAGCGCCGTTTCGTATTCGGAAAGTCGTATTGGACAATTTGATGTGGTCCATGATGATAATGTAAGCAGATGCCTTATCAAAGTATAAGATATATAATTGTTGCAGAGCTCGGTGATGAACCTGAATCATGATGAGGTTGCTTATAACCGTGTCAGTAATTTTACGGTATTCCTACTCCCCAGTCCGAATCATAATAGCCTTATAATTTTCAGACTCCTCAGAGCACTATTTCAAAGAAATCGTACAAGTCATTCCACACTGGGGACACCGCGAAACTTCGTCGTATCAATATTGAAATTGCGAATGCTCATTCCAAGCGAAGCCAATTGTCGAATCAACTTGACCGTCAGAAGATTGACATTGAACGCTTGAAGCAACAAAATTTGGCTCTTGAAGCAACTCTTAAAGTCAACAGAAACGGAAATGTTAATAAACCAGTGGCCTACAACTACCGTTCCTACAGCCAGGATAATTCTTCTTACCATACTGCGAAATCTATTACGTCGCATCACTCAACAAGTAAACTAGTAATGTATTTAAACAAGAAATAACACTAGATTTCAGAAAGTGTTGATTCGAGCATTTACGAGGAGGAGGAAGTACGTGTGAGCCCATTGGCTGCTCGGCAGAAGGCTGCCGGAGAACACGTAATATTGAATCACTGAGAATTCACTCTTTTTAATTAATCAGTTTAGATTGCCACTCATGGGAAATACTCTTTGATTGTCCCACAATATTATGTTGTTGATAACTTTTCCGAAAACAGCAAGATCAATAAAGTGGTTATTGGAGGAGACGCGAAGCCAACTGATGATGACAAGGTAGACTTATAGGCTTAACAAAAATAGTGAGGCAAAAAGAATATTTTAGACAATTCTTCTCTTCGGTCCCATCGGATCTGGTAAAACATCAATTATTGCAAGCATGATGAATTACCTTTATGATGTCAAGAAAGAAAATGACTTCAGGTTTTCAGCTTATCAATTTAGGAGATCAAAAATAGGACTTTCTAGATTTGTTCTTGATGAGTACGTTAGCCACACCACCGGTCTCACAGCATACGTTTTCAACAACTCGGTTCTTTCGTATAACGTCACTGTTGTCGATACACCCGGAATTGTTGACAAGATGGGTGATAAGACAGTTTCTAAGCTTATCAAACAATGGTTTGAGCAAGTAAATCGTTATTCCCATTTGTTAAAAAAATTATATGAATGCTAGGAGCTCTTGAGAGAGAAGGCTTTCCGCCTTGACGCCATCTCTATCGTCCTCAAGCACGACGAGAGCCAACTTGGATGGCCGTTCATTTACGAACTTGCCGATGTTAAAAAAATGTTTGGTGATGATTTGAAGACCAATGTTATGCCAATTATCACCCACGCCGAAGTCTTGCCCCAACCAATTGCTATTAAGAGTCTCACCCAGGCCAATATCTCATTCTTGAATTATTACAAGGTTAACAATGCTGGATTTTCGACAAACCCAAAAGGAATCAACAAGTTGAAACATAACCTTTTCTGGACTCATGGAATCAGCTCATTGGAGTCCCTCTTCCAAGTACATAATTATTGTTTTGATAATTAATGTCTAATTTTTTAAAATTATCAGGACCTTCAAGAACAAGTACACCCATTGGTTGCCATTCTCAGACACAACAAAGGTCAGAAAGTGGAGCCATCAACGAAAATTGCGAATGCCACACTCTATTAGTTATATATATATATACAATTTCAACTATAGTGAAACCAAATTTGTGAAAGCTTTTATAATCAGAATTTTTTGAAAGTGTCTAGAATTTACTGTGTGAAAATATTTATATGACGATATTTATCTCAACCAAGAAGGTTTCCTTCAGTGCGGGTCATCGTGAGAGGACATTCCCCAAACCCGCAGCTTTTGGAAAATTATAAGAATTAATAACAAGACAAATGCAATTTTGAATTTAGGAAGATTGAAAATTTTTAAATACATATTTTATAAGTGTTCGCTGATTCGTAAGTTCAAAAATTTTGGATTTTCTTGGGCTTCATAACGATAGGACACCCACAGTTTCTTTTGCTTTTTTTCGCATTTTTTTTCGGTTTCCATTTACGATTTTTCAGGTTTTTTGTATTATGATTTTTATTTTGAGTAGTGAGTCCCTTGATAAATTGATAATTTCAATAGACAATAACGTTTTAAAACCAAATTTAATTCGACAAACCTTCAAGGAATATTAACAAGGAAAGTGTATTTACCTTGGAATTTTTTCTAAGTTTGTACACAAATGTAAATTCCCTGTCGAGTGTGCTATGCTTGTTTCTGCAAAGATTTCAAAAAGTCTAAAAAGATATCAAAAAGTCTAAAGAGATTTCAAAACGTCTACTTACATCGCCCAGAAAGCGTGTCAACCGCAAGTAGCGGTGGTATAATGGGCCTGCGTCTGTTATCAAGAAGTGATCACCTTACTCTCTAAATTTTTTTGCTATCAATTGATAAAACATATTTCCAAATTTTCAAGTTAAACGTTTAGAATAGAAAGAAAATCAACAATTTATACGATTTTTTTTAGGGGGGATGTGAATTTTATGATTCATAGGCGGGGGGATCCACTATTGTAATGAGTGGTTCATAAAATTCGCATTCCCCCCCCCCTAAAACTCGTATAAATTGTTGATTTTCTTTCTATTCTAAACGTTTAACTTTAAAATTCTATAAATTTGAAAATATGTTTTATCAATTGATTACAAAAAAAATTAGAGAAGAAGGTGATTCTTGATTATCAACGCACATCCGCTACTTGAAGTCTCCCTAAATAAGTGTGAGCAGTTGGAGGGTTTCAAAAAATCAAATCGTAACTCTGAAATTTTCTACTCAAAATTTTTAAAGCATATTGAAATTTCTGCAGAAAACGGCATAGCACACTTGATAGGGAATTTCGCGAACTATTTGTGTACACAATTAGAAAAATTCAGAACCCCCTAGGCTTACCTTGTATGACTCGATATTTTGCAAAAATCTGCAATGTAATCATAAAAATGCAAAAAGGAAAACATTGGGAGTGTCCCTATCATTGTGAACCGTTTGAAAATCCAATCTTTTTGGATTCGAGGGGTGTCCAAACATTATGATGCGCGCTGTTTATACCCATTCCAATTTTAATTTTTTTTTTCGAGTTTCGTTTCGTTAAAATTGTTTTGAAAAGCCATGACTGATAAAACAAAGTGTGTATCTTATTATGTCGGAATTGATGTTTCTTGTTCATTATTTTAATAAAGTGAAATGTTCGGTAAACAAAAAAACTTAATTATGTTCGTCCTTAAATTTAACCATACAACGCATTGTTAACAACACACTATACGACACACTGATACAATGTTCATTTATAATACGATTATGCAAATATTTGAATGTCATGTTGAATTCTCCCTAGATTTTTAATAATTGGATGAGAAGAATGGTTTTGATATTCTAAACATATCTTTTCATATGATGCAATTAGTTCTTTTGAATCGTTAATCTCCGAAATTTTCCCACGAAAACACGATTTTTTCGAAGATAGAGAGATGAGTGGAATCACATCATCTAGAACGATTCTCAATGTGATTAAAAAATGTACACCTCTTTAAATAAAAGATCATCTAAAATCAAGGTCATTTAAAAATGGTAAGAAAATGATATTTATTTTTCGAATAAAATATAATATGAACCAATGATCCAAATTAAAAGATATTTCAATATTTTGTAAATGTTAAATAACATATTCATTAGTGGACTTATTCATGAAATAAGATGTTTTAAAAGTTAATTTTCATTGGCACTTTTTTACATCACAGCATTAGAAAAAAATGTGTATTATTATTATTTTAATTGTATGAACTTCGAGAGATCATTGTAAGATCCCCAACGAATTCGAAAATGTTGTTCGTCGGCCATACAACATTTCTGAGGCACTCATTATAAGATATGGCCTCGTTTCGCCGCGAAATTTAAATAATCATCAATGATTTCCAATCGTCATTTCTGATCTACAACCAATTCTGCATTGAACAACGCACAATGATGGCGATGATTCTTTGCCATTCGTCATAACAACGAAAATGTTTCTCCCAATTTGGGCTATTGTCTTCATGATTTGTCAACATTCTTCTTCTCTCCGCTCAACGCATACATTTTTGTACACTTACGTGTCCTTGGCCTGACATGAAATTTCTTGATGATCCCGAGGCGATTAGTGACCAACCAAATTGGGCGTATCTGTTTTTTTTAAATCATTATCATCATCATCGCTGGCTGTTTATTTCTGTTCATCACTACTAGTTGGTTAAGTTTTGCTGTCTAACTTGTTGTTATCGCTATATAAGAGACTGTTTGAAGGCACAAGAGAGCGCGGTCTCGCCGAGAGACGAACGCGCACGTTTTTGATATCATCTCTGATTTGAATACCGAGTGACCTCTAAAATGGTTTCTTATTGTTTTCGTTGCCGATTGTCATTCAATCGTTTTCTTCATTTTTCATTGTTTCAGAAATTCGCGCCATGATCAAGCAGATTCTCATCGTTCTCCTCTCCACGATTATTTTTGTAAGTGAAATTCCCCCATCTTTTGTTAAAAATTTCAGAAAACATTTCTCGTTTACCTTATCACTCAATTTGTCAAAGAAAAAAAAACGTTCAGCAATCAATCTCATCTCTTTCAGGAAATTCAAGCAGACGTACCACAAAAAAATGTCAAGGAAACCGACAAGGAACACAAGGAACTGACCAAGGAGATCATGCAGGACATTCATACACACAAGGTACACTAAAAAAAATCAAATTCAAGAAAAACACCGGAAATGATATTTCAGGTTATGGTGTACAGTAAAACGTATTGCCCATACAGCAAAAAGTTGAAAAAGATTCTGGCTGGTTATGAAATTAATGATATGAAGGTTGTAGAGCTAGATCTTGCTGAAAATACGAGAGAGATGCAGGTAAGGTTTCTTTATAAATCACTTTAGCCAAAATATAATATAAAAAAATTCGAGTAGCTTTGAACCAAGATGCAAGTTTTCTTTTAAAAACTACTTAGAAACGTTACAATCGCCAAACAACGAGAAAACATTGTCAAATTATGGCTAATTTGTCTCTCTGTGGTATTGAAATACCCACTAGTTAAATTCAAATTCGAATTATTTAACTGAAAATGTGTTATGGTCCGCAATATCCCAGAGCGCACATTTCTGCTGCTATAATAATATATTGAATTAGAAATAATATTTATTCCAAATAATATTATTTAATCCACATTTTGATTGTTCTAGGACATCTTGAAAACACTTTCTGGAAGAACGACAGTGCCACAATTATTCATCAACGGTCACTTTGTTGGAGGACACGACGAAACGAGAGCGATCGAAGATAAGGGCGAACTGCGTCCAATGCTCGAAAAAGCGCACGCTTTGTGAGAATCTGATTTTTCTTTGTTTTCCGCATGTTTTCCCTTATTTCCACAATTCACAATGTTAAAAAAGCCAAAAAAGTAATACAAAGCATTAGAATGTCTAGATTTTTTTTATACCAGTACATAGTGTGTATATACTTATAAAATATCTCACGGAGATTATCCGAATGTCTGGAAAAGACTAATAAAAGCCAATTCAAATGCTGGACCATTTAAAAAATATCAGCGTGTGTTTTTGTTCGCTCGTTTGGTATGCATGGGTTTTTCCAATAAATGTTTATTCCTCCAGTTTCGTCATGAAAAAATTTTCCCAAATTTCAGATCAACTAACCGTGTGCCTATCGGGGTCGACGGTTCGTGAGTGCATGCCTTATTTCGTAAATGCTTAGTTTGAGTTGCTTGCATGTTCAATACAAATATAAGAAACGAGAAAAAAAAGACAAAAAAGAAAAAAATATTTTTCATTTGGTTCTGCTTTATTGTGTTGTTTTCTATTTTGTTGCATTCCGTCGCAAATTCTGTTCTGTTTTTCAGGTCCGCTAAAAACGAATTCTGAAGCATTGCAATCGGCAGCTGGACGAATCACATTCTTATCTTCCATCTCGCTTCTACTTTGTTATATAATTTATTAATCTGATTCATTCGTTTCTTTTTTGTGTTTAATTCGATTTTTGTTTGAAATAAATTTTTCTCGCCGTACTCGTGGTAATGTCAAGGTCACTATAATATATGTAATCAAGATAACTAGGTGTCGCACCTCCACATTCTCGTTCGACTATTATGCACATTTTGAGTGCTCGGCTGTGGTTTATGTCTGAATTTCCTTTTTAAATTATGTTAACCAAATTCGTATATGAATTATTTGAGATACAATATGCAAATTTTATAAATCGTTTTAGATTTTACCATTATCGATAATTGAATGAGAAGGAAAAAGTATATTTTATTAAACAATTTTACACCCAATTTCTCGAGTCTATTATTTTCGCGCATTTTTCTTCACGTATAATTATTCATACACAATTTCCCAAATTGGAAGCCATTTTCCCGCCCTTGACTGCGAAATAAGGCAATACGACTCTTATTTCTTATACGTAAACAGATAAAGTATACTTAGCAATAATTATTAGCAATGATGCCGTTAATTTCCTCACTGCTTGCGACGTTCTGACTCGTTTTTTAAATTTCAATTACTTTTCATTGAATATTATAGCATTTTGAAGTTTATACACATGTCTAGTTTATAATAGAAGAGAAACTTGAAAAAAATTTGCATACGAAACCGCGATCGGCTAGGGTATTGGCAGCCATTCTCTGCGCCTCCCCAATCCACCAACTAATTTTCGCGAATGTTTTTCGGACAGTCGAATGCGACCAGCGAGGACCGGTCCACACCGCCACCGTTTCTTATTCATTCTGGTCACTATTCACGTATTTTCCCATTGAAATGAATATCTTCTGGATTCCAGCCGTCATCACTCTTCAAATATTTATCAATATATTGTTTTATGATAGTAATATTTATTTAGTGGTGCGCCTTAAGAAACTCTTTTTGTCATCAGTTATTTCAAACTCTGATCAAAGCTCTTGAATCAAGTTCATTGACAAACTGATAAGAAAAAAAAATCGATTTTGCAATATTGAGCTAATAATCGAGCCATCACATGGCTCGATTCTCACTAGGATCAATTTCGCGTCCTCCCACTCAATTTTGTATTATATTTAATCAGAAGGCGGAGGTGGGAACAACTAACTGTTTTAACACAAAAATCAATCAAATAAATATAGAAAAAGTTTGAGCGAAATAGAAATGACGACATTTTTTGCTCATATTTGCACAGCGTTTGTGTATACTCTTGTTGTCATTCAGTTTGTACTAGTTTTGCTTTCTCTGAAACTAAATCTTTGTGAACTTCAGAAATGAGCGCCATAAGTCCAGTGAACCGGAAAAAGGTGATTTCGCTATTGATACCGGCGTTGATTTGCAATATGTTGGCTTTCACATCAATCTTGCCGCTTTTCCCAACAATTTTGCAGTTTTATTCGCAGGATGAGCATCGCGTAAGTTGTTTTATTTGAAATAAATGAAATTGTATACTTTCACTTTGGGTAGCTATAAAATTTCTATTTTTTAAATATATAAGTATAGAAGTTATTCATCCTTTTATCACTAAATTTTGAAAAAATAAAACCAAAACTTTACTCGAGAATCATATCAAAAAATTGAACATTGTTTTCTATTTTTTGAAGTCGTTGTGTAGAAAACGCTACTGATTTTTATCGCTGAATAGAAAGAACACCGTCAGGAATTTCGAGTTAATCGTTGGCAATTTTGAAGGGATTTCTAAACATTACGCTGTTTAAATTAGGGGCTTCTACGAAAAGAAAATAATTTTAATTTTTTAAAATGATATACAGTAAATAATTTGCTTTATAGACAATTATTAAACCAAAATTATGAGAAACCTTATGAACTTTTTACATATTTAGGATTGGCTTTACGACTTCAGCGTTAAAGGACTTAAATTTTTTCAAAATATCATCGGAGTTCCTCATAATGAAAGATATGACAAAGTCTTCTTTGGAGGTTATCGCAATGCTTAATAATTAATTTAAAATATTAATTTAAGGTCTTCTTGGTTCAATGTTCAGCGCTCTTCAATTTATTTCCGCTCCAGCACTTGGATCACTTTCAGACATTTATGGAAGGCGTGCAATTATTAGCATGTGCTGCATTTTAACTCTTATTTCATATATCGTAATATTTGGAATTCACTGTTAAAAAAATTAATTCAACATTTTAGAATTGGTTGAGAGCCGACACTTTTGCATATTTTGTACTTTCTAGAATTTTGGGAGGATTGAGCAAAGGCAACATCAATGTTGCAATTTCCATGATTTCTGATGTCTATTCACCAGAAGATCATCCTAAAGGAATGGTAAGAGTTCTAGGAATGCTTTTAAAATAATTGACGCAACTATTAAGGCTCTTATTGGAATTTCTTACTCGATTGGATTCTTAATTGGCCCAATGATTGGAGCTTATTTCTCAAGCATTGCTCCAATTGTAGGATTTGAAGCTTTGTTCAACTCTCATATGACATTTTAGGAATCTCCTTTTGGAAATCCAGCACTCTTCTCAATCCTTCTCACTATTTCGGAGTTTGCCTTCCTTTTCTTCCTGCCGGAAACACTAGACTATCGCGAGCAGGTTTTAATACAGTCTATTTTTATGTTATTAATATTATGGTGTTCAGAGAAGTATTGAGACTATTAAAGAGACCCGTCAACAGCTGATTTCACCATCAGCTTTGTTCAAATTTGCAGCAGTTAAGACCACGATTCAGAGTAAGTTACTGTTGTTAAACAATAAGCTCTTAATTGCACTAAAATTTAGTTTTTTTTATAAAACTGATAGAATTTTTTTATTAATTACGACCAATTTCAGAGAAATTCGAAATGCGTAAAATAGGTTTGATATACTTCCTATTTTTGTTCCTCTACTCCGGTTTGGAATTCACTTTGCCATTCCTTACTCATTTGAGATTTGATTTTGGAAGTATGGAGCAGGGAAAACTTTATCTCTTTACTGGACTACTGATGCTTCCAATTCAAGGAAAATTTGTGAGAAAGACGCCAATGGAACGGTGAGTTGTCAAATGTGAACAATTTTGCACGAATAAAGAATTTCAGGCAAAAGCTTGTGGCAGAATTTGGAATTGCATGCGCAATTCCCGCATTTTTGCTGATTGCTGTTGCCAAATCTACAACTATTCTCTATCTTGGATTGTTTTTCTACGCAATTTGTAAGATAAAACAGAGAAGCAATAAATTTATAATATCGAACATTTTAGCATCGGCGACTGTTGTTTCTTGTTTAACCTCTCTTGTTCATATAATTCATCCAGAAAGCGATAAAGGAGTTTTGGCGGGAATCTTTCGAAGCTTGGGTTGCTTAGCCAGAGCTCTTGGTCCGATATTCGCTTCTACATGTAATTTTCAAAAAAAAAGATAAATCTCATAAGATCAATTTTCAGTTTTCTGGATGCTCGGATCTTCTACTTGCTATACAATTGGCGCAGTAATGTTAATTGTCCCGCTAATTTTGTTGAAGAAAATGAGTAACCCAGCAGCTGTAAAAAAGAATGCATAATTTCCCTAACTAACTTATTTTTTAACGTTGCTTTAATTTCCATTCCCATTAGATTCCTAGTCTGAAATTGTTAATTTATTAAATTTTGTACGAAATACGGTTCAATTGCATAATCGTTCCTGAAACATATATGTTTATATTTAAGACAGAAACAAAATCTTTTTGAAATTTTTTTGCAGTTTTGTGCAACACGTTTGGTGCCATACACCCGGGTTGGGCGGAAATCCGATGAGCGAGTGGAAGGCGTCGATGCTCCGATAAATTTTTTTGAGGATTTGAACCCTCCAAACATTAAATTTTTTGTGATCGCTTTTTAACTAAAATTTATGAATGTAAAATGCTGTCTAAAATTTGTTGACATATCAAAAAATTGCCAAAAACTTATAAAACTTGATATTTCGAAATCACCGCATTTTTTCTATTAAATGGGTACCGCGCGATTGTTAGAAATTTTTTTCAGGAAATTTCCATTTGGATTCATTCATATCACTTTATTACTGATAGCAAAAACGCGGTGATTTCGATATTTTTTTAAATCATTATTTGGCCTTATTTTGACAGATTGTTGCATTAAAAGTTGAAAATGGATTTATTTGGGATAAAAAGTGACCTCAAAAAATTTTAAAACCCTCACAAGAGTTCATCAGAGTTTCCCACTTGCCCATCGCAGTATGCAGAATTCGACGTTTAGCGCTGAACTAAGCGTGCAACTTAAGAACCACAATAAAACTGAAAATTCTGCGATAATTAATTCTTATCGGGTTAGAATTTGTGTGCAAAATTAGAAAAACTCTCAGACGGACAGTTAAAACACTGCCCTTGTTAGATTCGAAGCAATGTTTTTTTTTTGATATTCCAGATGATGAATAAAGATATGAAACATACTTTTATCTCAATTTCAGAGTAATCTAAGAGACTAAGAAATGATTTTAAAGTTTTTTGCCCGTAATTTTTATTCTTTTTTCTAATTAAAAATCTCAATCTTTTCGAAAAAATAAAAAGTGTTGTATTTTTTCGCGATGGCCGAAAATGCTTCTCCACCGGCCACGGCCATTCGGATACTCTTCGCTCGTATTGTCTTTTCACTCCGTAAAATTTTGAAAAAAAACATGCGATTAAAAAAGGGTCATATTTGTAAATATACCTTGAATGATTTCAAGAAATGCAGACGGTGATGATGAATCATAATTTGTTTATCTTATTTGTCACGTCTGTCTTGTTTTTTTGCGTCGGTTTGGCAGCACTTATTCACAGCACAGCGATGCGCCAGCGTCAGCAGCGATGTCCGAGTGGTTAAGGAGTTGGACTTGAAATCCAATGGGCGTTGCCCGCGTAGGTTCGATTCCTGCTCGCTGCGTTGAATTTTTGCGTCTTCGGAAGTCAAAATTCATTAATTTTTTAGGCTAATATAACCAGAACTCGCACTGTGGCAGCTCTCGTACAGGTCCCAGAAAAGGCTTGAGAAAGTCTTGGAGAAAACGGTTGAGAATGAGGGCACTTTTGCCTTAATTGCTTCTAGCCAAGTTTCAGCTCGATTCGAAATATACTTTCCTCTAAACATCAAGCTCAAACTTTATTCAGATTATATGGGCCAATTTTAAGAAAATTAGTCAATGTAGTGGAAAATGTTGTTAAGAATTCAGAATGCCAAGTGATGCAGGTGCTTCATGTGTTTTTCATTTTTTTTTAGCAATGTGACGTCACAATTTTTAATATAAAACGTATATATTGTTTAATTAAATTAATTATTTTAAAAGATTGTTTTTGGAAAAAATATACTATTGGAAAGAATATAAAAATGAAACGTTGCCAAAATGAGACGTTGCATTTTTCTTGGTTTGAACTTCATCATGGTGAATTGTTGAATCATATTGAAATTCCCATAATGAGTGATAGTGCACGAACTCATGATAGCCATAGTGAGAAAGGTACGTTTAGCGTCTTACCGTTCTGCTCTGTTCATTATCCTTCGGGTTTTACACTTTTCATTTTGGCAGTTCACAAAAATTTGGTCCAACGTGATTGCAATCTGAACTTCAACCAATGCCATTATTCAACTGAATTCCAAGCTGCACCGATGAGATATCAATTTCGGCCGCCGACGCATCTCCAATATCTGCTTCAATTCCAGCTTTCGGCACCATTCCAGTATCCGCCTCCGGTATTGCAAGCGGTTATGTTCCAGAATCCACAACTGCTCCAGTGTCCGCCTTCCATTCATCAGGTATAGATTTGCGTAATAAATCTCGAAGATTGTAATTTTTCGAAAAAAATTTTCAAAGCTTTGCAGCCACAATATAACATTAAAGTAACGGATCAGCTAGTCACGAACATTCAAGCTCAACAGCAAATACCACGTGATTTGCATTTTAATGTAGCCATTATGATGTCACAAGACAAATCGTACGAGGTAGGAAATGGAAATAATAAGATGAACGGAACGTATTCAATGAGAAATATCCCGATCTTGCTTAAACAACAATGAAAATCATGTTCAATTTTTAGGTCAATCCACTTGCTCCATGCAACTGCCGATGTCCCACCGACCCTCCACCACTTTACGCTAGAAAAGGAAAACGTCAGTTGTAAATTATTGCCTAGACAATGTCGTTCTTTTCCAACTTTTTTTTATTATGATTAAAATGAAAAAAAAAACTGTTATTAAATTTAATTTCAAAAAATTGATTTCTTTCTAATTTTTCTCTTTTAATGCAGTTGCATGCGAATTTCAGTAGTGCCCGCTTTAGAAGGTATAAGCTGTCTTACACAGTGCGAAATGTTTTAATTTTAGAGGCGAAGCTTATAGACTTGCAGATGGATTACATATTTTTTCTGAAAATTTCATATGATGAACGAGAATGAAAAAAAAGACGCATATTTCTTAGTGAAATTATATTTCAGTACTATAATATTTTATTATTATTTTTTTAAAATTTACTGGAAAAAGAGTTTTTTTTTTCTGATTAATAACTGTACTGTTTAAATCATTAAGCACTTTGCCGCCATTGTTCCAGTCACCCTGAGTAATCGACAATCGCAAGATCTGTAAAATAAATTATAATATTGTATAGTGTTTAAGAATATACTGGTATATCCTTGAATGGTTCTTCGCTCCTTCGATAATTAAGGTATTCACTGGCCAATTTGTTCGAATAAAAAATTGATGAATCAAATAATTGAGATGGTAGATCAATATTGTTCGCTGCTTTCTTCTAAAACATCATTTGACTCCAATTACTGAAAATTTCTTACACAAATGTAATGTCAAATTCCTCTCCTGGTCCAAAAATACGGGGAAGATGCATTTCATCGCCATACTGAGAAAAAAGACAAATCGAATAAAGGGCAGTTTGAATAATTTCTACCTGTCCTGATGATGCTTGATATGAAAGAATAGCACCTTTCTGCTTGTTGTAAAAGTTGGTTATTTGAAATGCAATTGCGTTTTTTTTGTTCGAAAATGCTATTCGAAAAAACGTTTCGTTTGTTGATGTGCATCCGGAAATTCTGATGGCAACTCCCGCTTCAAAATTTTCAGATATTTCGATAATTTCATAATTTTCGAAGATTGGCTGAAAATAAAAAATTATGTATAATCGACGTCCGGCGAATTCTGTTCGCGCGCGTTGATCATCTTTTGCAATTGTATCGAAGAGCAAGCCCGTAAATCTACTCGCTTCTAACAGTCGCTGGACGCCAACAGTATCATAATTAAGTAGCTATTTGTTTTACCATTGACTCGAAGCATTCAAGAGTTTTCGACCATGATATGTTTAATAGAAAAAAGGCAATTGTAGTAAGGAATCGCATAATTATGCCAAACATGGTCGCCTAGCACTGCTATCGTAAAAATATTAGTTTTTAGAATGTAAAAGTGTTCTACCAACCAGTATGATTCTTGTGCTTCTAAATTTCTGCTTAAAATAAAACACATTTTCAGAAAATTTCTATTACCAAGAATATAATTCCTTTTGGATTTTTAGAGAGTTTCGAACGAGCGCTGAGTATTTTATATTAGACATATGATAAAAGTGTCGAGAAACGAATAAACGAAAATTTGATGGGTTGTCAGATTTAAGACATTCGTTGCAATTTAGTAAGTCATAAAATAAATAGAAACATCTTTATTAATAAAATCATCTATGTTATTTTATTTTCCTTTTACGGTTCAGAAATCGTCTGCTAAATGTACGAAACAGTTCTCCTCTTCTCGAAGTTATTTCATCCATCTCACTTTTTGAAATAACCTAAAAACAAAGTAATAATGAAAGGAAACTAGCAAAGCAATACTTTTGAGATGAATAAAGTTGCAGCGCGGTGTATATCCATACGAGACCCACCAACTTCCTTCATAGTTTTTAAGAGAATTCTTAATTTTCGCCATTGCTCTGGAGATAAGTATCGACGAATGAATTCCTAAATTTCTTATTACGTTAATTATAAAACAAAAAATCTTGCAAATAAAACAACGTGTTTGAAAAATGTAAAATACCTTCGCTGCATTCACCATATATGGGAAAGATTCGTCAGGAGTTGTTGAGAAAACAGTCGGTTTCGGTGTTGGAAAATCTGGATAACTTATTGTCGTAAGATTCATATTGCTGACGAGCTGATCAGCAAATTCGGATAGCAGCATTGGTGGCTTCGGTGGTGACAGAAAATCATTGTTAACATCATCAGTGTTGATAGTTGTCGTGCTTCGCGATTCGTCGTTGTTTTCCCTTGGTTGCAACAAATGAATCAAGTTCTCGGTTGAACTTTCTGCCGTCGGCGTTGTTGTAGTCGTAATATTTTCGGCCAACTCTACATCTTTCTCGTTTTCGTGCTGTTTTCTCGATTCGACACGTTTTCTCAAAAATTCGTTGACTTCCTCCGAATTGAGCTCTTCCAGCAGCATGCTGATCTCAATTTTAGGCATTATCGATCGTCTTGTCACCACATTGCCAACAAATATTGCTAATAAGTATAGAATAAACCGCATAGCGCGTGAGAGTCTCCAGTTGTTTGCCGGCCAAACTGAACAGGTTTCTTCGCCGCTGGGATGGCACAGTTCACCATAATGTGGCGAATGTTGATGCGTTTTTTATACCAGAGTACTCTCTTGAATATTCGAACTAGGTAAGTAGAAGTGATTTCGAACTTCGATCGAAGTAGTTCGGTCTCAAGTACTTCAAGGCCATTCCAATTTCCGATATTGGAGAAAATGAATGTTTAACTGCCAATTACGGGAAACAATTTTTTTTGAAAAAGAAACGATAATGTGATTTGGGTGAAATTTTCGAAAGTTAACTATTTGAAAAAATGGGTTACTAAAATATAATACTGAAGACCAATAAGGAAAGAAAATTAATGCAAATTATTGATATATATACACATATATTAAAATTTTCAAAAATTCGATTCATTTCATTTAATATGAAACAAAACTTAGCAATTCTAGAAGAATTGTGATTTTACGACTATTAAATGATTATGTTTAAACTTTTTTTAATACTCTAATCCAATTTTAATACTCTTTTTGAAAAAAAAAACTTTAAAATAAGAAAATATATATGTATATTCTTTCATTTTTGACATTTTTTCCACGATTACTTCCGATTTTCTCTTAATATCTATCAGAATTCGATTTTTTAGCTTTAAGCACGAAATCTTGACAATTAAAATAGTAAAAGCGTCCGCAAACAAATTATCCCGTTAAACTATGCAACGCGTAGAAATAGCAACGTCCTGTTTTATATAAACAATTTTATCGCCATTTTTCGAGCGTTTTCTTTAACCAATTGCATTATCATAAGCAATTTAATAGCGAAAAAATGTGGAATGTTCTCATTTTGGTGTCCATCGTTGGGCCAACTCGCGTCCTATCGCCATTTTTTGGCTGTGCAACTGTGCGTAACAGTGTGCGCACTGCAAACAATGGCGAAGGGTTGTGAGGTGCGTGTACACCTTACCTCAGCGACTATTTTTTTGTTTTGCTGCAAATGCTAATTCATATGCGAATTCATCGATTTGCTCGCGATTTAACACGTGTTCCATATCAATTTTAATTTATTATTTGACTTTTTTTTCAGTGCACATTTTATGAACTGATGAGCGACGATGAGGAACTGCAATTTGCACTGGAACTCTCAAAGTAAGCCAAAAAAAAAATAAAAACACAAAAAAAAGCTATGTGATTTTGTGTAATATGACAACTGTTAACCGCCTCTTTGTGCTTACGAATTCAAAAGTTCACAATTTCAGAAAAACGTTTGAAGAAGAGCAAAGTCGACGTACCGATTCTGGCGATTTGATTCGATTCGAGTCGCCGGATGAGCCAAGGCGACGTGAGGTTATCAACAAAATCCAGCGATTATATAGTCAGTCCAGCTTCGAAACTCCAACAACCAGGCGAGTTCGATCAATAAAACATATAAATTTAAATAGAATTGTTTAGCATTCCATCATACGGATCGAGGCTTCATGATCGATTACCTCATCCGCCATCATCGCTACCACACCAACAGCGTTTTTATTCCGCTTCCTCACCTTCGGAATACCATTTTGAACAGCTTTTAGCTTATCCGTCTATTGAGCCGCCGCCAAGGCCTCCAAAACCTCCTGAATTTCGTGGCAGATCTATATTTCCTCCCAATCCTTCTGCAGATTGTGAACCAATCTATAAATTTTACATTTGAAAATGAATTTTTTTAGTATTACGCGATATACCTCCACCACTTCCTCCAAGAACATTAAGAAGAAGCATTTCATCCACTTCGACACCTTTACGCAATTCAACACAGCCGCAATTTTTCGAAAAAGAATTGCAACTTTCACGTAAGTTTTTTTCATGTATTTGCATATTAATATTTAAAAAACGGCTTCAAACACACTTCATTAAAAATTTAAAAAGAAATGACTGATCGAATATATAACCCTATATAATATTGATCAAGCAATGAATACAATAAGTTATTTTTTATGCGTGAGAAAACTGTCACATGAAACGTTAATATCCACGTTTTGAGCTATAATTGCAGAATTATTTCTGCTTAAAAATTACTAGTTTGTGTTCCGGAAGATAAATATACTTAAGAGAGAAACCCGAAAAACTCTTTAAATTGCCTGAAATTCCAGCTGTCTGTTCATTTGGGCAGGATTCATTTCAAAGCGTCGATAAATCGCAAAATGATGTGACTAACGAATCCACGTAAGATTGTTTTAATTCATCTGGAAATCAAAAGTGAAGTTCTTACAGTAATCAATATCAACCACTCACTCATTTATACGTCCCATATACGATGACAAACTTAAATTCGTCATATGAAGCACTTCTGAATGGCGATCTTATTGATTTGAGCACGTCGGACTATGATGATACGCAGATGCAGGTAGTAGTATCAATAGGCAAAAAATGAAAGAAAATGGTTGACAAATGAAAAATGAGCCATCACGTGGAGAATGTTTTGGTTTGAAAAAAACGAAAACATAAACGTAGTACGGTTTTTACGAAACATGCGATGATGGACTGAGGCCTTCTTGGTACTCACTAAGCAAAAAATCAATTAATGATTTTAATCACTGAATAATTATGTTTTGATAGACTCTTTTATGTGAAAATGTAGAAATTGATGCGAAAAATTTTGAGGACATCTAAAATGTTCGAGGTAGAGCTGATAGAAATAGTGTAGCACAAAGAAAGTGATGAGTCATAATAGCGATTTTGTATATACCTCCTTTATTAACATTTCGTCACAATTTTTTATTTTTTCAATCAACTTTGCTTTTTTTCATTTGACCAAAATTCAGCAGTGGGGAAGTAACACCAATTTAGATATTATAAACAATCAGCAAATTTCTCATGCCATTTAAAAAAAATGCGGTCGACCCCTATGAAAATTTATTATACACAATTTTACCCAACGTCAAATTAGCTGAACCTGTTAGTTGAAATCGAATTTCTTGATTTCTCGAACACTCTCGCTTCCGTGTATCTCGACACATACATATCTGTTCGAGGGAATTTGTTCACATTTCTCTTCCTAATCAATGTTGCGCGAGGGTGGGAGACTAACATTTTTTATCGGAATATGGCTTTCTTTTTTTTTTACATAAAGTCTTCCTCAAAACTTCATGATTCTTTTTTTTTAGATTCGCCGGGAATTTGATCCGCTTTATATTGCGTCACCGTTGCGCTCAAGCCATGCAATTATGCCGACAATTCAGTTTAGTCCTCGGAAGCTGATAACAGAAGAGCCTAGTGTAATTGAGGAGAATCCATGCGGTGAAATTGAAGATCATATATTTACTATTCAATCTATAAAGTTGAAGCCTACTGATGATCCCATGGCTATCCAGGTTTGATTTCCCATAGTCCTTCGTCAATTATGACATTTGTCGTTCAGGTCAAAGATATCAGAAAGCGAGGGCTTATAGGAAGAGAGAAGTTCCCGTTCTTTTTCATTGCCCCTACTGTAGATTATATGACAACAACAGCGAGTACAATCAAAATTGTTGTTTTCAAAGATCATCGGTATTTCTTCTTTATCACCCTTCTTGGAGCTATTTTGTTTCGTTTTTAGATGGAAACGATCAGATTGTATACAGAAGGCGATGACATGCGATATTGAAGAAACAGTAGAGTTAATAACAGCACAAGCTCTTTCTTACTTTGAGACAGATGCTGAGAAAGATAGAATTTACGGACTCAAGGTCAGTCGCTCATATTTTCAATGTTGCAAGAACACAAACAACGCTTCGTACAAACAGGCCCCCTTATGGCATAATCCTATAATTATTTTGTGCGCAACCCACAAATTCACGTCATCATTTCAGATTTATGGACTGAATCAGTTCCTATCGCAAGAAAGCCAGCTTGGTTGCAATCTTTATACCGGACACTGCCTTCTTCATGGCGAGGATGTGAAATTAGAGGTATTTCAATTTATTAGTATCGACTTTGTAACCTATAAAATCTGTTTAGCTTGGTTTGTTCGAAGTACCGAAAAGAAGATACGACGAAACATTGTTCCCCTGGGAAACCATGAAGTGAGTGTTTTGTACGCTAAAAGCAAACAAACATTGACCTATGCGGTAAAGCAAATAACTAATTTTCCAAAAAATGTCTTTTTCGGAAACAAAGAACAAAAATCAAAGGTTAAAAGACTAACTAAAATTTTCAGAAGTATCTTACGGTATTCCGCAATAGTTGATCGCGATGACATAGAGAATAAACTGAGTCATCTTGCGCAGGCCATGCAGAAATACGAGGAAGCTTTTGACGAAGGTTCAACATTATTACGTAAGGAGTTAAATTCTAGAAACAAAATTTTAATATTCCCCAATTCTAGTGTCGAACACCTCGCAACGAGTAAAGCAAATTGTCATGGTGCTTTGCCAATATCTCCATCGCATTGTACCCGATAAGCTTTACACTCAAATGCAGAGATATTTGGCATCGACGACTGATTTGCAGTTGGAATACCATAGAAATGATTTTGTACGGGAATTGCATTCATTGGTGCAACTCTATTGCAAGAGTACCGTTAGCAAATGGATGTTGCCACCCATTCATGTGGGAAAATTTCTATATGTAACCTCATTATTATTAGCGAATTTCAGCAAGTTAAGAAACCACGTGAAGAAGTTTTGATGCATAGTGATTACCTCCGAGTAATGCTTAATTCTGTACATTGTATACCAGAATCTTGGATCAGGTATTATTTTTATCTAAATACTATGTCTGAAATTTACAATCACAGGGAATACACAGAATTTTACATGTCTGTTGATCTCTATTATGGTACCCAAGTGCTTGATGGACATAGTAATCGAATGCCGAAGGTTATTCATACTGACCAGTTTTTCGAACGGATTCCGCTAGACTTATACGTAAGTTTTAGTTGATATTATTCATTTCTTCCTCTGTTTTATGTGCTTACTCTATCCGCGGTCAAATAAGAGTTTAACACCTGCTACATGTGCTTTCAAACGTCCGACTTTTAGGCAATTTTCAAACGTCTTACGCTTTGCATGTATCCGCGTGAAACGCGGATTGTCGTCTCCATCAGTGGAACATTGAAGAATGGTTCTAATGTTACTCCAAATTCAACCATTGAGGTTATGCAGAATACTGAAATGCTTGCATATTGTTCAGTACCGTTGTATGATGAAAACTTGTCAGTTATTATGCTATTGCCTCGATTATAATTATTCGTTCATTGTAGAATTATGCGTCAGGGTCCTTTATTTATGCCGCTCACACTATTGCGGAAACAGCCAGTTGTGAAGCCATTCGGACCATTTCCTTATATAAGAACTCCACAAGATCCCATTTTAATCATGAGCTTGAAAGTGTATGAAACAGAAATTTGTTTCCCAACTGTTCATGTCGACCTTCAATGGTATTATTCAAGTCGTCCAAATTTTTCTTGGAAATATCATGATTTCAGCATTCCGCAAGACTTCAGTCTTTTGGAAATTGAAACGCAAGAGTACTTATTGGAGCTCATAGAGAAAGAAGATCCTTCTCGATTAGAGCATGATGATCAGGAGATGATTTGGCAGAAGCGACTTTATCTCACGAATCAGCCAGAAGCTTTACCATTAGTTAGCATTGAAGCAAAAATTCACGTTTTATTTTATTGTGTTTAGGTTCTATCATCCCTGCAAGATTGGAGTTTCTCATTCTTATCTCAAGTGTATCAAATTCTTGAAGAATGGGCCCCATTGAGACCGGAGATTGCTCTTCAGCTTTTGTTACCACAGTGAGTTTAAAATGAATTAATTAATGCTCACCTACAATTTATTAGGTATCCTGATGAACGAGTGCGATCTTATGCAGTACAGTGGCTTTCAAAAGGATCCACAGATTTCTTATACCACTCGATTCCACAGTTTATTGAAGCTCTCCGTTTCGAGTTGTACGAGAAATCAGCAATTGCTGAATTCATATTTGAACTGGCTTCATTGAGTTTGGATTTCACTTTCGAAATCTATTGGTATGCTTGAACCAACGTCAAGAAACACATATCGAGTAATTATGTAGGCAATTGCAACAACGAGTAGATCATTGTGCGGTCGATGATTTACCGTACGCCATTCGATGTCAGAATCTGCAGCACAAGATTATCGATGAGCACGAGAGCAACGATTTGAAATGCGATATCAGGTTACAACACGAACTGCTTCATGATCTCGATGTAATACAAGAAGAATTACGATATCACTCAAATGAATCCGAGCAAGAGAAAGTAAAAACCATTAGGAGAAGCATTTTAATTGTACAAATATTTACAGCTCAATCGGTTGCGAATGAAGCTTGGCGTTATGGATAGCAAGCTTCTTCTGAACAAGGTTCCACTACCAATATGTCCGTCTTTTGAATGCACTGGTGTTCGAATAGAAGAATGCAGTATATTCAATTCCAACGCTAAACCATTGAAAATCGTGTTTCGTGGTATCAACACGACCTATTCCATTATACATAAGGCTAGCTTCAAATCAAAATTTAATACTCTTCAACTCAAAGTTTTAGAGAGATGATGATATGCGACAAGATGCGTTCGTTATGAAAATGGTTAATGAGATGGATCGAATCTGGAAATCTAATGGACTTGATTTGCGGATAATAACTTTTCGTGTCATGCCTGTTGGTTACCGAAGGGGTTAGCCGAAATCGTATTCTGAAAAAAATATGCTCAATGGTTTTTAGGAATGGCTGAACTGGTTCTGAATTGTGCAACGCTTCTTGAAATACAAAAAGAAGATGGCCTTCGCGGGGTTCTTAATGACGAGGTTCTCCGGAAATGGCTAATGAAGCATAATAGTAACGAGTTCTCATATAAAGAAGCATTGGACAATTTTATTCGGTCATGTGCTGGATGGTGTGTTGTCACCTATGTTCTTGGAATTGGCGACAGACATAATGACAACATACTTTTCACTAAAAATGGCCACGTCTTCCATATCGATTTTGGGAAGTACATGGGCGATTGGCAAACTGCCGCGGGATTCAGAAGGTTTCCAGAATGGCCGATATGAATTGGTTTCGTTCAATTTTATTCTTCAGAGATCGGGTACCTTTTGTATTTACCTCAGAGATGTTCTACGTCATAAATGGTGGAAAAACTCAGACACAGAACTATCAGATTTTCATAGATCACTGTTGTAAAGCATTAAACTTCTTACGCCAAAATCGAACCAAGTTGACGAATTTACTTCGAATTGTGAGATAATGTTTTTAATTTTCAAAATATATGAAATATTAATTCAGATGGCGTGCTCAGACATTTCCGGGATTAATATGGATTCCATTGCTTTCGTTGAGAAAAACTTGATGTTGGACCTTTCGGAAACTGATGCAACTATACAATTCACTGAGCTGATTCAAGTATCCGATTGTGAATGACAACACACGTTTTTTGACAATGAATATTTCAGAACTCGCTCAACAATTCATTTGTTCGCTTGAATTTCGTAGCGCACACGTTTGCTCAATTCATGTCATCAAGTTCAAGCTTCTCTAAGAGAAACGAGAATGAATTAAGCTTTGTGCCCCAGCTTTACACGTAAGAATTAGGGTCTGAAAACACAAAATATATAGGAGGATTTGATTTCAGTGAAAAAACTGATGGAAGGATTGAAACGGTTCGTGTACTCTCATTTGAGAAAAGATTTATCCCGAATAAAGTTTACGTGAGATTTGTGACTTCCAATATCATGATATGATTTGCTAAATTTCAGCTATACAAGGTTGAAGTAATTCGAAAAGACGTCGCGGTTTCCTCATTTGTGTACCGATCTTTTGCAGAATTTGATGAGCTTCACACAAAACTCCGAAGAAGGTTTGCCCTTGTGTTTATTTCTTCAGAATAAATCCAAATCCGAGAAATTGTTTGCTGCGTTTCTATGTATGAAATCGCACGAACTTCCGCACGTGTGTTGTTTTTGTGGTGCGAGCAATTAATTAACGAGCAAGTTCGGCTCAGTGACGCTTTTTGCAAAGATGAACCAAAAAAATAGCACCCAATTGCTTTGATAAAAAAAATAAATCTTTTAGATTCCCATCTCTTCTCTGCGTTCTCAACACTGGCACGAATATGCGGTCAAATGTGCGAGCCGTCGCACAGAAGCGAATGATAGATGTTCAACATTATTTGCGATACCTCTTTCTTCAGCCGCCCGAAATTTCTCATGTTCGTTTAGTTTCTGCATTTTCTCCCTTCTTTGTTCATTTCCTCCCACGAGTTCTCCTCACATATTCGTTGATTAGGTGCATACACGAATATATTAAAGGGGGCGGATTTGCATAAAGAGGCGTGGCCCGTACGTGTTCTTTAGTACCCTAGCTGATGACGATCATGACTTTTTTGAAAATAAAAAAAAGAAGAAGAAGCTGTACTTCCTTCTTTCAGTGCGACCTCGTCTACACATTCTTCCATTCTTTATTAAGAGATAACAAGTGCGACACTTACATAGGTAAGGTAAATATTAGTTTTAACTTTTAATTTTATCTTCAGATCCTACTGAAATGGTCTCAACAAACAATTGCCAAATCTACTTGAAAGTTCAATATAATGTTACGCGACAGACATTAAACGTGTTTGTTGGCCACGTGAAGAATCTTGCAATTCTGGCTACTGGCCAACCTCCAGATCCGTATGTGAAGACTTATGTGAGACCGGATCTGCAGAACTATTCGAAACGCAAAACCCAGGTGGTTCGAGCCACTCAAAATCCGACGTTCAACCAAGAAGTAAGTTTGGAGTAGTTCGATGTTTAAAAAATGGACGCTCATTTATTTTCTTTCAGTTGTCCTACGACCAATTTCCAGCGCAATTGCTCTCGTCTCGCGTTCTTGAAGTGAGCGTTTGGAACAATGGCGGACTCATGGATAATCATAAAATGTATATGGTGTGCATACCACTTCTTAAGATTAACTCAGCGCCAGTAGATCGTAGATCAAATCGTGTCCTTGAAGGCTGGTTTCATTGTGACAAATATATATAAGATGATTAAATGTGAATTAGAACATATCGAGGCATTGTGATTGAATATTTTTTTCCTAGTCTCTTTGAACCCTAAATCAGTTCTCTTATCTTTCCAAATTCTAAAAAATAGCTCATTTGTGTCATTAGATTAGCAATTGCTGTCTTATATGTATAATTTTATTGTCCATATTTAACAAGATCCTATTGTAACATATAATTTCCCATTTAATTGGGTTAGTTCCTTCGAATCTCACACAGGTCTCTTAGTTACCATACTAACTTTTTTTTATAATGTTGGGTTTATTGAATAAATATTTCCATATAAGGCTAGTCTCATCAACAAGCAGATGGGGGGGGGGGCATCAAAGAGAGAATAGAGAGCGAGGCGACCCTCACTCACCTCGACATCCTCCCTTTTTTTGGTCAATATTCATATTTTGCGCTTAAAATAGAAAATTGGGTAACGCGCAGTTTTTCTTTTTCTGATAAAACTGCATTATGTAGAAATAATAATAAGGTATGCAATTGGGCCCCAAACATGCTATTTGAATAAGACAGTCTGATCTAATTAATTAATTATAAAAATCGTGTCTAAAAAGATTAATTTTAAGATTTTTACAAACGAATATTTTTCGAATATTTATTGTAAATGAAACTGCAATTAAAGTGGAATAAAAAAATTATTGGTACTCTAAACCGAAGGCCAAGGTATAATTCGTAAGTTCAAGACGTAGTTTACACGAAACCTATTGAAAGATTATGATGCCTTTTATTGGGTTCATATAACGCATCTTCGAGAGAGAAAACCTATTTTCAAAGCATTGAATGTTCAAACATTAAACCCTTCTATGTCGCACAAGTATGCAGATTAAAGGCATTTTTTGCACTCGTCTTACTAAGCAATTGCTGGGTTTTACCCAAAACTCAATTACTTGAATTCGCGCTTCCTTCTACCCCACATTTTTTTTTCATTTGAAGCTTTTTGGCAAACTTTTCGCTATTTTCTAGTAAACAATACATGTGTTCTTTCTAACTTACATATATATATATATATATATATATATATATATATATTCTCGTGTCATTTCTTCTTTTGTTGGTCAAAGCTTATAGCAATTCGATCAATGCATAATAGAAAAATAGCGTAAAACGAATTAGCAACGAGTCATTTTTGCCGAGGGCAAAAATAATAGAAACATTTTCAACGAAATTTTCAAAATTGGATGCCCAAACCAGTTTTTTTTTTTCACATTTCATGTCGCTCTTCAATCGCCCAAAACTTTCCGCGTTTCTTTCCCTCTGCCCTTTCGAATCTTGAAATGAGTGTTTTAATGACGCAAAAAGGTTGATGTTCTTTTTTTGTTTCGTGACATCTACGAAAATGTGCAAAAAACATCCTCTTGTTCTGTTTAAATTGCCAAACTCTTTCGTTTTTGTCTTGTTTGTGCTTGCTTCCCGGCACAATTTTTTCTATTTGTTCACATGTCCCATAAAGGGCAAGCAAGACCTGGGAAAGTATAAACAATTGTTGACGTGACGTGAGAATAATTGCACTTTTCTAAGCTGGCTTGCCGGTTGCCCCAACTTTCGAAGGACGGGGGGGGGGAGGGTTCACCTCTTAATTGAGCTACGTACCTCGCGAATTGTTGAAATCTGCAAAGCTCTTTCGATTGCTTTCCATGGCAAAGAGTTGGCCCATTTATGATGAGACGCAGAGATGAAACACCGATTCCATGGATACGAGGCTTATAAAGTTTTACGCTTTGTTCAATATCTCACCTCCCCTTTTTCGCATTACTTTTTATCCGAAAAGCGTTCTTCCGGTATTCAACTGATAACAACGTATTTACTATTCTACATCATATTTGTACCAAAAGCAATTGTCCTCTTATCAGCTGGAATGTTGCAATTTTGATTTTGATAAACGGAATTCACTGTTATTTCCGATCAAAATTGAATGAAACGAAGACCGCATTTAATCTAGCCAATGTCATTAATCAAAATGATGATGTCGCAAGTCGACAGCGTTGTTTTAACATCTTTGAAGTTCAATAAACCTACATTCTTATCGCATTATTTCTGGTTTATTTTAATTCCGTATTAGTCAACATTTATCAAACACGATGTTTCAATAAATCCTCGCTGTCGTTGCATTTTTCCTTGTGCCTTCCTCCCAAAATTTTACTATGTAGCACTTTCAATTTTTTTTTTTGAAAATTACGCATATAAATTAGGAAATTGAGCTAATTCGCGTTCTTGAAGGCATTCGAATTTTCAAAAAACTTCAAAAAATGCAACACTCCCAAGTGTCTCATCAACTTTATCCCGATTAAATCGTCCGTCATAGATAAAAATAACATTTCCCTTCATTCATTGTTGCAGTTTAAAAAAAAATTTTTGTGAATTGCATTTAAACCGATAATATTAAAACTACAATATATTTCGTTCCTTTTCGAAGAGCATCTAGGCGTTCGCTTTTTTATTTCGCTAATTTCGGGTTTTCGAAGATTCTAATGCCTCATCAACATGGTGCAAAATGTATTTGCCAAATTTGTACGTGCGGGTATGTCTTCTGATATTGCAACATTTATGTATATGTTAAAATTTCAGAAGACACAAATGCCCTCATAACCGAAACGCAAGTAGTATACAGCTTGGAGATTCAACCACTGACAACCATTATTCAAGAAATTCTGTGAAGGTACGCACTGAATTTAGAATCCAAGAAAATTTTTCTAGGTGGAAACTTCGAGTTATTTAAAATCTGCACCACACCGCCCGAAAAGTGAGCTATCAAATTTTTTCACTGATACGAACACTACAAAAACCAACGTAATAACTATTTTCTTGGGCATTTCTTAAAAATGACAACCTTAAGGACATTCAAGAGCGTCCTAAAAGCAGCGGCTCAGCAACACATAATAGGACGGAAAATTTTATATCATCATCAGCTAGAAGCGAACACAGTTTACAACGATCAGAAAATATTAAAACTGCTACCCTACTCAAACAGCGTAATACTTCTTCGAAAGTAAATTACACATTATCGAAATATATTAAAAAGGAAATCATATTTCAGATATTCAATGAATACGAAATCTCAAACAATTCTTGTGTTCAAAATGGAAACCACACGGAGTTACGGGCAGAAACAAAAGGTATGCCGCAATAAAAAAAAATAAATATATAAAATTTCTAGTAACGCCGAAAAACGCACACGGCAAAAGAAATAGCAGCAACGTGCTCGAAGAACAATTAAAAGTAATGATCAGTTGAAAACAATTAACGTTTACGATTTTAGTTGCCAATGCTTAAACACTTCACGCCATTGAAACAACAACAGCGTCAGCAAGCAAAAGAAAACAACAAAGAACTACCTCAACTTGGGCCAACAAAAGCAGCAAAATCACAACAACAAAGCTCCATTTCTGACATATTACATAAAACTTCCACACACACGGAGATACAGTCATACAGAAACTCATCAAATCACAGTCGATTCAATGCTGCCATCTCTAATAACAAACCAACGTCAACAACAAAATCAATGTTCGATGCGAAGACTCAGAATCAGGAAGACTTCACCAATATTCGTGGCGAACGATACGAGACCCGTCGTCCAGAAGATCATCAAGTGATTCAGAAAGATGGAACCGTTGTCAATCGCACTCTTACGCACGACGATTTTACCAACGTCAGAGGTGAGCGCTATGAGATCAAGAAGCCAGCGGACAACAAGATCTTGGTTTCTGATGGAGCTCAATTTGATGCGAAGACTCAGAATCAGGAAGACTTCACCAATATTCGTGGCGAACGATACGAGACCCGACGCCCAGAAGATCATCAAGTGATTCAGAATGATGGAACCGTTGTCAATCGTACTCTTACGCACGACGATTTCACCAATGTCAGAGGTGAGCGCTATGAGATCAAGAAGCCAGCGGACAACAAGATCTTGGTTTCTGATGGAGCTCAATTTGATGCGAAGACTCAGAATCAGGAAGACTTCACCAATATTCGTGGCGAACGATACGAGACCCGTCGTCCAGAAGATCATCAAGTGATTCAGAAAGATGGAACCGTTGTCAATCGCACTCTTACGCACGACGATTTCACCAATGTCAGAGGTGAGCGCTATGAGATCAAGAAGCCAGCGGACAACAAGATCTTGGTTTCTGATGGAGCTCAATTTGATGCGAAGACTCAGAATCAGGAAGACTTCACCAATATTCGTGGCGAACGATACGAGACCCGACGCCCAGAAGATCATCAAGTGATTCAGAAAGATGGAACCGTTGTCAATCGTACTCTTACGCACGACGATTTCATCAATGTCAGAGGTGAGCGCTATGAGATCAAGAAGCCAGCGGACAACAAGATCTTGGTTTCTGATGGAGCTCAATTTGATGCGAAGACTCAGAATCAGGAAGACTTCACCAATATTCGTGGCGAACGATACGAGACCCGACGCCCAGAAGATCATCAAGTGATTCAGAATGATGGAACCGTTGTCAATCGTACTCTTACGCACGACGATTTCACCAATGTCAGAGGTGAGCGCTATGAGATCAAGAAGCCAGCGGACAACAAGATCTTGGTTTCTGATGGAGCTCAATTTGATGCGAAGACTCAGAATCAGGAAGACTTCACCAATATTCGTGGCGAACGATACGAGACCCGACGCCCAGAAGATCATCAAGTGATTCAGAATGATGGAACCGTTGTCAATCGTACTCTTACGCACGACGATTTCACCAATGTCAGAGGTGAGCGCTATGAGATCAAGAAGCCAGCGGACAACAAGATCTTGGTTTCTGATGGAGCTCAATTTGATGCGAAGACTCAGAATCAGGAAGACTTCACCAATATTCGTGGCGAACGATACGAGACCCGTCGTCCAGAAGATCATCAAGTGATTCAGAAAGATGGAACCGTTGTCAATCGCACTCTTACACACGACGATTTCACCAATGTCAGAGGTGAGCGCTATGAGATCAAGAAGCCAGCGGACAACAAGATCTTGGTTTCTGATGGAGCTCAATTTGATGCGAAGACTCAGAATCAGGAAGACTTCACCAATATTCGTGGCGAACGATACGAGACCCGACGCCCAGAAGATCATCAAGTGATTCAGAATGATGGAACCGTTGTCAATCGTACTCTTACGCACGACGATTTCACCAATGTCAGAGGTGAGCGCTATGAGATCAAGAAGCCAGCGGACAACAAGATCTTGGTTTCTGATGGAGCTCAATTTGATGCGAAGACTCAGAATCAGGAAGACTTCACCAATATTCGTGGCGAACGATACGAGACCCGACGCCCAGAAGATCATCAAGTGATTCAGAATGATGGAACCGTTGTCAATCGTACTCTTACGCACGACGATTTCATCAATGTCAGAGGTGAGCGCTATGAGATCAAGAAGCCAGCGGACAACAAGATCTTGGTTTCTGATGGAGCTCAATTTGATGCGAAGACTCAGAATCAGGAAGACTTCACCAATATTCGTGGCGAACGATACGAGACCCGTCGTCCAGAAGATCATCAAGTGATTCAGAAAGATGGAACCGTTGTCAATCGCACTCTTACGCACGACGATTTCACCAACGTCAGAGGTGAGCGCTATGAGATCAAGAAGCCAGCGGACAACAAGATCTTGGTTTCTGATGGAGCTCAATTTGATGCGAAGACTCAGAATCAGGAAGACTTCACCAATATTCGTGGCGAACGATACGAGACCCGTCGTCCAGAAGATCATCAAGTGATTCAGAAAGATGGAACCGTTGTCAATCGCACTCATACGCACGACGATTTCACCAACGTCAGAGGTGAGCGCTATGAGATCAAGAAGCCAGCGGACAACAAGATCTTGGTTTCTGATGGAGCTCAATTTGATGCGAAGACTCAGAATCAGGAAGACTTCACCAATATTCGTGGCGAACGATACGAGACCCGTCGTCCAGAAGATCATCAAGTGATTCAGAAAGATGGAACCGTTGTCAATCGCACTCTTACGCACGACGATTTCACCAACGTCAGAGGTGAGCGCTATGAGATCAAGAAGCCAGCGGACAACAAGATCTTGGTTTCTGATGGAGCTCAATTTGATGCGAAGACTCAGAATCAGGAAGACTTCACCAATATTCGTGGCGAACGATACGAGACCCGTCGTCCAGAAGATCATCAAGTGATGCAGAAAGATGGAACCGTTGTCAATCGCACTCTTACGCACGACGATTTCACCAACGTCAGAGGTGAGCGCTATGAGATCAAGAAGCCAGCGGACAACAAGATCTTGGTTTCTGATGGAGCTCAATTTGATGCGAAGACTCAGAATCAGGAAGACTTCACCAATATTCGTGGCGAACGATACGAGACCCGTCGTCCAGAAGATCATCAAGTGATTCAGAAAGATGGAACCGTTGTCAATCGCACTCTTACGCACGACGATTTCACCAACGTCAGAGGTGAGCGCTATGAGATCAAGAAGCCAGCGGACAACAAGATCTTGGTTTCTGATGGAGCTCAATTTGATGCGAAGACTCAGAATCAGGAAGACTTCACCAATATTCGTGGCGAACGATACGAGACCCGACGCCCAGAAGATCATCAAGTGATTCAGAAAGATGGAACCGTTGTCAATCGTACTCTTACGCACGACGATTTCACCAATGTCAGAGGTGAGCGCTATGAGATCAAGAAGCCAGCGGACAACAAGATCTTGGTTTCTGATGGAGCTCAATTTGATGCGAAGACTCAGAATCAGGAAGACTTCACCAATATTCGTGGCGAACGATACGAGACCCGTCGTCCAGAAGATCATCAAGTGATTCAGAAAGATGGAACCGTTGTCAATCGTACTCTTACGCACGACGATTTCACCAATGTCAGAGGTGAGCGCTATGAGATAAAGAAGCCAGCGGACAACAAGATCTTGGTTTCTGATGGAGCTCAATTTGATGCGAAGACTCAGAATCAGGAAGACTTCACCAATATTCGTGGCGAACGATACGAGACCCGTCGCCCAGAAGATCATCAAGTGATTCAGAAAGATGGAACCGTTGTCAATCGTACTCTTACGCACGACGATTTCACCAATGTCAGAGGTGAGCGCTATGAGATCAAGAAGCCAGCGGACAACAAGATCTTGGTTTCTGATGGAGCTCAATTTGATGCGAAGACTCAGAATCAGGAAGACTTCACCAATATTCGTGGCGAACGATACGAGACCCGACGCCCAGAAGATCATCAAGTGATTCAGAAAGATGGAACCGTTGTCAATCGTACTCTTACGCACGACGATTTCACCAATGTCAGAGGTGAGCGCTATGAGATCAAGAAGCCAGCGGACAACAAGATCTTGGTTTCTGATGGAGCTCAATTTGATGCGAAGACTCAGAATCAGGAAGACTTCACCAATATTCGTGGCGAACGATACGAGACCCGACGCCCAGAAGATCATCAAGTGATTCAGAATGATGGAACCGTTGTCAATCGTACTCTTACGCACGACGATTTCACCAATGTCAGAGGTGAGCGCTATGAGATCAAGAAGCCAGCGGACAACAAGATCTTGGTTTCTGATGGAGCTCAATTTGATGCGAAGACTCAGAATCAGGAAGACTTCACCAATATTCGTGGCGAACGATACGAGACCCGTCGTCCAGAAGATCATCAAGTGATTCAGAAAGATGGAACCGTTGTCAATCGTACTCTTACGCACGACGATTTCACCAATGTCAGAGGTGAGCGCTATGAGATCAAGAAGCCAGCGGACAACAAGATCTTGGTTTCTGATGGAGCTCAATTTGATGCGAAGACTCAGAATCAGGAAGACTTCACCAATATTCGTGGCGAACGATACGAGACCCGTCGTCCAGAAGATCATCAAGTGATTCAGAAAGATGGAACCGTTGTCAATCGCACTCTTACGCACGACGATTTCACCAACGTCAGAGGTGAGCGCTATGAGATCAAGAAGCCAGCGGACAACAAGATCTTGGTTTCTGATGGAGCTCAATTTGATGCGAAGACTCAGAATCAGGAAGACTTCACCAATATTCGTGGCGAACGATACGAGACCCGTCGTCCAGAAGATCATCAAGTGATTCAGAAAGATGGAACCGTTGTCAATCGTACTCTTACGCACGACGATTTCACCAACGTCAGAGGTGAGCGCTATGAGATCAAGAAGCCAGCGGACAACAAGATCTTGGTTTCTGATGGAGCTCAATTTGATGCGAAGACTCAGAATCAGGAAGACTTCACCAATATTCGTGGCGAACGATACGAGACCCGACGCCCAGAAGATCATCAAGTGATTCAGAAAGATGGAACCGTTGTCAATCGTACTCTTACGCACGACGATTTCACCAATGTCAGAGGTGAGCGCTATGAGATCAAGAAGCCAGCGGACAACAAGATCTTGGTTTCTGATGGAGCTCAATTTGATGCGAAGACTCAGAATCAGGAAGACTTCACCAATATTCGTGGCGAACGATACGAGACCCGTCGTCCAGAAGATCATCAAGTGATTCAGAAAGATGGAACCGTTGTCAATCGCACTCTTACGCACGACGATTTCACCAACGTCAGAGGTGAGCGCTATGAGATCAAGAAGCCAGCGGACAACAAGATCTTGGTTTCTGATGGAGCTCAATTTGATGCGAAGACTCAGAATCAGGAAGACTTCACCAATATTCGTGGCGAACGATACGAGACCCGACGCCCAGAAGATCATCAAGTGATTCAGAATGATGGAACCGTTGTCAATCGTACTCTTACGCACGACGATTTCACCAATGTCAGAGGTGAGCGCTATGAGATCAAGAAGCCAGCGGACAACAAGATCTTGGTTTCTGATGGAGCTCAATTTGATGCGAAGACTCAGAATCAGGAAGACTTCACCAATATTCGTGGCGAACGATACGAGACCCGTCGTCCAGAAGATCATCAAGTGATTCAGAAAGATGGAACCGTTGTCAATCGCACTCTTACGCACGACGATTTCACCAACGTCAGAGGTGAGCGCTATGAGATCAAGAAGCCAGCGGACAACAAGATCTTGGTTTCTGATGGAGCTCAATTTGATGCGAAGACTCAGAATCAGGAAGACTTCACCAATATTCGTGGCGAACGATACGAGACCCGACGCCCAGAAGATCATCAAGTGATTCAGAATGATGGAACCGTTGTCAATCGTACTCTTACGCACGACGATTTCACCAATGTCAGAGGTGAGCGCTATGAGATCAAGAAGCCAGCGGACAACAAGATCTTGGTTTCTGATGGAGCTCAATTTGATGCGAAGACTCAGAATCAGGAAGACTTCACCAATATTCGTGGCGAACGATACGAGACCCGTCGTCCAGAAGATCATCAAGTGATTCAGAAAGATGGAACCGTTGTCAATCGCACTCTTACGCACGACGATTTCACCAACGTCAGAGGTGAGCGCTATGAGATCAAGAAGCCAGCGGACAACAAGATCTTGGTTTCTGATGGAGCTCAATTTGATGCGAAGACTCAGAATCAGGAAGACTTCACCAATATTCGTGGCGAACGATACGAGACCCGACGCCCAGAAGATCATCAAGTGATTCAGAAAGATGGAACCGTTGTCAATCGTACTCTTACGCACGACGATTTCACCAACGTCAGAGGTGAGCGCTATGAGATCAAGAAGCCAGCGGACAACAAGATCTTGGTTTCTGATGGAGCTCAATTTGATGCGAAGACTCAGAATCAGGAAGACTTCACCAATATTCGTGGCGAACGATACGAGACCCGACGCCCAGAAGATCATCAAGTGATTCAGAATGATGGAACCGTTGTCAATCGTACTCTTACGCACGACGATTTCACCAATGTCAGAGGTGAGCGCTATGAGATCAAGAAGCCAGCGGACAACAAGATCTTGGTTTCTGATGGAGCTCAATTTGATGCGAAGACTCAGAATCAGGAAGACTTCACCAATATTCGTGGCGAACGATACGAGACCCGTCGTCCAGAAGATCATCAAGTGATTCAGAAAGATGGAACCGTTGTCAATCGCACTCTTACGCACGACGATTTCACCAACGTCAGAGGTGAGCGCTATGAGATCAAGAAGCCAGCGGACAACAAGATCTTGGTTTCTGATGGAGCTCAATTTGATGCGAAGACTCAGAATCAGGAAGACTTCACCAATATTCGTGGCGAACGATACGAGACCCGACGCCCAGAAGATCATCAAGTGATTCAGAAAGATGGAACCGTTGTCAATCGTACTCTTACGCACGACGATTTCACCAATGTCAGAGGTGAGCGCTATGAGATCAAGAAGCCAGCGGACAACAAGATCTTGGTTTCTGATGGAGCTCAATTTGATGCGAAGACTCAGAATCAGGAAGACTTCACCAATATTCGTGGCGAACGATACGAGACCCGTCGTCCAGAAGATCATCAAGTGATTCAGAAAGATGGAACCGTTGTCAATCGCACTCTTACGCACGACGATTTCACCAATGTCAGAGGTGAGCGCTATGAGATCAAGAAGCCAGCGGACAACAAGATCTTGGTTTCTGATGGAGCTCAATTTGATGCGAAGACTCAGAATCAGGAAGACTTCACCAATATTCGTGGCGAACGATACGAGACCCGACGCCCAGAAGATCATCAAGTGATTCAGAAAGATGGAACCGTTGTCAATCGTACTCTTACGCACGACGATTTCACCAATGTCAGAGGTGAGCGCTATGAGATCAAGAAGCCAGCGGACAACAAGATCTTGGTTTCTGATGGAGCTCAATTTGATGCGAAGACTCAGAATCAGGAAGACTTCACCAATATTCGTGGCGAACGATACGAGACCCGTCGTCCAGAAGATCATCAAGTGATTCAGAAAGATGGAACCGTTGTCAATCGCACTCTTACACACGACGATTTCACCAATGTCAGAGGTGAGCGCTATGAGATCAAGAAGCCAGCGGACAACAAGATCTTGGTTTCTGATGGAGCTCAATTTGATGCGAAGACTCAGAATCAGGAAGACTTCACCAATATTCGTGGCGAACGATACGAGACCCGTCGTCCAGAAGATCATCAAGTGATTCAGAAAGATGGAACCGTTGTCAATCGTACTCTTACGCACGACGATTTCACCAACGTCAGAGGTGAGCGCTATGAGATCAAGAAGCCAGCGGACAACAAGATCTTGGTTTCTGATGGAGCTCAATTTGATGCGAAGACTCAGAATCAGGAAGACTTCACCAATATTCGTGGCGAACGATACGAGACCCGTCGTCCAGAAGATCATCAAGTGATTCAGAAAGATGGAACCGTTGTCAATCGTACTCTTACGCACGACGATTTCACCAATGTCAGAGGTGAGCGCTATGAGATCAAGAAGCCAGCGGACAACAAGATCTTGGTTTCTGATGGAGCTCAATTTGATGCGAAGACTCAGAATCAGGAAGACTTCACCAATATTCGTGGCGAACGATACGAGACCCGTCGTCCAGAAGATCATCAAGTGATTCAGAAAGATGGAACCGTTGTCAATCGCACTCTTACGCACGACGATTTCACCAACGTCAGAGGTGAGCGCTATGAGATCAAGAAGCCAGCGGACAACAAGATCTTGGTTTCTGATGGAGCTCAATTTGATGCGAAGACTCAGAATCAGGAAGACTTCACCAATATTCGTGGCGAACGATACGAGACCCGTCGCCCAGAAGATCATCAAGTGATTCAGAAAGATGGAACCGTTGTCAATCGTACTCTTACGCACGACGATTTCACCAATGTCAGAGGTGAGCGCTATGAGATCAAGAAGCCAGCGGACAACAAGATCTTGGTTTCTGATGGAGCTCAATTTGATGCGAAGACTCAGAATCAGAAAGACTTCACCAATATTCGTGGCGAACGATACGAGACCCGACGCCCAGAAGATCATCAAGTGATTCAGAAAGATGGAACCGTTGCCAATCGTACTCTTACGCACGACGATTTCACCAATGTCAGAGGTGAGCGCTATGAGATCAAGAAGCCAGCGGACAACAAGATCTTGGTTTCTGATGGAGCTCAATTTGATGCGAAGACTCAGAATCAGGAAGACTTCACCAATATTCGTGGCGAACGATACGAGACCCGACGCCCAGAAGATCATCAAGTGATTCAGAATGATGGAACCGTTGTCAATCGTACTCTTACGCACGACGATTTCACCAATGTCAGAGGTGAGCGCTATGAGATCAAGAAGCCAGCGGACAACAAGATCTTGGTTTCTGATGGAGCTCAATTTGATGCGAAGACTCAGAATCAGGAAGACTTCACCAATATTCGTGGCGAACGATACGAGACCCGTCGTCCAGAAGATCATCAAGTGATTCAGAAAGATGGAACCGTTGTCAATCGTACTCTTACGCACGACGATTTCACCAATGTCAGAGGTGAGCGCTATGAGATCAAGAAGCCAGCGGACAACAAGATCTTGGTTTCTGATGGAGCTCAATTTGATGCGAAGACTCAGAATCAGGAAGACTTCACCAATATTCGTGGCGAACGATACGAGACCCGTCGTCCAGAAGATCATCAAGTGATTCAGAAAGATGGAACCGTTGTCAATCGTACTCTTACGCACGACGATTTCACCAATGTCAGAGGTGAGCGCTATGAGATCAAGAAGCCAGCGGACAACAAGATCTTGGTTTCTGATGGAGCTCAATTTGATGCGAAGACTCAGAATCAGGAAGACTTCACCAATATTCGTGGCGAACGATACGAGACCCGTCGTCCAGAAGATCATCAAGTGATTCAGAAAGATGGAACCGTTGTCAATCGCACTCTTACGCACGACGATTTCACCAACGTCAGAGGTGAGCGCTATGAGATCAAGAAGCCAGCGGACAACAAGATCTTGGTTTCTGATGGAGCTCAATTTGATGCGAAGACTCAGAATCAGGAAGACTTCACCAATATTCGTGGCGAACGATACGAGACCCGTCGTCCAGAAGATCATCAAGTGATTCAGAAAGATGGAACCGTTGTCAATCGCACTCTTACGCACGACGATTTCACCAACGTCAGAGGTGAGCGCTATGAGATCAAGAAGCCAGCGGACAACAAGATCTTGGTTTCTGATGGAGCTCAATTTGATGCGAAGACTCAGAATCAGGAAGACTTCACCAATATTCGTGGCGAACGATACGAGACCCGTCGTCCAGAAGATCATCAAGTGATTCAGAAAGATGGAACCGTTGTCAATCGCACTCTTACGCACGACGATTTCACCAACGTCAGAGGTGAGCGCTATGAGATCAAGAAGCCAGCGGACAACAAGATCTTGGTTTCTGATGGAGCTCAATTTGATGCGAAGACTCAGAATCAGGAAGACTTCACCAATATTCGTGGCGAACGATACGAGACCCGTCGTCCAGAAGATCATCAAGTGATTCAGAAAGATGGAACCGTTGTCAATCGCACTCTTACGCACGACGATTTCACCAACGTCAGAGGTGAGCGCTATGAGATCAAGAAGCCAGCGGACAACAAGATCTTGGTTTCTGATGGAGCTCAATTTGATGCGAAGACTCAGAATCAGGAAGACTTCACCAATATTCGTGGCGAACGATACGAGACCCGTCGTCCAGAAGATCATCAAGTGATTCAGAAAGATGGAACCGTTGTCAATCGCACTCTTACGCACGACGATTTCACCAACGTCAGAGGTGAGCGCTATGAGATCAAGAAGCCAGCGGACAACAAGATCTTGGTTTCTGATGGAGCTCAATTTGATGCGAAGACTCAGAATCAGGAAGACTTCACCAATATTCGTGGCGAACGATACGAGACCCGTCGTCCAGAAGATCATCAAGTGATTCAGAAAGATGGAACCGTTGTCAATCGCACTCTTACGCACGACGATTTCACCAATGTCAGAGGTGAGCGCTATGAGATCAAGAAGCCAGCGGACAACAAGATCTTGGTTTCTGATGGAGCTCAATTTGATGCGAAGACTCAGAATCAGGAAGACTTCACCAATATTCGTGGCGAACGATACGAGACCCGTCGTCCAGAAGATCATCAAGTGATTCAGAAAGATGGAACCGTTGTCAATCGCACTCTTACGCACGACGATTTCACCAACGTCAGAGGTGAGCGCTATGAGATCAAGAAGCCAGCGGACAACAAGATCTTGGTTTCTGATGGAGCTCAATTTGATGCGAAGACTCAGAATCAGGAAGACTTCACCAATATTCGTGGCGAACGATACGAGACCCGTCGTCCAGAAGATCATCAAGTGATTCAGAAAGATGGAACCGTTGTCAATCGCACTCATACGCACGACGATTTCACCAACGTCAGAGGTGAGCGCTATGAGATCAAGAAGCCAGCGGACAACAAGATCTTGGTTTCTGATGGAGCTCAATTTGATGCGAAGACTCAGAATCAGGAAGACTTCACCAATATTCGTGGCGAACGATACGAGACCCGTCGTCCAGAAGATCATCAAGTGATTCAGAAAGATGGAACCGTTGTCAATCGCACTCTTACGCACGACGATTTCACCAACGTCAGAGGTGAGCGCTATGAGATCAAGAAGCCAGCGGACAACAAGATCTTGGTTTCTGATGGAGCTCAATTTGATGCGAAGACTCAGAATCAGGAAGACTTCACCAATATTCGTGGCGAACGATACGAGACCCGTCGTCCAGAAGATCATCAAGTGATTCAGAAAGATGGAACCGTTGTCAATCGCACTCTTACGCACGACGATTTCACCAACGTCAGAGGTGAGCGCTATGAGATCAAGAAGCCAGCGGACAACAAGATCTTGGTTTCTGATGGAGCTCAATTTGATGCGAAGACTCAGAATCAGGAAGACTTCACCAATATTCGTGGCGAACGATACGAGACCCGTCGTCCAGAAGATCATCAAGTGATTCAGAAAGATGGAACCGTTGTCAATCGCACTCATACGCACGACGATTTCACCAACGTCAGAGGTGAGCGCTATGAGATCAAGAAGCCAGCGGACAACAAGATCTTGGTTTCTGATGGAGCTCAATTTGATGCGAAGACTCAGAATCAGGAAGACTTCACCAATATTCGTGGCGAACGATACGAGACCCGTCGTCCAGAAGATCATCAAGTGATTCAGAAAGATGGAACCGTTGTCAATCGCACTCTTACGCACGACGATTTCACCAACGTCAGAGGTGAGCGCTATGAGATCAAGAAGCCAGCGGACAACAAGATCTTGGTTTCTGATGGAGCTCAATTTGATGCGAAGACTCAGAATCAGGAAGACTTCACCAATATTCGTGGCGAACGATACGAGACCCGTCGTCCAGAAGATCATCAAGTGATTCAGAAAGATGGAACCGTTGTCAATCGCACTCATACGCACGACGATTTCACCAACGTCAGAGGTGAGCGCTATGAGATCAAGAAGCCAGCGGACAACAAGATCTTGGTTTCTGATGGAGCTCAATTTGATGCGAAGACTCAGAATCAGGAAGACTTCACCAATATTCGTGGCGAACGATACGAGACCCGTCGTCCAGAAGATCATCAAGTGATTCAGAAAGATGGAACCGTTGTCAATCGCACTCTTACGCACGACGATTTCACCAACGTCAGAGGTGAGCGCTATGAGATCAAGAAGCCAGCGGACAACAAGATCTTGGTTTCTGATGGAGCTCAATTTGATGCGAAGACTCAGAATCAGGAAGACTTCACCAATATTCGTGGCGAACGATACGAGACCCGTCGTCCAGAAGATCATCAAGTGATTCAGAAAGATGGAACCATTGTCAATCGCACTCTTACGCACGACGATTTCACCAACGTCAGAGGTGAGCGCTATGAGATCAAGAAGCCAGCGGACAACAAGATCTTGGTTTCTGATGGAGCTCAATTTGATGCGAAGACTCAGAATCAGGAAGACTTCACCAATATTCGTGGCGAACGATACGAGACCCGTCGTCCAGAAGATCATCAAGTGATTCAGAAAGATGGAACCGTTGTCAATCGCACTCTTACGCACGACGATTTCACCAACGTCAGAGGTGAGCGCTATGAGATCAAGAAGCCAGCGGACAACAAGATCTTGGTTTCTGATGGAGCTCAATTTGATGCGAAGACTCAGAATCAGGAAGACTTCACCAATATTCGTGGCGAACGATACGAGACCCGTCGTCCAGAAGATCATCAAGTGATTCAGAAAGATGGAACCGTTGTCAATCGCACTCTTACGCACGACGATTTCACCAACGTCAGAGGTGAGCGCTATGAGATCAAGAAGCCAGCGGACAACAAGATCTTGGTTTCTGATGGAGCTCAATTTGATGCGAAGACTCAGAATCAGGAAGACTTCACCAATATTCGTGGCGAACGATACGAGACCCGTCGTCCAGAAGATCATCAAGTGATGCAGAAAGATGGAACCGTTGTCAATCGCACTCTTACACACGACGATTTCACCAATGTCAGAGGTGAGCGCTATGAGATCAAGAAGCCAGCGGACAACAAGATCTTGGTTTCTGATGGAGCTCAATTTGATGCGAAGACTCAGAATCAGGAAGACTTCACCAATATTCGTGGCGAACGATACGAGACCCGTCGTCCAGAAGATCATCAAGTGATTCAGAAAGATGGAACCGTTGTCAATCGCACTCTTACGCACGACGATTTCACCAATGTCAGAGGTGAGCGCTATGAGATCAAGAAGCCAGCGGACAACAAGATCTTGGTTTCTGATGGAGCTCAATTTGATGCGAAGACTCAGAATCAGGAAGACTTCACCAATATTCGTGGCGAACGATACGAGACCCGTCGTCCAGAAGATCATCAAGTGATTCAGAAAGATGGAACCGTTGTCAATCGTACTCTTACGCACGACGATTTCACCAACGTCAGAGGTGAGCGCTATGAGATCAAGAAGCCAGCGGACAACAAGATCTTGGTTTCTGATGGAGCTCAATTTGATGCGAAGACTCAGAATCAGGAAGACTTCACCAATATTCGTGGCGAACGATACGAGACCCGTCGTCCAGAAGATCATCAAGTGATTCAGAAAGATGGAACCGTTGTCAATCGCACTCTTACGCACGACGATTTCACCAATGTCAGAGGTGAGCGCTATGAGATCAAGAAGCCAGCGGACAACAAGATCTTGGTTTCTGATGGAGCTCAATTTGATGCGAAGACTCAGAATCAGGAAGACTTCACCAATATTCGTGGCGAACGATACGAGACCCGTCGTCCAGAAGATCATCAAGTGATTCAGAAAGATGGAACCGTTGTCAATCGCACTCTTACGCACGACGATTTCACCAACGTCAGAGGTGAGCGCTATGAGATCAAGAAGCCAGCGGACAACAAGATCTTGGTTTCTGATGGAGCTCAATTTGATGCGAAGACTCAGAATCAGGAAGACTTCACCAATATTCGTGGCGAACGATACGAGACCCGTCGTCCAGAAGATCATCAAGTGATTCAGAAAGATGGAACCGTTGTCAATCGCACTCTTACGCACGACGATTTCACCAACGTCAGAGGTGAGCGCTATGAGATCAAGAAGCCAGCGGACAACAAGATCTTGGTTTCTGATGGAGCTCAATTTGATGCGAAGACTCAGAATCAGGAAGACTTCACCAATATTCGTGGCGAACGATACGAGACCCGTCGTCCAGAAGATCATCAAGTGATTCAGAAAGATGGAACCGTTGTCAATCGCACTCTTACGCACGACGATTTCACCAACGTCAGAGGTGAGCGCTATGAGATCAAGAAGCCAGCGGACAACAAGATCTTGGTTTCTGATGGAGCTCAATTTGATGCGAAGACTCAGAATCAGGAAGACTTCACCAATATTCGTGGCGAACGATACGAGACCCGTCGTCCAGAAGATCATCAAGTGATTCAGAAAGATGGAACCGTTGTCAATCGTACTCTTACGCACGACGATTTCACCAACGTCAGAGGTGAGCGCTATGAGATCAAGAAGCCAGCGGACAACAAGATCTTGGTTTCTGATGGAGCTCAATTTGATGCGAAGACTCAGAATCAGGAAGACTTCACCAATATTCGTGGCGAACGATACGAGACCCGTCGTCCAGAAGATCATCAAGTGATTCAGAAAGATGGAACCGTTGTCAATCGCACTCTTACGCACGACGATTTCACCAATGTCAGAGGTGAGCGCTATGAGATCAAGAAGCCAGCGGACAACAAGATCTTGGTTTCTGATGGAGCTCAATTTGATGCGAAGACTCAGAATCAGGAAGACTTCACCAATATTCGTGGCGAACGATACGAGACCCGTCGTCCAGAAGATCATCAAGTGATTCAGAAAGATGGAACCGTTGTCAATCGCACTCTTACGCACGACGATTTCACCAACGTCAGAGGTGAGCGCTATGAGATCAAGAAGCCAGCGGACAACAAGATCTTGGTTTCTGATGGAGCTCAATTTGATGCGAAGACTCAGAATCAGGAAGACTTCACCAATATTCGTGGCGAACGATACGAGACCCGTCGTCCAGAAGATCATCAAGTGATTCAGAAAGATGGAACCGTTGTCAATCGCACTCTTACACACGACGATTTCTCCAATGTCAGAGGTGAGCGCTATGAGATCAAGAAGCCAGCGGACAACAAGATCTTGGTTTCTGATGGAGCTCAATTTGATGCGAAGACTCAGAATCAGGAAGACTTCACCAATATTCGTGGCGAACGATACGAGACCCGTCGTCCAGAAGATCATCAAGTGATTCAGAAAGATGGAACCGTTGTCAATCGCACTCTTACGCACGACGATTTCTCCAATGTCAGAGGTGAGCGCTATGAGATCAAGAAGCCAGCGGACAACAAGATCTTGGTTTCTGATGGAGCTCAATTTGATGCGAAGACTCAGAATCAGGAAGACTTCACCAATATTCGTGGCGAACGATACGAGACCCGTCGTCCAGAAGATCATCAAGTGATTCAGAAAGATGGAACCGTTGTCAATCGCACTCTTACGCACGACGATTTCTCCAATGTCAGAGGTGAGCGCTATGAGATCAAGAAGCCAGCGGACAACAAGATCTTGGTTTCTGATGGAGCTCAATTTGATGCGAAGACTCAGAATCAGGAAGACTTCACCAATATTCGTGGCGAACGATACGAGACCCGTCGTCCAGAAGATCATCAAGTGATTCAGAAAGATGGAACCGTTGTCAATCGCACTCTTACACACGACGATTTCTCCAATGTCAGAGGTGAGCGCTATGAGATCAAGAAGCCAGCGGACAACAAGATCTTGGTTTCTGATGGAGCTCAATTTGATGCGAAGACTCAGAATCAGGAAGACTTCACCAATATTCGTGGCGAACGATACGAGACCCGTCGTCCAGAAGATCATCAAGTGATTCAGAAAGATGGAACCGTTGTCAATCGCACTCTTACGCACGACGATTTCTCCAATGTCAGAGGTGAGCGCTATGAGATCAAGAAGCCAGCGGACAACAAGATCTTGGTTTCTGATGGAGCTCAATTTGATGCGAAGACTCAGAATCAGGAAGACTTCACCAATATTCGTGGCGAACGATACGAGACCCGTCGTCCAGAAGATCATCAAGTGATTCAGAAAGATGGAACCGTTGTCAATCGCACTCTTACACACGACGATTTCTCCAATGTCAGAGGTGAGCGCTATGAGATCAAGAAGCCAGCGGACAACAAGATCTTGGTTTCTGATGGAGCTCAATTTGATGCAACAACAAAACACAAGGAAGATTTTAAAAAAGTACGTGGCGAACGGTTCGAAATCAAGAAAACCACAGATCATGAAATCATCCCAAAGAACGGTGCAACTATTGATCGCACCCTCTCCTATTTGAAAGATACAGCTGTTTCAAAAAATAGACGTATCGCTACAAAAGAAAACCTGTCAACAAATTCTCGCCTCACATCTCCTTCGACTCAATCTGCGAAATTTTCGAAGGTAGTATTGATTTACATTAACATGTTCTACTTAATTTTTTAGATCACTGATCGGGAAATTAGAAAGGAAGATAATACGAAAACGTTTTTAGGATCAATTACAAGTTTTTAATAGTCTTAAGAGAGTAGGATTGATTATTATTATTAATTGCAGCTGAGCAAAAAGCTTCTACCAAGTCATCAAAAAAGCATTCTTTCGAAACATCGAGAATATCTAGTTATGTTCGAACTCAAGAAACCACAGAACCAACGAGAAGTAATTATGATATTGTGAGTTTTACATGTAATTTAAATTTGATTATTCTTTGAATATTCTTCTTAGGATTTCAAGTATCGCCCAGTTCGTTGTATTGCTGGTGAGCTTCTGGAATCTGTTCAGAAAAACCACAAAGATACGGATCATTTTCATTTTAAAGCATTAGAAAAAGGCCACCATTTCTATGGCCCTAAAAATCGAGATGATGAATAAATCTGTGTACATAATTGTTATGTCATACATATATATATATTTTTTTATATTGTTTTTAATAATAAATTGTTTCATATTAATGCTTAATATTTTTCTTTTAAATCTTCTACTATTTCTCGACATTACTCAGACATATATCAAATGAAAATTGCCTGAAATTTGGTTTTCTCGAATCGCTTTTCTTTTCGTTTTCAAAATGCAGTTTTCGCTCTTTTATCGATGAATTCAAGGAACCGATTTTGATGAACGCTCCCCAAGGACGCAGCAGTTCTGCAAAACATTCACCGAACTCTCTAATTTTTTTCGGATTTGCACTCAAAACTCCGCCTCTCTGAAATTCTATTAAACGCCTATTCATATAAGCAAGTATGACAGACCATGTGTAGCTTTAAAAAACACTGCTTTATTCGATGAACGCTCCTTCATTTCTTTTTGTTCGCTCCTCAATTTTTTTCTTTTCCATCATCATCATGCACATTCGTAGTTTTGCCATCTTTATTTGACGTCCTTCTTTCTTACCGATGAGATGGACCACCGATGTCGAATTCATTTTATTTGTTGTCTTTTTTTGGCCAACAAAAAATGTAGTCGACTAAAGCGGAAAGAACGAAAGGAAATTACATTTTTTACGTTGAATTCATTCATTGATAATTCCCTTTCACGTATGCATTTTGGCAGCCATGTTCAATTATATTTAATGCCATTTGAGTCTGAAATATTTATGCACGTGATTCTAAAATTTATTTTTTTTTGTAAAAATAGTTAATTAATAAAATGATTATTTGCGTTCAGTATTCCGTTATACATGTTTGTAATTTACAGGAAATGCGTCCCCAAGGACGCCGACAATACGATCTCTATTGTAACTCCCGACGCGAGGTAATTTAATCACCTTGTGCTCAATACATTTTTGATGATTAATGGCAATTTCATTGTGCTCAAAGTACTTAAAGCGTTATAATCCACTGAAATATATTTCCAAGACAATAGGTTGTCTCATTGTAAACTAGAAGTAAATTTCCCATGTAGAGTGTAGAGAATTGTACTCAATTCAACAATGATGATGCAGACGAGTGTATTTTTTATGGTGCTTGATTTTTAATCATGAGAGATTTCTCTACATTTTATTAATTTTTGCGGATTGACAAATATTAATTTGAATTAATGAATCAGTGAGATAATTTAAAATTTTCAGCAGTGTTTATTAAATTTACACTTAATTGCCTTCGTTTTTTTTCTGTGAAATTAGAATAATTTTCCCAACCACTCTTAGCGCCCCCCTTCTCTTTCCTCTCAATAAAAAAAAACAAATGTTCAAGTGAAATGAACCAACCGTTTTTTTTTTCAAAAAAACCAATTAAAATCATAATTGCTCGATTGCTCACTCACATATTGTCAGGAGAGACAACGCCGTCGCGCGGAGAGAATCGAGAGGCGGATGCGCCAGCGGCAGGAGTTTGTAGAACTCATCAACAGCAACGTATGGATTTCGAAAAATATACTATTAAAAATAACTGATAGTTTAGGGATGTGTATTCTTTCTACTCATTCTAAGTATAGTGATATTTTGTGCACTCTGCAGCCTTCTTCCGGATACCATTGGAATGCCACCAAAGGATATGGAAGTCAATAAGGCGGTCGACGCTGTTCCGCCACAAATTGAACCTTCATTAAAAAGGTTTCAAAAATTATATAGTAGAAAATCGATTAACATTATGTGCTTCTTAATATGTCGATATAAAATAAATACTTCTGTTATTTAGAATAATTGTTTTATGTGGCAGACATTTCTAAGTGACAACCTTTATTAACAAAGTAAGAAGAAAAACAAAATAAAAAATTTTAAATACTTTTATTTCTTGGACATTGTTATAAAAAAAGTTATTTGCGTAATAAATGAAGATGCGAAAGTGAAGAAAACCAACCAATACAAAATGATGAGAACAATTTTCCCTTCATTAAAATAGTTTTATGGTTTTTTTTACGATGCAACACCTTTTTTTTCGTTTTTTAGTGTTCGGGAAGCTCTCGAGCACTCGTTTAATTTCACGAATGACAATTAATCGTAGTTGCACATTTTTGCGTTCATTCAACCACTTGCAACTTGGGAAATTTCAATTTCCGTTTCAATGTGTGTTTGTTCAGTTTTTTGCGGATCACTTTAACCTTTGCCCATACTGATTCAAAAACAACAATCAGGTTCTCAAAATTTTCATTATTCAACGGTGTAGGTATGCAGGGCGTGTTCGTTATCTTGCGCTGATCTGTGTCATTCCGAAAAACCGTTCATTTTGTTCTTACACTTTTCTTTCACAATACTTTCATTCAAAACAATCAAGAATGAATGAAGCATGTCGGTTTTATTAGAAAATGCAATGATCTGAATATCGTTTGTATTTGATTTCTACTAAGTAACCTGTTCTCATTTTCTTTTGCGTGTATCACTGTTGCCCGCCTATTTGTTTATCGAATAGTTTTACAACAAGCATGTTGTTGAGAATCCGTCATTTCAAAAATACTGTATTTTCTAGAAAACTACATATTTTTAAGCTGAAATTTCATGTAATATTATTACTTATTAAAACATTCTAAACCTTACTTACCTTCCTTGATTAATTAATAAAGCTCAAGTTTTAACTAAGGTGAAATTAGTTTCACCATTAATTTGGGCAACATTAGTTCTCAACAATTTTTTGCCAAATGAACTTGACCTAGATCCCTTTTATGCCCATATTGATATTCTTTCAATTTACGGTCGCGAATCATGGCTGCTTTTATTTAAAATTCTGATGTTTCATATTTTACACATAGTAACAAACACCCAATTGTATAGTTTGCAGAATTCAAAACAATGGATTCATGAATAATAGTAACTAATATATAAAAGGGCATCGGCAATAAGATTCTCTTTCCCCCCACCTCCCTCTTTATTTTCACTCTCCTGAAACATTCATTAATCATGTCACGAGAAATTTTCCATATGGTTCCAATTAATATTAGTGTCGCACAGGATCCCGGATGTACAACGATGATCGAGAAATATTCATAATTACAAAAGGGAATTGTCAATCAAGTTTCTTGTGTTTAATCAATACAGGTCATTCAAACATTCAATTAGCACTTGACAGACACTTTTCCAATGAGATTTCGAAAAAAGATAAAGCAAGTCTTGGTTGCGGTGTAGAATTGATTGCATTTCGAACGTCATTGAATCAAAAAAATAATAAGATGAGCAGCATCCAGCCGATGTCCTTGTCATTTCCGACTAATTGCGATATTTCGCCGGCGATTGATGGAAAAATATCGGAGTTGCGACATCGGCTAGCCGCCAAAAAGTTGCGGTGTGACTGAGAGATTTATTTCAGCACGTTTTTTTCTTCTTTTTCGATGGTTAACCCAACCGATCTGTCATTTGTCCATCAAACCTCTTATTAATTGGCTATTATCATCGTTGTAACTGATATAACTCGTGTTTTTTATGCAATTATTCAGGCATTTAAGCGATCAAAATTTTTGCATTTCCAACAGGTTGATCAACATTTCTCTCTCTTCATTATATCTCTCTTTTTTCTCTCAAATTTCAACTATTCTTTTCAAAATGTTGCATTGTTTCAATCCAGTTGGCTATGACTTTTAAAATTCTAGGTCAATTTTTTTTTTCAAGCTAAAATTATTGGTAGATTGTAATATAAGAAAAACAATAATGATTTTCTAACTTTAAAATTCTATGTGGCATTTTGGTTTTGACATTTTCAATACTAAAAATATTCCCTCTTGAGTATATGACCATATTAGAAAAAACTAACCTAAATGTGCAATATGTTACTTTGTGCATGTTCAAACTTTCAGTGCGAGTGATAAAACGATTAGCGGAAACCGAAATGTTTGCGTTCTTTCGCGGCAAAAAAGTTACTCAACCTTTTTTTTTGAGTGCGCAAGGTCGGCAAAAACCCATGCTCTTGTGGTTTCACTCACACTGTACCAAATTTCTAAACCTCGAATTTTTACTTGTAACTTATTAAGTTATGTTGTGTGATCGTTTGTTCCCGATTTTTTTGTGTAATTCTTGGCTGCCTTCCAACATGTATCTCACCTGCTTCATCTTTTTTTTTTGACATAAAAAAATAATAGCTACTGTTTAAGGTTTCATGTTCCAGACGATGCAAAATGGAAATCACTTGATAGATTATCGAACTTTTATATTACTTTCATCTATATAGTGCATTACTTCCTCGTAATCCGGTTCCATTTTTGATGACGGGCGAACTTTCCTTGATTGCTATCAGAATAGCTTTGAAAACAACAAAAATATGTAGATACGTGGCATTTGAAACGTTTGACACATTTTTTTTCGTGTAACCCCATCCATCAAGATGTGCAATTTGTCGGCAACGACAACGGTGACTTTCAAGCTTTGAACAAAACAATGAACAGCTGGAATCAGTTTGGTAATTCATCAAACGCCTTGAGGAATCGCTTCCTCTCCAAAAATTATAGGGATACTCATTCCTTTTTGGGTAACTGCTGCCATATTTTAGTCTTGTTGAAATCATAATAGTATTTGAGATATAACTGCTTGCACTGTCTCAAGAATGAATTGTTTTTCTCTATTTGTATCATTCCTTGTTACACAATGTTAAAGTAAGTGATATGGATTATTGGTGAGCGCAGTATGACGTTCGATCAGAAAACAAAATGACGTATGTATAATAGAATAGAAATGAAAATTTGAAAACCAAAACTGTTCTACTCTACTTGTTACTGAGAAAAAATGATTGGATACAGTACAAGAGTTTGATGCATCAAAGTCCATTCTTGATTGGTATACTTTGCATTTTTTTTCCTCAAAAAGCGATCATATAGAAATTATAATTTTTTCTCATCTTTGACTCTGAGTTTATTTATCTAACTGATATATAGAAAAAAAAACTGTACCTTTCTATTTTTTTAGTGAGATTTGTAAATTGACAGGTCACCCGTCTCGAAGTGTGGATATATTT